GGGTTGTTGCCTGCTGGGCGGACGCCATGTCTCCTGGCGCAACTCCGGATATGCCGCTTAGGGTCCATATACTTAGTACAATCCCGCTTGCAGTGAGGACATATTGTCTTTTCACCCTTTGCCTTCTTGTCTGTGGCAACTAACTTTGCCCTACAGCTTCCACGGTGGGTGCCAGGATGTGTCAACTTAGAGATATCGTTGCCACAATACTCGCAGATAGCCTCGTTCTTATCTCTCAAGTGCTGGAAAGGGGCTTTGATTTCCGACTTGCTGTCCTTGCTCTTGTTGTCGTTCGACTTGCCATCGTTCGACTTGTTGTCTTTCGACGGGCGTTTTCCCTTGCACGATGCGATATGCTGGGCTTGTCTGGTGGATTGGGAGATGTCTTTGCCGCACTTAGGACATATGCGACCCGAGGAAGCAACTTGCTCTTCATCAGAGGAAGAAATTTGCCCTTCCTCTGCAGAAGAAGCATTCTATCCATCATCCGAATCGGGAGAATCGTTGTCAGAGAGGTGTTGTTCGTGGTCTGAAGGGTCGCCCTCCCCGAGGTCATTATCTCCTGGATCCGACGCCATGGTAGAGCACGAGATGTTTTTGGGCTATGGTATGAAAGGTACAATTGATCAGTATGGGCAGTGTGTAGATGATCGAATGCAAGATGGGAACGTGGGTTGGTATTGGGAGGATGAAAGAATTGGGAGATCCAAAAAAAAGAGCAACAACGCGTGCAATAACAAGCAGGCAGTGTGCAAGGTTTGGGTGATGGGTGAGGCAGCTCGTAGCAAACGTGAGTGAATGAAATAGCTTTCTAACCACTTCGGAGGGGGCAGGCCATACAAAGCTTGCGATACTGCCAACATTGACCGCTTCATTGACGGCACAAAAAGAGGGTTTTTGCTTCTGCTGCATGCACATGATAATTAATGCCCACCTTTTCATCCAATCCTGTATAGCTTGTGACTGATCAGCTCAAAGGCATCGTGTTCAGGCATCGTGTTCTCAATGAGACTGCTTTCCCGCACTAGTGCTGCAGCATGGCTATCAATCCGCTGCCATGGGCGAGTATCCTGTGCAAATGTCCATTCCTCAACGGATCGTTCTGGCTCGAACGTCCCATGCAACGTGGACATGTGATAGCCAAACTCTCCGTCAAAGAATGAGCCCCTTGCTCAGCTTCATATTGGGACCCTATAAGCAGAAGATCTGTGGCAGAATCGATGCGTTAATTCATTGACGCACCTAGCCTAGCATGTTTCCTTGCCCCAGTCACGCTTGTGGCTTTTACCCATGTTGCCGCCCTTAATGACGCGGGCAAGCGACAGATGCCCACACTCTTGTACAGGTACCCTTTCTATCGAAAGTTCCTCTCCCCACTTCTTGCCGTGATCAATTGCGAGCCGCACGAAATGGTCTGAGGTCCACTGGGGGATTATGGCTATAGGCATTGACCTCTTCTATCTTCACGCTTGGTTTCGAATGCGGGGTATGGGGAGGTCCGTCTTCGCAGCCGGCACAGAGAGGTGATTGCTGGTCAGCAGGTCATTTTGAACTCGTATGGCAGCGGATCCAAACATTGATCCACACGTGCGACATGCAAACATCAGCATGGCGTCCACCGTGATGGCCATCAGCTCACGGATGCCACGGTCTGGAAGTGGGTTCGACTGGGAGGAGCTGTTTGTACATGGAAACATCAAGCTGGGCAGATAGATGAGAAGGATGATAGGATAACGACGTGAAACCGTGTTGTTGACGGGAGTGAGGTTAAGCTTTTGACGGGCCGGAGTTTGAGCAACCTATCAGCCTGAAACCGTCATACGCTGCGAATACCTCAATCCTACAACACACCACGTAGCTGGATCGTCGACTCTTTGCCGGCACATACCCTTCCATGTATTCATCAGCTGCAGCGCTTCTCTACGGTCGGAAATAGTTGCGAATGAAGCATGGAGGAAGGGCATGCATTACTGGTGTGACGAAACTGCTCACTTCCCGAATCGCCGGGATGTCCAACAAGCCTTCCGCGTGCTTTGCTAATCCCACAAATCTCCAATATGGGTATCCTCAATACCCGCCCATATAGGACCGTTTCAGTTTGGCAGGCAGAGTACGCAGAGATTTCAATCTCCAGGAAGTCGTAAATGTACAGCCGGCTTCTGTGAACATGTTGAGGCACATACCTGAAGACCGTAATATCATGCAGTTCCCCTTGAACCTAAAATCACCCTTTCCCGCCAGCTGTGGTTGAGCTTGTCAGAAGATGCGTCTGCTCATGGGATCCGTGAGGTCTGCAGAGAGTCTTGGAATCAATCGCCCTTCCTGAAAATCCTCAACCAACCCAATCGAAGAAATGGCACAAGATCTCCTAGACGTCAATTGCGACCGGCCTAGACTGATATCTACGCCATTAACGCTTCGCCTCGGAATTGGCCTGCCTTAGACTGTGTGCGGTAATCATCACTCTCAGCATGAGGTGGAGTGTCATGCTGCAAAAGGCATAAGTGCTGTCATGCAGCCGGCCGCCGTTTCTAGGCAGTGTCACAGACATTCACTTACAGGCTGCATCCATCGTCACAGCAATGGGACCAGCTGCGGTACTCCTCGCCCAGATCACCGCAGGCAGTTTAGAAGCCATGCTCTTGTTGTGGTCTGCATTTCCAGACGACAACAATCTCGCAAGCCCAGTCTCAAGCACACCCTTCCTCTTCATCTTGATTATCTCCTGCTACCACCAAACACCACAATGGATAACCTTGCACGCCAGCATAAGCATCGTTATGAAGAAGTGGGTATTTTATCTGTGCGGAGAGAGCCAACTAACACTTGTGGCAGGCGTTAGACCACGCCCTGGAAGGTAGGAAGGACAGTGCTCTAGATATCTGCTGGGAGCTTCGTCTCGAACCCCGTATCGGCGTCTACCGTCGAGCAATGGTCAATCTCCTGATTGCACAGCTCCTTACCTATGATCAAATGAAATATGCGGAAGAATGCCTCGATCTGCTTGATATCCTCCAGCAAAACAACAATGGTGAGGTTAGCGACAACGTCAAGAACATCATCTCAATCGCGGAGGACCTCATCGAAGAACTCGAAGTCGAACGACTACAGACAGCGGACGCTTCGGGGGCAAGAAAAATTGTCATAGATCCTACCACAGGTCTCCTTTCGGATCCACCATCAAGTCCCCCAACCAAAGACCAGCAGGACACCGCCAGTAACGCAAAAGGAGACAAGGATGCTGAGATGAAGGACGTCGTTGGCAAGGGCAGTGGCAAGAGTGTTCGCAGCGATAAGAGCGGCAGCGGCGACAACGATATTAGTATGAAGAGCGCAAGCGGAAACAGCCATAGCGATCATGTCAGCAGCCAGAAGGACGCTGGCGACAACGACAGACGGGTCATCTATGTCTACAAGACCGACAAGACTGAGAAGGATGATGTCGCTGCTGACCACAATAACACTGTCACCATCGAGGGTATGCTCAGAGATAGTAGTCACAAGCCCAGAGTCAAGTAGACTACGCTCATGCCAGCTCGTAAGGGACCCTCATTTCTCCACTTGACAGAACTGACAAGTTGCAGAGCCAGGTCATCAAGCCACGATCTCCGTCGCCAGATCCAAGCAAGAGGAGCAAGCATACATAACTCCTCAGCCTTCGTCGCCATCTCATCATCAGTAGGGACAGTCTGCATCGACGGATCAGTGCTGCTCGTGGCGTAGTCACTTTTTGTCAGGAAGGCAAGAATTGATTGGGGACGGGCACAAGAATGTTGGGGGGTAGCACTATCCTTTTGCTGAACTGTGTTTGGACGATGTCTGCGCATTTTCCAAACAGCGTGCATCAGTTTTACAGCGCATACTTTTCACGTTGTCGGGGGACGAGTATGACCTTTTCGGTTCTCACGGCGTGAGCTAGATTGAGCAAGTCGGTGTTCCTTTTTAGATTGGCTCCAAAGTCTGTTTTTTTGTAACCATTATTATTTCCTTGATCGCCTTGTCGAGCTTACTTCGGCTTAGCCGGCAGAGATTGTGGTTCAGTCAGAGGACAGCTGTCATGAACCAGATTCCATCCAGAGCTATCCATAGGGTCCGGCGGGTTCACAGGCAACAGAGGAGTTTAAAGATTGGGTGGTCCAGCAGAAATTTCGAAGGGTCGCCCGGAGAAGACTGGCTCAGGGGATGCTTGTGGAGCTGGGTCAAATTAAGCATGCGGCCAAAATGGGCAGCCTTTTCGTCAGACACCTGGCTTATCGGGCTGCTCACTCAATTGCAAAAAGAATGACGAAGATTCAGCGTCGCCTGACATACAGATGAGTAAGTCATTAGAAATAAGCTCATTCCATTTTGAGGTGTATAACAAAATCAGGGATGTCAGCCTCGTGCAATTTCCTTGAGCCAGTCCCACACATCTTCCTCTGGTACAACAGATCTTGCCGCACCTACACGTTGACTCATGGCACCTGTCCACCGCCCGCCATGTTTGCACATTTGGTTACTCTGCCAAGACCGCGCTGGCGAGGCCTATATATAATTTTCGTGCCCCCAAAGACCTTCAAAACATCTAAGTGCGCCAACTCGAACTACCCCCTACATTTTGACAATGCTGACCTGCTGCCAGGTGTAAGCTCCCCTTCATCCTCTTCGACGTCTCAACAACGCTAAAGTGCACCTTCAGGCAAGGGCTTAACGGCAGGCGCCCCTTTTTCCCTTTTTTCTACGTTTCGCTGACGGTTTTGCAGCGTAGCAGTGAGGATTCATCCGAGCTCGTGTTTTTGCTAGGCGAGTTTCCCCTTTTCCCTTCTGATACATCCTGCTGACGACTCTCAGTTGGTAAGTCAACTTGCGACATCGACCTATCCTTGAGCCTCGCTAATCACGTGAAAAAGAAAACTACAACTAATATTGACGCTCCATGTGGCCTTCGGGACGTATGGGAATTTTTGAAAGATTTGATTTCCACCTTTTCATCATTGTCGGCGCCTTGAGCGAAGAAATGGAGAAGAGGGACACGAAAAGAGTGGGAGAAAGGAGTGGCAAAACACCAACACCGCAGGACGAAATAGGCACATAGAAATAATATCAAGACGAAAACACCCTCACTGTAGCTTTAAATGCTGTCGTAGAGCTCACGCGAAATCCTAAGCTTGCCTGCGCGGATCATCACAAACTCCAAAATGCATTCTCCAAACCCTCCGAAATCCAACAACCACCTACCATGCCATCCGCCGTTGTAACAGGCGCCACAGGCCTGTTAGGTCGACAAGTCCTCAAAACATTCGACGAAGCAGGTTGGCAAACGACAGGTACAGGCTTCAGTCGCGCCTCAGGCGAGATCCGCAAGCTCGACATCCAAGATGAAGAAGCCGTGACGCAGCTCTTCGCAGAAATCAAGTAAGCAAACCATAACCCACCAAACAAATCTGACACGAACCAGACCTCAAGTCGTCGTGCACTGTAATCACCCCAAAGCCCCAGCAACAACAAAGCTGACTAGACACAGGCGCCGCGGACCGCCAACCTGATTCCTGCACCAAGAACCCCGAAGCAGCACACCGACTCAACGTGACCGCAACCGAGACCCTTGCCAAAGCCGCATCCTCCCAAAATGCTCTCCTCATCTACATATCGACCGACTACGTCTTTCCCGGCGTGCAGGGGGAAGCACCCTACACGACCAACCACACCCCAAAACCTACGAACGTCTACGGGCAGACCAAGCTAGACGGAGAAAAAGCGGTGCTCAAATACCCAGGCACAATCGTCCTGCGAGTGCCCGTGCTCTATGGCCCGGCCGTCGAAAACAAAGAAAGCGCAGTCAATATCCTGATGGACAGTCTCTACAAGTCCCAGAAAGAGCAGGTGCAGATGGATGACTGGGCGATTCGATACCCGACGAACACAGAGGACGTGGCCAGAGCGTGCGTGGACATTGCGAAAACGAAGCCCAGGACACAAATCCTGCAGTTCAGCAGTGAAGACCGCATGACAAAGTACGAGATCTGCCAGACGTTCGCTGAAATCATGGGTCTGCCTGCGGATGGAATCATACCGAATAAAGATGGAGGGAAGCCTGGACCAGATGGGACAATGAGACCATACGACTGTCACCTCGACACGAGCGAGCTGAAGAAAGCGGGAATCGATGTTTCAACAGTGGACTTTGTAGCATGGTGGAGGAGATATGTAGGAGCATTTCGACACTGAAGGAAGACTCGCTCCACGGCACATTAAGACCATACGTTTCTCGGCCAGGTGCAGGTTACAAGAGGGGGAATCATCTCAGCAGTGGACTTGCTGGCATGATGGACAAGAAAGGTAGGAGCATGTCAACATTCACAATCCATTTGCTTCACGGCACACCAAGATCATGAGATTGTTGCCCGGATGCAAGCTACAAGAGGAGGAATTGGCATCTCAACAGTGACAGTGGACTTGCTGGCATGATGGACGAGAAACCACAGGAGCGCATCGGCGTCGAAGAGCCACTCGCTTCAGGGCACATCAAGACCATACGAACAACTGGGCACGAGCTACAAGAAGAGAAATCGATATATCAACAATGACTTTGTAGCATCGTGGAGGGACAGAAAGCATTTCGACACTTGACATCATCGGTGAAGTTTGTAGCATTTCGACATCAACGAAAAGCCCGCTTCATGGCCCTATCAAGGTTACTCTTGTCGTCCTTCCCCTTGTTATGTCCTTCCATACGCAAAGACTGCCATTTCTGTCCACTCCACGCCAAAATCAAGTTGAATGCTCGATCTCGATGTGCGGGCTCAAGTATCAACGTTAGAGTCTTATCGAACAACAAAATCTGCAACACTGCAGACGAGGAGGAATGCAGGTTCTTAATCTTGTTGAGACCAGTATCCGACTCGACAGCATCCAACTTCTGCAACTCCACAAGCTCTGAATAAACCCACGTTCGTTCACTGATCTTGGTGGTAAGCGTAAGACCTGATCTGCCAACCTCAAGTTGACCCTTCCCGTCCGTCTCTTCCTTGACACTGAACGTATGTAACGGTTCGGAGGCGGCGTGCAATTCGAACTCGCTCAGATCGGCATCTCTCATGATAGCCTTTTCCTGTAATCGTAGAATTGCCAATTCCGAGTGGGTAGGGATATCCCAGAACATCCACCGCATATGAGACACAAGATATCGATACTTTGGAAAGTTCGTGGCAATAGGAAACGTCACGAAAAAGCCGGCCCCAACAATAAACCAAACCAGCTTCATGCAAAACGCCATGTCCGCAGACAAGGTGATGGTCAAGCAGGACCCAAAGAAAAACAACGATGCCAAAGTTCGACCTGGTTTTTCATTTCGGTGGAAATTGATCAAGACTTCAAGCAGATCAGCGATATCGCCCAACTGCATCTGAAGAATAGGTCCAACCTCGTCGAGAAGAGGTTCGATCCAGTTATTCTGACCGTGCCGCTGCAACAATTCTCCCCAGGCTTGAACACGCTTCTCACGATCAAAAGACCGGGCGACACTGGCGCGGACGGCCTTAACCGAGCCTGGATTGAATTTGTTGCGCAAAGTCGAATAGAGGATGTAAAAGTAGACGTAGGACATAATATACTGAAAGTACCACAGCACCGCAAAAAGAGCGGCCCATTTTGCCGTACACTTGGGATCTTTCCACATGTAAACTTCTCTGATCTTCATGAAAAAGGTCTGCAATGGCGCGCTGGTGATGGCAATCCTCTCAAGGATCCTAGCCAAATCTTCAAGGTCGAATGGAGGAGTCTCGAAATCGTCAATGTAAGGCGCGTTGAACCCTCGGGTGTAGTACAGCGCCAGGTGACCAACATATCTTTCCCACTGCAGCCGCCGCTCGCCAGTTGGAGTGATGGTTGTATACTGGGAACGCTTAGGACGGTCCACCATAACTGGTCGCACGACCTTGACACGCGAAACGTGACGACCGAGAATCCAAGCAGTTTGAAGATCTTCTTTCTTCTCCTCGACCACCTGTATGCGGTGACGAGCATCGTCAATATCAGCTTGATGGTTCGGACCGGGGCCAATATCAGATTCTGCTTGGGCAAGAGCATCGTGCGCGTCAAGCAATTCTTGATCTCGTTCAGCGGTCAATGCCGGATGTTGGGTCTCTCCAATCGTGCCAGCTGTTTTGTGAATGGCTTTGCCTCGCGCAACTCGGCGAGGATGAGCCACGACGAACTTGAGATCTTTGGCGCCATCTTTGAGAGTTTCACGGACCGACTTGTCTAACCTGTCCGACTTGTTGTCAAGAACCTTAGCTGGGTCGAAAGCCGGGTCTGAGAAGACGCTTTCATCGTCGGAAGTCTGGTCACGTTTGAAGATGCGTTTGGCTTTCAACTTTGCTTTCTCCTTCAAGATGCTGCCAGCTTCAAGTAAGTTGCTGGCATGTTGTTCGACCTCTGCCGCAGCATTGTTATCCGGATGGGTAGACATTTTGATAGTGGGCGTAGTCAGTCAAGGACATTTCAGCACGGCATGACAGTAAGCGATCGACCAGACAGAGGTTCAAGTGAAGGAAGCAAAGACCAGAGAAGCAAGGGCCATGTTGCTTGAAAGGAAACGAAGTCACTGACGGCAAGAGCATTATGAGATGTCGTCGACAGCCCCGGAAAAAGGTGTGGCTTAACGGGACCCTACCTGAGAGCTTCACTGCTTCAGACGGCCCAGGCTCGCCCATTCCCGGTTTTAGCTGGGACAGTGGTTGCACTGTGTAGTTACCTGTGATTGGCAAGAGACGGGAAGGACGATGGGCAGTGACGAAAGCTGAAGCGAGATCCAAGCGAGCGAAATCTCAGATCGACCCAGCAGAAAGGTACGCCACTGATGACGATGGTCGATCCAAAGGAAAGCGTTACCGAAGCCTGAATGGTGCCCTGAAACTTGGCCCCAGCTGCCAGGAACGGGTCGTTGCACAGACCAGCCACAGCAGTGGCTTGCCGCTTGACCTGGAAGCAATGGCTTTTTAACGTCCAACTGCATTCATTCTCCCTTCATGAGGCCGTAAATTCTGATTGTGCACCCAATATGAGAGCTGCAGCAGATTCATTGCCAGAGATGCAGATCACCACATCCACACCACATATCAGTTTTGTGGGTGTAAAAAATGGAAAGGTGCGATAAGCTGTCACGCATGGAACAAGCGTCTCTAAAGCTCACCTCATTGCCCTCTGATCACAACCCTCTTTGTCTCGGGTCATTGCACGGGCATGAATCTGCAGAAGAATCATTTCCATACGTCCAGCTTGCGTACGGAGCTGGGTGTTGGATAAACAGTGAGTCGTGCTAGGCTTCCTCTGAGATAATGGCCATCATGCAAATGAGTGAAGATGGGTCAGCTGGAACACATCTCCAGCTTTCCTGGTCAAGTTCAAGGCGTCAAAAAGAACATCAGGAAGGATTAAATGACTCGAGGGTGCGGTGAGAATTTCTGCCCGATGATGTGTTGAGGTATTGTTGTTGTGATCGATTCACTAACGAGCATTGGTATTGTTCTCGTTCACTTATTCCCTGCCTCACCTAACACAATAACATCTGCAGCTTTGTCGCAGGCCAAACAACGTGAATCAACCCTCTCGAATTCCACTCCTACATTCTTTGGATACTTTTATTGCTGGATATCAAGATGGACGACGACAATCCTCCCCCAAAGAAGAAATCTCGCTTCTTCAGCAATGGCAAGAGCAAAATCGGCAACATAATTCCATCCTTCAGAAAACAGCCACACCAGCGGCAGTCAAGTACTTCGGGCAATCCATCTGCATCTGAGAGTTCTTCAACAAATGGCCTCTCATCGCTCAGGAATCCCTTCTCTAATCGTCCTGGAGATCCGCCCGGTTCCAGTCTGACCAATGCCACCACAGCCTCTGCGAACCAGTCCTCGAATACCGCACACAACACATTCGGAGCTGGCAATGAACATCTACCAGACCCCACACACCCAAGAAGTGATGAACATGATGAGCAAGAGCAGGATCCCAGAGACAATCATGACGAACATACAAGTCTCGACGGTACACCTACAGCTGACAAGAATTCGAAAGATGAACGAAGAAAAGCCATATACGGCATTGAAGCTCTCGGTCCGCAAGCCACCCAAATCATCCCCAGACCAGTCAATTATGCCCCGACTGGTGCTCAGCATGGGGCTGACATCCCATCTGACGCAGCTGCCCAAGCATCATACACCTTCACAGGTATTCCAGGAACGACTTCAACGGCTTCCGGCCCGGCCCAGACCACTTCAAGCCATGACCAGACGCAGGAACCATTCACTTTTAGGATGCGTGTACCTCAGCCAGCGCCATACCAGTTGGGCGTACGGAACGGTGAAGACACACAACTACATGGTGTCAACGCGACTTACCTCACCACGCCTCAGCAGAGCACGACTACACAAGATACGGGCGACAATCAGCGATCCAACGCCATCCCTAGTCATCGACTACTTAGTCCCCTCCCACTTGGGGCGTCAGAACCCTATGTTGATATGGATCGAGATGAAGAAGGCCGGCCCATATCCAGACCGAGATATCAGTCTGCACTATCTCACGCTCTCTACGCCAACAGCACCGGTCTCCCAGCACACCGGATTCCCAACCTCAGACCAACTACGCCAGCTCACATCGCCAATCCCGAGTCCCTTATCCCTGACAATTTGCTCACATCGCCAAATCGGGTCCATCGGGCCAAAATGCACGCCCATATCTCCTTGAAACGTAAACGTCCCGGCACGATCCTCCCACCACAGCCATACGTCTACTCACGCGACGACCATCCCAACTTCAACATCTTCGACGGCATCCTCCTCTACCCCGAGCTTGTCTTCGCGCTCGCCACAGCACTACCAGTCAAAGACCTTATCAGTCTCTACGCCATCAGCAGAGACTACCATACCATCATCGACACACGCTTTACAACAGTCGTACTATCCCAGGCACGCCGAAAAGCTCCCGAGTCAGCCGAGGCGTTCCGTTTTCGCAGCTATGCAAAACTCTGTCGCACCGACCCAGCCGCACGCATCCCACATCCCAACGCCGCACTTGCAGCACGCAGTATCCCCCGCAGCATCCCATCCTTCCGCTGGCTCAAGATGGTCCTACACCGCGAGAAAGTCATCCACGAGCTCGTCACGGTCTTCGCCGAAGATGGCATCCCCCTCCCATTCCGCTGCCGTCTCGCCCTCAAGCGGTTATGGTTCATGCTCGACCTACCAGATAACGCCCGACGCATCGGCTACGTGCACAACAAACGTCTCATGACCGACCTAGACATTTACTTCTCGGCCTGCTTCTTTGTCAAGCTGGACATGCGTCTCAACGACCCGATCGCCAGCGAAAAGCGTGACAGCATGCGCAAAATGCTGCTCTCGCAAAAGAGCTTCACCACCATCTTGCAGGTCATAAAACGCGAGATGTGGACGACCAAGTTCGAGGTTCTAAAGGAGTGGATCAAGTTACGATACGAGCCGATGGAGGACGAGATCGGTCTGCCAATGTTTGGCGTGCGGCCTGAGAATATTGGGAGAGGACGTCTGGAGTACTGGGGCGAGGTGTCGACGGAAGAGCTTGGTCGGATTCCCGGATGGCTCTTCAGACCGGATCAATTAATTGTGCGTGAGGCCATTCGTCGCGGCATGTCACTTGATCGGCACTACCTCCAGTTCATGCTGTACGGGTACGTGCGACCAGATACGCTGCAAGATTACGCACCCAGAAGGTATGGACGGCGAATTGAGCAGTTTAAGGACGATGAGTACGAGATTGACGACATGATTGGTGGTGTTGCGGCTTTGGCAGTCGGCGATGAAGGATACGACGACCTTTTGGATCTAGGACAGCCGAGGCGAGGAAGTCCGTATACTATTGTCAAGGAGAAGATCAGTACTCAGGAGAAAGCGCTGAGGAAGAAGCAGGAGGAGTTTCTGAGCATGTGTATCGCATGGTGGGAGAGGGAGATGAAGAGTGGTGATGCTGAAGATGGCCGATGAAGGACACGAGCTTCTGGACGCAGGTGTTGAACGCTCACGAGGGAGCGGAAGAGTGCTGATGATCACAAGAGCTGATGAAGATACAGGAAGTTTCTTGACACTGGGCAAGAAGTGCTGATGGTAATGCTGATCTGATCGGGTTGAGGTCTCTCGCAGGCTTGGAGTCCTCACATGTATGGAATATCATGGCATGTCACAACGATTCCCATCAATGGAATAACCAGAGGCAATACCTAGGTAGTCTGTCTTGTCTGATGCGCCCTCCTAGTACATCTCTATGCGTGCACTACGGGCTATCAGGAATGGTAACCTTGGAACATACCTGGTAGGACTGATGGGCGAATGTGAATCACTGGTAGAAGATGTCGGTGCTACTCGGACCAACCTCAGAAGTTGCGAAGCTGGTTGAAGAAATCAGGTCGCCCAGACATCAGGCATCCTGCCTTCGTAAACGACGCCTGCCTCAGCAGTAAACAAGGTTGACAACCATGGAGACGATTGACAACAATGAAAAAGAGATAGGTCGACTTCCGTCCACAAGAGCTCGAGACTTCGCCTTATAGTGGCATCATGATTGTTTCAGGTCCATTGTAGTTGTACACATGGTTTGGTGATGCATCGCTTTGACGCGCTTGCACACAAGGTGAAGAATTTGAAGATTGATCCTTCCCTTCCCTAGTCTCAACGTATTGAGATCGCCCTTTCTTCTTTTCCCCTTTACCGTCAATATACAATGGCAAGAAGGGTCTGCCATCTTACCATTTCAATACCCCTTTTGAATCCAAAACGCCCAATGAAGCATATGATGCCCGGGAATCGCTTGCTTGCCTGTCTGCCTGCCCGAAGCATATAACCCCAACGCCATCGCAATACTGTAATGTCAAACCTCGAACACTCAAGATCCAATCTTCAAAGCCCAGTCAAATCGCCATCGAGAACCGCTTTAGCCAGCCTCGTATGACCAGAGTCTGCTATCCGTTCTCCAATGATCGATCCAACCTTGTCGACCAATTTCGTCCGCATTTCATTCTCAGATTCAGCGGAATGGCCGTTCATCATGGGTAAATCATCATGGACCAAGGCTCCCAGAGCGTTGAGAATGGCACTGACAACCTTCTCAGCTTCAGCCTTCTTGATGCTTTGCTCTGAGTTGATATCGTCTTCCAGTAACTCTCCGTATGACCTTAGATTCGGTACAATCAACTGTCGCACCACTTCTGCTCCTCCAATGGCCTTTAGCCCGAGTATAGCACCATAGTGGCTTCCGAACGGTTTCTTGGGGTCAAGGAAGGTCTTCAAGCATGATCGCGCAAGTCGAGGTTTGAGGTTGTGCGAGTACTTTGAGTACTTGTTGCAAAGATGTCCGAGTAATGAAGCAGCCAAGTCTCGCAGATCGTAGTGATCTAACGTGCCGATTCCGCTGCCCAGTGTCCGTCCGATCAAGCATGTCAACACCGGCGGGACCATCGAAGCCACCTATGCCATATATTAGCAGGAATCATCTTATGAACAAGGTTGCCAGACGTATGGAGTCATGTTGAGCTTCTCATTCCTCGTCAACGCGTCCGTTACCAGCATCATTTGTGTGAGCACAAACAAATCCTTCAAGTTATGTGTGACCTTCTCAGCAACGAATTGTACAAAGTATGGCACCAGTTGATGTAGTCCGGGATCTTCTTTGAGACTGGCCAGACCTGCCGTCCGGTATTCAGGTTGCGTTTCGTCCAGCACCGATGCGCACACCTTTTCGAAGTATAGTTGTAGTTCTTTCGAGAGGATATGCTTGACTTGAGGTTTCGTGGTAACGTTATCTGCGCCGGCCATCGCAGCCAGCGCTGGATTCGCGCCAGGTCCTTTGGGGAGGAGTTCGAGGTTTCTGGCTTCGTTCGATGTCGGATTCTGAGGTATTGACGGTTGTACACCCTCGACAGCTAGCCAGTGTGCTGCAGCAGCATTAGCACTCTAGATCGAGAATACTCTCCGGGCCAAACTCACCAGTAAATGAAACCTCACGCGGCACTTTGGGTAGCGGCGCGTTGATGAGTTTCTCAAAATCCATCTCCTCATCTTCCACATAAAACAAAGGCTGTCCAGGACCCAGCGACGCCTCTCCATATTTCAACGGACGTGTAGTCTCATAACCATAGAGCGGTTCAATGTCCAAGACGCGCAGAGCCTGTGAGATATCTTGCGACCACAATATTGTTCTTCGAGCGTGTTTCATGAATTTGAGGGCTTCTTGGAGGACTTGGGATATTCGGTATTCCACATCGCGACAGAGTGCTTGATTGACGTCTTTGTTGAGGTTGATGATTCCCACGGATTCAGCGACATCCTTGACGGTGTCTTGACCCCAGAGAGTCATGGTTGCATTCGTAGATGGAATTGAGATGATGCCGCACAAGACAGAACGTTAAGGTCAAGATGTTCGCAATTGGGGGTTTGCGGAGAAGAAGCGCAGGGCACGAAGACATTCCCCGCCAAAGGCCGGTGATGGCCAGCTACACAGGGTGACCGAGGAAGACTTCTTCATTTCTACATCGTTGATGGTCTAGTCATTCCAGATCGGCAATTTTTGTTTGGTGCTATGCTTGCTACCTTTCACTAGCTCTTCTCATCTGAGACTCGCCAGACCAACCTCGCTCCGCTGACCGCCTTGTTGCGCAGCATCGACAGCGCCTTTTCCGCCCTTTCTAACAATGTCTGACCTTCCACGACAATCTGTTCGTTGGCCTCAATGACACCTTTCGCCAACAACGTCGGCATGGTCTCGGACTGCAAATGCTCCGCCAGAAACTTGTTGTCAATGTAGAAATGGGTTCTGACGCCCAATGCCTCAACGCCAGGTTGCCAATCGGCACACCCCTCCACGTCCATTGAGTATTCCGGCTTGATGCCCACAGCAGCGTCCTTGACAATGATAGGCAGCAACACAGCAACCTTCGACCCAGACTCCGCAATCTTGGCTAAAGGTCGTACACTTCCAGCCAAACTTCCGATGCAGTCAAGAATGTAAGGAATGCCCGGTCGAGTGGCCCTGCCAGTGGCGTAGTTCTTGATCTCCTCGATAACAGACACATCTCGATAATCGAAACATTTGACCGCTCCGTACCGTCGCAACTTGTCGTGGTGCTGTCTACTGGCCGTCGCAATCACATTCTTGTACCCATACCACTTCAGGATTTGTATAGCATACTGGCCAACGCTCGAACCCCCACCCCAGATCAAGATAGCCTCGTCCGCATCTTTCGGGACATATCCTTCAGGCTTCGGCCAAGGTAATTCGAATCCGAAATGCTTCGTGAAAGTATGCCATGCTGTCACAAAGTTGTTGGGAAGAGTGACAGCTTGCTGCATAGTCACACCATCTGGGAGCTTGCCGAATAGAAACTCAGGAGCGACGACATACTCCTGGTGTGCCTTCTCGGCCTGATTGCGCCAAGTAAAGCCGAAGACTTTGTCCCCGACTCTTAGGAGAGTAACGTCAGGTCCCACTTCCACCACTGTTCCTGCAAGACTATCACCCAAAACTAGGGGATGTGTGACGAGGAGTCCACCATCTGCTTGGTGTAAATCCAACGGTGTCGATGCAGTCCACTCACTCCTGACTCGAACTTGAGCACCAACAGGCTTCGGTGTAGGGACTTGATGGATATCTAGAGGCAGTCCTGGGCCGACAGTAACGACAGCTGCGTGGGTAGCCATTCAGTATACCTCGGTCTGTTGTTTCAGACTGGTGATAGTTGCTTGGTTGTCGGGACCGGTGCATTGCAAGAACAGGGCTCACCCTTTATACCACTTTCCCGACGCGACAATTGGTTTTGGAGGAAGCATTTTGCCATCATTCTCAGACCAACAGTATGGCAACATTGATCTCTAATGCAGTCTCAAGTGTGCATCACTGCTGGCACCGGTTAAGTGTAGTGTTAGTCAGGATAGGGCGGAGCATTGCAGCACCAAATTTCGTCCGTATTATATAATGACGGACGACCTTCTCACGCTTCTCCACATCAAGAACGCTGTGCAGATGGGGAGACCGCCAAACTTGATTCGGCAAAGTCGAGATGATAAAGGTCAGTTGATCGTCCTTGACATCTCCATCAGGTCCTCAGCTGGAATCTTCCATCGACATGTCCGACAAGTCTAAATCGTCCCAACTGATATCAAAGTACCCAGGATCCACGGCTGTTTCTTCCAAGAGTGTATCCGGTTCAAAAGATGGTATGTCTGCAGCCATCTTCATGTGAGTACTTCCGATCTGGGTCAACTTTTTCATCACCCAGTCTCTCTCTTCGCCTGGTCCAAAAATCATCAGGCAAATCCTCAGTGCAAAGATGATGAAGAAGGGCCCGAGGAAAGAAGAGGTCATCATGTAGGGAGTGATTTTGCAAATCTCTCGTGCCATCTCCTGATTCTCCATGAGATAGAGTCCGCTTCTTTCTGGCGCGATATCCTTCTCCATATCTTTCAAAATCATGTTCAGCAACATTGAGATTGTCCAGTTACCGACAAAGGTGGATGCGAGGAAGACGTTAACAAAGCCGTAAGCAACCGGAAACACAGGATCTTTCGTCTTATGAAGAGTCGGCTCCATCCCTAGACGTTTGATCGTTTGTCGGAATCGTAGACTGATTGATTTGAGTTTCGCTCTGTGTTGTAGGGCTCGTTGCCGAATGGAGTCTGTGTACGCGATGTACTCCTCAGGCGTCATCAGCTTCTGAATTTCCGAGCGTTTTATCGCATCCCGTGTGGTGGTCGGAATGAAGACGTTCTCCATGTAGAACTCTTCCGCCAAGTCGAATATCGCTATGCGCTCTGGCTCCAAACCGGATTCGCGTAGGTCTTCATGAACCTGTTTCGACAAATCGAGCCACTCTGGTTCGCTCAAAAAACAAGCTTCATCCTTTGTGAAAGCCTCAATCACAATGGTGTGGCGATAAGCAAGGTATACATCTCGATCCAGTCCGTAACGATGTCGGGCAGGTCCTCGGATCCGCATCAATGTTCCTGCTCCTCCAGCATGCCTTACCCATGACAGATTGTTGTTTGAAGCAAACATCTCGTAAAATGACAGAAGGATAGTGGCGGACAGTGTGTCAGTAGCCATGCCTCTCGTATTGTTGGTTAAAGACTCATTGAGAAGATGTAGCGCCTTTCCATAAAACCGCATTGCTTCCTGCTCGAAGGCTTCCGACTGATGCACCCGACCCAGGTGAACCATGGAGACCGCTCGAACAGCGGAGTCAAGAAGCTTGCTGCCGAACAGTTCAGGTAACTGTGACAGCCAACGCGTATGGCTTTGCACTTGTCTTGGCATTCTCACCGCACTTCCAGCAGCAATCGCAGAAGAGAAGGTGTTGAGAAGCTGTTCTTGTGCCAGATATGGCGAATAGATGGAGCCACTAAGCGGCAGCTGGAAACCGACGTCAAAATTGACTGCGCCGCCACTTAGAAGCCGTTGATGACTGCTTACTTGGGTTTGAAGGCTGGGGGCATCGAAGCCGATATCGTCCTCTACTAAGCCAATTATTATGTTGCGCGACGGCAGGAAAAGGCTCGTGTTGTAGCGTTGTGCATTGAACTCGAAGTCTGGTGTGGCGGTACGGGAGATCAATTCCAGGGACTCTTCAGGGGAGGACTCTGTCGATTGAGTATGCTCGCTCGACCCGGCAGATATACTGTTGATATCGTTCTTTGGTTCATGATGAACGGACTCCTTTTGGCCAAAGCGTTGTCGGAGTTTGGTGCCTTCATCATGTATCTTCAGGTCTGTATCGTATCCCGGACATGGACGATTGCCTTTCAGACAGTTTTTGCCTGTGTGAAGGTCAACATCAGAACATACCCCGCCCCAGGTATGGATGATAAGTACTTACACGTCGGACGCGTCTGGTCGCACTGTGGATGGAAGTGTTAGCACACTCACTATGTCAACACGGTTTTGTGAATGCCGGAACGGTACCTTGACGCGACGTTGAACGCATATCCTGCATCCTTTGCTCCTCGGAATGCCCACCATGCCTGGCTTGTGTTACCGGGACATGAACGACGGGTTGATTACTGCCACAGGGTGAAAGAAGCGCCTCTTCACAGGGAGTTCTGGAAGCAGGATGATTGAACTGTTAGCAGTATAGTGTTGCTCTCATATAGTCCTGTGTTCTGCGAAGATGCCAAGGTCATTAGATGAACATAATGAGACAATTCTTGATGCCATGATTGAGATGGGATGGGATCATTCTAGTGGGAGATATGCCGACGCCGGAAGGTTTAGCTAAGCACAGCCAGGCATGGGTGGAAAAGGCTTAAACTTGGGGGTTCATCACCAACCACTAAGAATGCTAAAGAGCAACCGATGAGTCCATGACATCGATTCCAACGTGGCTGAGTAAGTTTAATGACCACGGAAAAGTCCACCAGCTGCGCCTATCAAGCTACCTACAGCCTCCCGTAGGCTCTGTCGTATGGCGAAATGCGAGCATTTCTTGGTGGATCCTCTTTCAAAAACGCCCGTACAGTACGACTCAGTAGCATGGATTCATCTTCATCATGCCTTGCGTCCATGTCTGGAATCGCTTATCCATCGCGAGCACTACTATGCTCCTCCCTAAGGTCACTCGTTTGGACGCCGAGGGGCATTGACTTGTGCAGGAGTAATTGGATTCATTCTTCCTCCTGACCGTAAAAATTCGTGAAAGAGTTCTGTCGCTCCTTGTTGAAAATTCGGGTCTTGTAATGATCGATTGATCCCTGGATAGAGTTTCTGGGCAGCTTTCTATCCTTCCAGCTCATTCATAGGAACATCGTCATCATTAGGACCAACAATGGCCTCGGCAGCTTTCCATACTTGAATCAAATTGTCGTCCGCTGCACTGCACATAACCCACGGATTGTTCTTGTTCCAAGAAAAGTCGCTGATACGGTTAGTATGTCCTCCGTGCATAAACAGCAATTCTGGCGGTCCATCTTCGACGTCTTCAGGTGTTTGTTCTTCTCCCACTCTGGCGAGATCCCAAAACATTATTCGTCGGTCGTAGCTGCTAGATGCGAGCACCGACTCTTCAAAAGGATGCCACTCTAACGTCGTCACGCTGTCACTGTGGCCTTCCAGCACATGGAGCTTGTCTTTGAGGTTCCGCAAATCCCAGATTGCAATGGTTTTGTCGGCACTGCCTGTGGCCACCAGTGTCTCTACAGCCAAATTGAAGGCGATCGCGTTGATAGCATCTCGGTGTTGGTTTTCGCCTTTGGCCGCTGATCGTGTCAAATCTGGTGATCTCAGGTCCAATAGTTGCATGGTCAAGTCGTCGGACACGGTCCCAAGGAGGTTGGGTAGGGTGGGATGATATTGCACATCATTGACGATGCTGTTGTGATGCGTGTATTTGCGCGACTCTTTGAGCAGCTTGTTTGATTTCGACGCTTGTGTGATATCCCATAATCTGACTGTATGGTCTTCACTAGCGGTAGCTAATTGACCCTCTTGATGTGGACTCCAGCTCAAACCGTAACCCTCTTTCTCATGCCCATGAAGCTCGATGGTCGGATTTGGGCTGCCTGCAGGGGTTATGCTCGAAAACTTGGTTTTATCCCAGATCATGACCCTTCCGTCTGTGCACATGGTTGCGATCATGTTCGGATTCTGGGGCTGATATCGAGCCTTGTTGACTTCACCTGGATGGTCAATCTTCATGATGATGTTGAATTTGACTTCGAATTGGTTCTTCCCTGAGGGACCACCACCGTAACCGCCAATTTCGCCCGTCTCGTCATTGTAATCCTTAACATCGGGCTTTCTGGGATTCGGTAGTTGGACTTGGGCAATTTCTAAATAGTTGGGTTGGCCTTCAGCAGTATGGGTGCCGATCAGAAGACGATGTCGTGAATAGTTGGTGCCTGGTACTCTACAAATCCGTCAGTCATCGGACCATGTGCTACACCTGGTGTTCTCTTACTGGGTGACGTCCGGAAACCATTGTGTAGTCAGTGTAGGCCAATCCAGGGCTGTACTGAGTATCATATCGTAGAGGAAGGGTGCATTCTTTTTCCACGTCTTGTATTCTTCGTTGATGAGTTTCTGTTCTGTTTCGACATCTTCGTTGTTGAGCTCTTCGCTCACTGCACAGTGATCAGCATTGCGCGCAGGACGTTCCAACCAAATAACCTACTGTTCTCATCATCTTCTGCCATTCTTGCTGAGTAAAGGCTGCAAGCCGAAATCAATGAATACGATGTTTCCCGGTGAAAGTATACACAGATGGAGTGGTTGTGGAGGATGTTTGTGGTAGATCGTAGTAATGCTGAACTTTTGGTGGTAGCGAAGAAACGCGGTCGCAGTTGGCGCAGCCGTCCCTCGTTCCTGTCGACGCGTGATCGAAAACGGTTAGGTAAAGTGGTTTCTTGGCATTGGCGCAACCCCAGATTCCGAACACCGAGACATCATCTTCATCACCACTCAGCTAGACATCTTGTTCGCCTCCTAGAGCAACAAACAGATCACCATCTCATATCTTCATCTTGCGGCATTGTGGCCTTTATTGACGGCATCTGTGATCGCATGTACGATCCGTGAAATCACTCTCTTGTTCCTCTCTTTTTCACCGAATATCAATAATCCCATTTTTGGTCTACACCCACCGCCACCATGGGTGTCCCCAAATTCTTCAGATGGATGAGCGAGCGCTATCCTGCGATCTCGCAGCTCATTGCGGAGAATCGCATACCAGAATTCGACGCCCTTTACTTGGATATGAACGGCATCATTCATAATTGTACCCACAAGGATTCAGATGACGCCTCCTTTCGGATGACTGAAGACAAAATGTTCATCGCGATCTTCAACTACATCGAGCACCTGTTTGGCAAAATCAAGCCCCAAAAGCTGTTCTTCATGGCAATCGATGGGGTAGCACCCAGAGCCAAGATGAACCAGCAACGTGCTCGCCGCTTCCGCACTGCACTCGATGCAGAGAAAGCCAGAGACAAAGCCATCAAAGAAGGCATTGAACTTCCAAAAGAGGACGCCTTCGACAGCAATTGTATCACTCCTGGTACCGATTTCATGGCAAAATTGACCAGACAGTTGAAGTACTTTATCAGCAAGAAGGTCTCTGAAGATGTCGATTGGCAGGGTGTGGAAATTGTCCTCTCTGGTCACGAAGTCCCTGGCGAAGGTGAACACAAAATCATGGAATATATTCGACAAGCCAAAGCACAACCTGGTTACGACCCGAATGTCCGTCATTGTCTCTACGGTCTGGATGCCGATCTCATCATGTTGGGTCTTCTGAGTCATGACCCCCATTTCTGCTTACTTCGAGAAGAAGTCACATTTGGACGACAATCACAAAAGAAGTCAAAAGAGTTGGAGCACCAGAATTTCTATCTTATGCACCTCTGCATTGTGAGAGAATACTTAGAACTGGAATTTCAGGAGTTGAAGCAGGAAGGTGCCCTCGACTTCCCTTACGACATGGAACGAATCATTGACGACTTCATCTTGATGGCATTCTTTGTGGGCAATGATTTCCTTCCCAATCTTCCAAACCTTCACATCAACGAAGGAGCACTGGCGCTCATGTTTCAAAAGTACAAGCAGGTCCTTCCGGGGTTGGGCGGCTACATCAATGAGCACGGAGTTATCCAATTGGATAGGCTGGGTATCCTTCTGGACGCGTTATCTGACGTTGAATATCGTTTCTTCGAAGCCGAATACAGCGATGCGAAGTGGATCAACGCGAAGCGCAATGGTGCGGAAGAAGAAGAGCCTGCCAAAGCGCAGCGTGGTCCTGTAAGGATCACACCCCAGCAGAAAGAGCTCTTCAAAGAGGTGAAGAAGTACTTCATCTCGCCTGCAAGCAAGGATCCTGCAACCAGACAACCGCTCACGCTTCCTACCTCACTCCCGGCGAGGGATCGCAAGTTCATACAACAGCTGGCAACAGACCTACATCTACAATGGGCGACCAAAGAAGACGAGGAAGGCGATCGTTTCATTCAACTAGAATTCCCACCTTCGAATGGCGAGGAAGAGTCCGAAGATGAAGAGTCACAATTAGCCGTGACCAGGATCCTCAAGCGCTACGAGAATGCCAAGGTAGAGGACATCACGGACGGACAAGCCCAAATCGATCTGAAGAAGAAGTATGATGAAAAGTTCCTGGAGTGGAAGGACAAGTACTACAGAGAGAAATTCGATTGGGGTCTCGAAAACGAAGAAGGTATGAGACAGCTGACGGAGAATTACGTTCAGGGTCTCCAGTGGGTGCTTTTCTACTACTACCGTGGTGTTGCATCCTGGCCATGGTACTACCAATATCACTACTCACCAATGATTTCGGATGTCAAGAAGGGTCTGGCAGCCGATCTGAATTTCCAGCTTGGGCAGCCGTTCCGGCCATTCCAGCAATTGATGGGTGTCCTGCCGGACCGCAGCAAGAAGATCGTCCCAGAAGTATATCACCCGTTGATGACCTCGCCAGATTCGCCAATCATCGACTTCTACCCACGAGACTTCGACTTGGACATGAATGGTAAGAAGATGGAGTGGGAAGCTGTGGTGAAGATACCATTCATTGACGAAAAGCGTCTGCTTGGCGCCATGGCTACCAAAGACCCTCTTCTGTCTGAAGATGAACGCATCCGCAACGACTTTGGGGTCAGTCTGAAATTCACCTATTCAGATGAAGTTGACTACACGTATCCATCTTCTCTAACCGGCATTTTCCCTGATTTGCCTCATTGTCACTGTGTTCAGAACGAGTTCGAATTGCCAACAATGGACGGTCTGGAACCTTTTGTTGGTCTGGTCGAGGGAGTCAAACTGGGTGCGGCCGCCCTGGCTGGTTTCCCAAGCTTGAAGACCTTGCCTTTTACTGGGTCTTTGGGTTTCCATGGAGTCAACGTCTTCCAACAAGACAGTCGAAATGAAAGCATGGTCATTACCTTGTCCGACACCGAGTTACGAAGCAGGTCAGAATTTGCGCAGCAGCTGTTGAACAAGCGAGTACATGTCGGATACCCGTTTCTGCAAGAGGCGAAAATCGTCAAGGTGTCTGACGAGCTCTTCGACTACACCATGCCCGAGGACGGACCTCAACACGTCCGGGCGACCGAGCACAGTGGGAATGAAATTGACCAATTTCACAAGAAATCCGAGCGCATCGAAAAATGGTACAGCAAAAGACTTGGAATGCTGACTGGCGATGTGGAAACGCTTGTGCACGTCGAAATGCTCAAAGGTTTGAAGAAGCTCGACGACGGATCTACTGTCAAAGAATTTGCTGAACTTCCCGGAATGGAAACAATCCATGCCACACAAATGGTGGTTGAGAATGTCATTAGTGAGGACGTTCGATTCATCGAAAAAGCGGCACTTCCAATCGAAGAAGAATTTCCAGACGGCACGAATGCTTTCTTCCTTGGAGATTATGCATACGGAAGACCTGTCAGCGTCGTTGGACATGAAAACGGGAAGGCGAAATGTCTCATTGCTCTTTCAAGTGGACGACAGAATGATTTCGGACGTGACATCGCACGTCAAGCTCAGAAACTTTCGCCATACGTACCCTCATACGCGGTCGCCCGAAACCTCAATCTGAATGCGCTGGCGTTGGCGAAGATCACTTCGTCCTTTACTGTCGTGGTCGACGACACCAGAGTCAACCTCGGCCTCAACCTCAAATTCGAAGCAAAAAAGCTTAAGGTACTGGGTTATTCACGAAAGGGCGAGACGGGATGGGAATTCAGTCCAGCAGCCGTAGACTTGATCCAACAGTACATGATCAAGTTTCCACAGTTCATTGCAGCAATACACAACAATCCTCAGGGTGACATGTTACCGGCCACAGCATTCTTCCCTGGTGACAAGGAAGAGGCCAAGGCCAAGATCAAGGAAATTCAAGCATGGCTCAAAGAGATCCAGTCAAAGAGCTTCGAGAAAGTGCCTCTAGACGCAGAACAGCTTGATTCGGAGATTGTCAAAGGTATTGAGCAAGCCGCCGACGAGGCGCTTCGCACTGAACCACCACCACAGAACAAGACCATCGGGGGTGTCCCACGCCACGGTCTGCTGAAGCCTTCTGACGCCCAGTGGCGTCTGGGAAGTCAGAGGTTCAGTCTAGGTGATAGGGTCATCTACGTGGCCGACTCAGGAAAGGTTCCCATAGCCTCCAAAGGTACGGTTGTGGGATTGACCCAGACTACGCGGGAGACTTGGCTTGATGTCGTGTTCGATGTATCTTTTATGAGTGGTACATCGCTGGGCGATCGATGTTCGCCCTTCCGAGGGTCCACGGTGCCTACTTGGTCAGTACTGAATCTCACCAATCGCCAGATCCTCGCATCCTCCAAGGCCAGTACACACAGACAACCATCTTCAACACAATCGCCACTTACTGTCGCTGGCTATGGTCAACCAGGTATCAATGGCCAAGCGCAACTACGTCCGGCACAGGCGCCACCAGCTCTGCGAGGATCATGGCGTGGAGCTGTGGGTGGAGCAACAACAAATGGTCGTGGCGGCATGAACGGTACAGCTGGTCGAGGTCACGCCAGTGGCACAACCATGCCTATCCGGACTTTCGCTGGAAACAATGCGAATGGTGGTCGTGGAGCCAATGGATTTAGTGGTGGACGAGGAGCCAGAGGCGGCTATACACCCATTGACCGTGGTGATCCTCAAGCTGGAGTCATGCACAACAATCCCAGTTTTCGACCGAAGTCACATAACAACGTCCCTCCGCCAGCGGACTTGAACAATCCGTCCACCCCTCGTGGGCGTGGTGGTCGAGGCCGTGGTGGTGCAGCTCGAGGTGGGCGAGGTACCTCTTCTGTGAGAGGTGGATCTCAAACACAGACGTCATCTTGAGCAAGCATCTACGCAGGCATGTGTTGTGGATTTTGAAGCATGACTTCGACATGGACCTGGGAGGTGCATTGAAAGGGGAATAACTTGGTGAATCAAGGCTATCGGTCAGTGGAACGGGACGGCTCTCTTATCGCAGCACTTGCATGCCGAGGGTCAGACTGGATTCGGGAACCAACGAGGCTAAAAATCCCTGTACCAAGCCCCGCAGCAGTTCGTCCACCTTTGAGATGTCGAACATGCAAGCTGCCACATGATCGAGTACTATATACAGTCAATTGCTGGCAACTGCTGTACTGTAATGAGCCCTTGGGCTTGCGACAGAGCAGTCCAGAACACATCTCGAGCCTTCTGCTACCAATACGTCCAGAATGGACGCTCTCAATTACCCCTCCTGTTTCTCTATTTCGCTCCATGCAACACCGAACAGCAGGCTGAGAGATCGCGCCAACTTGCGCGCTACTGACCTGCACGTCATTTGCATGCCTGATTCGTCCCCTTGTCAACTCTTCTAACGTTTGCATCCTCCACCTTGGACTGTCCAGTGTCCACACTGTCTCTTCTCCATTTTCCCTACATCATTCCCCTCTCGCTTGTCACCTATGATTCGACACACCTATGGCGTTCCTGGCTTTCTCCACGCTGCTGCTGAGGACCACGTCAGACCTCGTTCATACAGAAAGAACCCCCACGCTATTGTGAAAGCGACACGTTCTGTTCTAACAATGTCCACCCACATCATGTGCTTGACTGCATGCCTTATGCTCCCCCACTGCGCTCCTGTCTGTCGCATAGTGCCTCCTGGTGGTGCAATGGCGCATGATGAGGACTGTGACTGCTGCATCACAGTAACACAATATATGGCAGGTGCACATCACACCTGCAAACCCCGCTGTCTACCACCACACTTGCATTCGTTTACAGGGTGGGAGTAAACACCGATGCGAAATGCATCCTCTCTTTCTTTTTGTGACACCCGAGAACCTGCCAGTCCGTCCGTTTAAATCAGCAGTTTTGCTGGTCTGGCTTGGTCAAGAGATTCCATTTCTAGTTTTTTCCATATCATACCTATCTTACGGCACCTTATCTTGAAGGCCGCTCGGAAAACGGGTCTTGTCCAATTGCAGTATCACTTCCATGGTGCGGTCCGGTCCACACAAACTGTGACTCCTGACTACGGCCCATTAATCAAAATTGACAAGGATTGAAAGTGTGCTCCCACCTGACCTCAGCAGCTGAAGTTTCCTTGCTTCCACACATTACACTTGACATATCCTCGGATGCCGCAAGCGCCTCATTGAACACGGCAAGAAAGTGATCACTCAGCACAATGACGACTTCCACTTTGACATTTTACCGGCCTCCATCGGTTGTTCGATAGCAGCTCTGATCGAAAATCAAGGACCCGAACAAGCGGTGGTCCTGATCAAGCGGAAACATATTCCTACATATTTGGTATAATCGTGAGCAAGACAACCGGCTCTTCGAGGCGCTCACAGTCGACCTCTTGCTGCCCTCCCGGTGTGCTTGGGATCGACGCCATCAAGAACAAGTACTTCTCCATCCTGGAGTCATGGCAGACTCCATGAACCTGATATCTGCCCAGATATCTTTCCTGGTAAGCCATTGACACTGGTACCTTGTTTACCTGGATAAGAATGAAGTTGGACCGTGGACTATGACGGTCGAGGCAATCAGACAATGCTGACCAGGCCGCTCACTTCAGGAACCACATATCGCCCTTATTCATATACCAATTGAACTGTACGGCTTCTGTCTACAGCCAATCTTGAGGCTCCTTTTCGGCGATGACCATGACGAAGACGCGTCTAGCATCCCATGGACGAACCGACACGATTTCCTGAACATCTCCATCACACCCGTGGAATGTTCCATCATCTGTTCCAGACACCTGGCAGACCGGTTCATCCTGCCGGTAGCAAATGTACTCAATCGACTGGTCAACGGCGGCAGCATCAGCATCAGCACCAGCAACCCCAAGACCGAAATTGAAATCAGTACCGAAGACTATATCGTCATACAAGTCGACGGGCAAGGCCTCGATGCGGGCCAAAGAGTCCTCGAACTAACTTCTCCGCTGGCCATGGCTGGAATGTAAGTCGATCTACCCACTGAGGATCTTCGATGCGACGCTAACGCTTGAATTATAGAAGCATCTTCTTCATCACGACGTACTTTTCAGACTATATACTCGTCCCCTATAAGTCGCGTCGGACGGTCACAAAAGCGCTGCAGAAACGGGGCTTCGTATTCTCTCACAGCGCCGATGCATTCGTGTCGCAACTTTCACCATCATCACCAGCCGTCGGTCAAGGCGGACGGTTGAACTCCAACTCACCTCTCTATTTTAGTGAAAGTACGTCCGCACCGTCGACGCCTCCAGCAAAAGATTTACCGGAGCTTCAGGTGCGGACTTTCACGAAACTCAAGCGCAGTAACATTATTCCGCTCGTCGATAGCGAGGTCCGGCTGGCCAGTTGTGCTGGAAGTCGAGAGATCGATGTCCTGCGGGACGAACGGCTCAAGTGTGATCTTTTGCAGGTCTTGATTTCTACTTCTGCTGTGTCTGATGTGGCGAGTCGGGAAGCGGAGAAGCCGTCAGTCACCAGTGGTGGACTTGGCGTCAACGAGAACCACAGTGCCGATGCCGATGCCAATGCTGGTGCTGGTGGTGATGGAATGAATCTCGGAGCGAACTTCTTGTCATTGACGATTACGGCCGGAGAACCGATCTCGGTGCTCGTAGAACATCGTTTGCTCGAACGACTGGGACAATCGCTTCTGGGCGCGAAAGCCGAGGAAGATGCATTGATTCCCATCACGCTGGATCTCCGGGATCTGCCGCTGGATGCTACGGGCATTGTGTGCGGAGTGGCGGGTCGACTTGCGCAGGGCGACGTCGAGGATGATGAGGGGTTAAGTTCAGAGAAGGCTGAACCTATTGAGATATCGTTCTTGAGCACGGCCAGAGCTGGGACCGTTATTGTCAGGGCGAGTCAATTGCAAAAAGCACTTGATGCGTTGGAGTATGGGATGAAAAGGGCGGCTGATGTCGCCGTCGCTGGATGAATCGATCGATGGACACAGAAAAAGCATGCATTAGGAATGGGTTGATTTGCATAGCATTGGATGGAGGATGGATAAAAGTTGTTTGAATTGCATTTCATAAGCAGCGGTGGCATTGAAGGGCGTCGCTGCACACAGCCAACCTCAGCTTTAAACTATGAGGTGCATACATTCTGGCGTTGTATACCATATTCATCTGTCCACACAAAAGGTTCTTCGCTCTTCACCCAGCAGCATAGACCTTGACAACACCATCAGCGCCACCTCCAGCCCACAACCCCTGCCTACCCTGCGCTTGACTCCCTTCCCTCCATCTCACCACACTAACAACCCTGCCCGACGTACTGACATCCAGCATTCCCACGCTCTTCCCGCTCAGCACATCCCAGCCCCTAACCTTGCCATCACTCTCGCTCCCACTCAGGACTAAACTCTCATTACTGGCAAAACAGCTCTTCAACCTCAGACTATCATTCTTATACCCCTCCTTTTCGTCTTCCGCCGGGAATCCCCTCAAGCACGTCCCATCCTGACGATCCATCATCCTAATCCGTCCATCAAGACACCCGACAAGCACAGTCCTTCCATCCCTCGAGAGATCCAAACTCGTTACCGGCCCCGGCATAACATCCATCGTAACCCGCCCCATTCTTACATCATAGCTTCGTACCCGTCCATCCACACTCCCACTCACAATCTCATACCCGTTTCCCGGGACACATAGATCAGAAATCCCGTCCTTGGCTTCCTCCAGGACCATTAGCGGTTTATTATCCCGACTCTTGACGTCCCATAACCTGACTGAGGTGTCGTCACTACCTGATACCAACACGTTGTCGGACTCCCCGGCGAACGCAACGCAGTTTATACGGCTTGTATGTCCTGCGTTGGTGTTTGACCCGAAACGTCGCAGTGTGCCGTCTGCGCGCTGTACGTCCCAGAGAAAGACGGAGCGGTCGCCGCCTACGCTGGCGAAGGTTTGGTTGTCTTGGGACACGGAGATGTCGAGAACGGGATAGCCATGGGCTGCGTACTTTTGGATCGCTGTACTTATGGGGATTTTGTTTGTGGTAGTGGTAGTGGATGAGGGTTCGGAGCGCGACAGGTGGATTTGGCGATCACTTGACCCGGTTAGGATGTATGTGCCGCCTAGACTGGAGAATGTTATGGCGTTGATGGGGCCGGAATGTGAGGTTAGGGTGTTGATGAGAGAGGAGGGGAGTTTGGGCGGTCGGCTCATGGTGGGCGATCAATGTAGTTACGAAGCCAGTAGGCGGTAGATGTCGTGGGCTCGAAGAGCATAGTTATCGGTCGTCAGGGCATCATGTTGAGAGACACCATACTGTGCGCGACAGGCCTACTCCTGCGAGACAGGTTTGGTCTACTGAAGGCTGAGAATGGAATGGAGGAATCCAAGGCTACATAAATTTGTCTTTGTAGGAGGGGGTGATCCGAAGTTAAGCCGAATCATAGCAGAAGGGGCTGGCTCGACGGCAAGCGTTGAGACTCATCGCCTGCGAATAGTTGCTAGAGTGTACTTCTTATTGAACATTCCGATATGTACATATATGTCTGATAGTCTTTGCCTAGTACGGGACCGTCTCCTCGACGCTCCAAGCACACAGTAACAACGTCATCTCTGCCTCAGAGCCTGCTGTATCCCTAGCGATGACACCTTTGCAAGGGTCTGCTTCCATCGTATTGCATTTGACAGGGCGTTAGTAAGTATATTTGAATCCTCTCAGACCCTCAATTTCCTTTCCACCAGCGTCAACGCGCTTGTTGGCTCGGTAGAACTTGAAGTCCAAGGCCAGGGTGATGACGATAATCAAGGCACTGGCGAGCATGCAGGTAATGATACCAGGGTGATACGCAGGCTTGTCTTGCTCACGGAACACTGTGCCACCAATGATGCCACCAATACCACCGGCACCGACGAGGGTTGCGGAGCACAGAGCACGCTTCCACTGGCCTCGAATGTTGTTGGCTTGCCAGGTGAGCACACAAGGGACATTTGCATTGCAAGCCGTCGTGGCCAAGAAGACGCCGAAGTAGCGCACACCAACGTTTTTGGCGAAGCCCAGGAGGGGCAGACCTTTGAATCTGTCAGTAAGAGAGCATGAAAATAGAGCAAGGACACTCACCAATGAGGCAGAGACAGCCGTTGATGAGGATGAAGGGAGAACGGAGATGGTATTTGTCGCCGAGCACGGCGAAGGTGAACATCACAATGGCGGCAAGAACATAAGGAGGGGCGATAAGACACTCGGAGGCGGCGACATTGAAGCCCATGCCATCGCTGAGGATGATTGGCAAAAAGTACGCGATAGCGTAGGTGTTGGTGGTTGTAAGACCAAATAGCGCTGCAAAACCCCACACCTTCAAGTCCAGTGCATTTCTGAGGTAATTTCCCAGCCTGAATGGTTCGGGGATAGCATCATGACGATCTTTCTCAATCCGTGCAACAACGAAAGCGGCTTCTTTCTCATTGAGGAATTTCAAACCGAAGCTGTGGGTGGACAGTTCGGGAAAGTCGACAATGAAGAGGAATGCCACGATGGCCATGATGCAGGTTGCGGTTCCCTGAAGAATGAAGATCCATCTGCCGCCATGTTAGTGATCAGATCGATGTTCTGGACTCAGCCTTGCTTACCTCCAACCTGCAATGCCGGGGAGAATGCCCGAGGGAGCAGTAGGGTCTGCTGCGGTAGGACCATAGTGCTGTCCCCACCATGCTGGACCGGAGCCGTGATTCTTGAGTTGGGAGAATCCGTAGGCAATGATACCGGAAAAGGCGGATGCCATGGAGCCAATGAGATAGAAGACAGCATTGCGTTTTTGGAGCTCATAACGCGGATACCAGCAGCTCAGTAGATAGGCGCATCCTGAAGGGAAGTTAGCAATTGCGAATTGTTGCGGTTGGATGAGAGGGCACTTACCAGGAAAGAAGCCAGCCTCGAAAATACCCAAGACTAATCGGAGAGGAATGAGGTCGGTCCATGCTCTCACAAACCCAAAGCAAATCATGCACATGCCCCAGAGAAGGGTGATAGTTGGAAGGAAGATACGTGGGCCGACCTTGCGAAGGACCACTGTGGCAGGGGGCTGTAGCAAGACGTAGGTGATGAAGAAGAGGAGGACGATGATTGAGTATCGATCACCAGTGAGGACGAGATCGACGCCCATACCAGCAACGACGGCGATACCGGTGTTGGTACGATCCATCAGGGAAACACAGTAGAGAAAGCCTAGAGTGAGGACCAGGCGTCTGTCGATGCGCCAGATGATCTTTTTCTGCTCCTCGGGGGTGAACTCAGCAATCCGGGCATCGTTGAGTTTGTCCGAGTTCACGGACGACTGGGTGTTGACCTGCTCTAGTCTGTTGTCGGCTCGCTCAATCTCATTGATATCGAGCCCCTTCTCGACTGGGGCGTCGTAGGACGTCATGGTGTATAGGACGAAGGTATTATCAAGGATGTGATGAAGTGGTGCAGACCTGGGAGAGGAGATCAAGGACTTGGGTCGACTGAACGTTCAGACGATCGAGGCGGAGGAATATATACCCACGTTTCGGCTCTCGGTCCGTATGCACTCAATTGATACGAACTTCCCCAGATATAGCGCTTCGCAGACAAGAAGACTCGGCGCTGTCAATCATCGAAAAAAGGGAGTAGGTCAATCATTCGTGGTGTAAGCCAAGAGAGTCCAGAACACCTCGCTAACGAGCATGAGCAAGGATCGTCAAAGTTAAGAAGGCTGGGGTTGTGGGACTTTGCAGGTGATAGGCCCAGTGAGGGATGGTTGCGCCTTTGAGAACCACTTTGCCAACTGACAAGAGGCAAAACCCCGGACTCCGTGAGTGATTGCCACTGGGTAGTCCGGGGTAAGCGAGAATGGCACGTTTCTGACTTTTTGCCGTCTGCACACGAGACCTTGCATTAGACCTACCACTTGCCCGGTGCCACGGAAAACGACTGTCCCTCCGTGATCTTGCTCGAATATTTCAACCGTTTTTGGAAGGCTGCCCTTGATGCTCATGATTACGGTTCAAGAATCCGGGGGATTCACCACACCAGACTGGTAGACTGCATCTCAGGAAGTCTTGACCTGCACAGTGCATCACCCTAATAGGAGGCCAAGGCTTGGAAGGCCCGCCTAGACCTGGGCAGACATCGATCGATCTGCTCTTGGAGGTTGATGACTCGAAATGGACGAGTCTTTCGTGCATTGGCTCGAAAATGGGCACGCTGATTCATTGGAAGCCAAGCCTACCGTGAATAAGCTATAGCGAGAATGGGAGGGTGGTGGCTGTCAGTGCAGCAAAACCCCGATCATGACTGAGGTTGCATAAAGCGGAAGCGCTCGGTAGAAAGGTCCATCTCGTATTGCTGACAGACGAGAAGGTTAGCAATAGCGGGACCAAGCGAAGGCAATCAAAGCTAGTCTGCGTGCGAAACCTGCTCCGTCAAAGTTTGGACTGTGTTGTGGAGGGTTTTGCATGTCTGGAGAAAGCAGAGGAGCGGGGTTGAAGCACACCACGGTTTGATTCCGCAGGTAGTGACAGTAGATTGCTGGTTGGCGCGACCTCGTCAGGAGTACAGAACAGGACAACCGAGGCTCCTTTCACGGTTCTCGCCAATTCAGGCGTATTTTGCTGTCCGAGAAGTCTTGGATTCGCTCGGCAGTTCCATAATCAAGATAGTGAGATCCCATTGGGGAATTGTAAAGCGAGCGAATCGCGAAGGAGAAGGAGCGACTGGCATCCATTGGGCACAGGTGAGAGAGGGAAGTCGTTTGGAGTGAGATGAGAGAGTCTCTGGAAAGAACTTTCAGAGCGTCTTGCAGTCTTTATATCTGCCATAAGATAGATTAGATTCACCATGGATTAATCAACAGTATTAGGCTGTATATAGCGGCAAGGATGTTCAGGAGTTTTTCCACGAATGAAAACGATCATCGAACTCAAAGAGTGCCATATAGCACTCTCTTGGGAGTGTTTGTGTGGCTGCTTGAAGACAATGTGTGCCGATTTACCGAGTAGTCGTACTCACATGTGGTACGGAGTACTTGGAGTTGATATGATGATGATGTACATATCCAAAGTCTCCCGCATTGATGTATGGTGGAAAGCATAGAGAGTGGAGGAGGAAGAGGAGGTGGAGGAGGACGGAGATGGGAAAAAGTATTGATCCGGAGCTAGACCATTCCTGGCAGATTGTTTACAAGCCGTCTTTCTCTGGACTGCGCCATACACGTTTCAATTGTATACCGCACAGACTCATTCTTTTACCCATAGGCGACTGCAGGCAGCCTCTTAGGTCTGCGCGAGAGTGTGTTGTTGTCTCTCGTTTTGGTGTCTTAAAACACAGTCATCATCTTATTGTTTGTGTGCGCAACATCCTAATACGCAACCTGAACCAGTACACTCGTTCAATCACACGTCTCAATGCGAATGTCTCTCCGCCGAATGGAAAACGCACCTTCCTTGACACAGACTTAGCCTTTGCCATCGATACAGCGACATGGCACAACTACCAACGAGATTCCCCTGCTGGTGCCGCGCAGTCTATTCTTGGGGTGGAGAAACCGACAGAGATCTGGGATTTGTCGAGGGCGACTTAATCGAATGCCTGAACGCTGGAGATGGGTCTTGGTGGATGGGAAGACTACGGAGGGACAAGCGGATGATGGGACTGTTTCCATCCAATTTCGTCATGGTTCTTGAAGACAACTTCGTCCCCAAGAGTCGATCCGTCAGCCCAATGCCAGAACTGCAGAAGAGTGACAGTGGCCGCAAGAATAGCCCAGCCCAACTACAGGAGAAAAAGGAAAGAGCAAAGTCAAGAAGACCTTTCCAAGGTTACAAGAATGCCAAAACTCCCACTGGCACTGGCGTTGCTTCACCCCCAGCAGTTACGACGGTATCAAAGCCAGCTCAACAACCAATAGATCCTCGAAATCCTCCATCTACTGTCCTATGGCAGCAAAGACCGGTTTCTCGAGGACCATCTAGATCACCTTCACCACTGCCACATCATGAAATCGGCTCATCACCCCCACCACCGCCGCCACCGCATCGTACCCTTGGAGGCCCCAGTGGCAGTCTGTCTAGAGCTCCTTCACCCGCACCTCAGCCATTGGACATGAACGACCGATATCAGAACTTCTCCCGTACACCATCTCCTGCGCCACCATCCTTGAACGGACACACCCCGCCAATGATCCGAAGCGCGATAGACGATGTCATGACCTCACTCGACGATATGACATTCTTAAATCAGGAGGAAGAACACGAACAACAAAAAGAGTTCAATCCATGGTCGCCAGAGGCATTCGACGATTTCCGTCGTCCCAATGAGAGGCCTCCAGCAAGACCCTTGACCAGTCTTGGATTGGGTGAAGGCGGTAGCAACTACTCAGAGGGACGTATCAACTATAGTAGTCGGCATAATACCCCCGACAGATTTCAAGATGGTCCTCCTAAGCTGGAAAATTATGTTCAAAGAATGGAAAGCAGACTTCGGCGCATGCAACAGGCTCGAGAAGTAGGACTGAACCCAGATGATCTTGGAAGTGACCCTCCAGAACCGCCACCAAAGAGCTCATGGTCTTCGAGGCCTGTGTCTTCGATGGGAGGTCGACGACCTTCGGTGCGACAGAGAAAGTCGGCCTACGAGCTGGGAGATGGTGGATTGGCGAGAACGTACACCACCAAGACCAACTCGACCAATTCTAGCAGCGGTGTTCAAAGTGTAGCCACCAACTCTTCACATCAGACGAGCATGACCAGTCAGAGTCTGATGAGCGGATACTCGGCGGGCGGGTTCAGCGCCACCAGTGCAGGAAGTCTTGCCAGAAAGAGAATGGGGAGCATCCGAGACCGAATGACCAGACCTATAACCAGTGCAGGAACAAGAGTCGAGCAATGGGGTCAAAGTGATATGCGGCCGAAGACACCTACCAGAAGCTCATTCTATTCCGGTCTTGACTCAAGACAGGGCACAAGATCCGCAGTGGGGTGGGAAGACTCGGATCGAAGTGCAACTGGAGGACTCGGTGGTCTGACAACTCCAAAAGCAAAGAAATCTGGATTTTTCAAGAAGCTCATGGACAGTGCAAAGACGGGCGCTGCAAGTGCGAGAAGTACCATATCCGCCAGCCAAACAGGAAGCAATGCTGGATCACCAACGAAGATGACGGGCATCGCTGGAGGTAAGGCATTCAACGCACCTGTACGGAGCTCAAGTCCAGTGGGTGGCGCATATGGCAGAGATGCTGCGAAGGAGATGGGTCTTGCCAGCGGAGCATCCGGCTCGTACATCTTGACGCGGCGCGACATCAATCGCTCAAACACACCAGGGCCATCAGAACGAGAAGAGCGGGCGGACCGTTGTCACATGCTGGACCAGCCAGTGATATGTCCGGTCGAAGAATTGTACGAGAATCTTCACGGCGATGAAGATGCCAATGGACGGCCGGTATATGAACCATTACAGCTCAGCAACCCCAGTTTCAGTCAGGTAGACAAGGCAGCACGATTTATTACCAGTCTACCGAGCAGCATCACCGCAGGAACGCTGGCTTCTGGCTTCATCTGCAGGCCCCACCGAAGTGGTGTCCAAAGACTTCGGGCAATCTTCATTTGGTGTGCAGAGAGAATCAATTGGGAGGAAGATCATGACATGGACGGTTATAACTACAACGTATCCATCGATACTAGGAAAGTGGTCCAGTCAAAGCGTGGTTGCAGCAGAGAGATCTCGGCTGTGATTGTCGAAATGTGTACCGCCATTGGAATCCATGCCGAAGTCGTGCAAGGATATTTGAAAGCACCTGGGGAAGAGCTGGATCTGGATGCACTTTCTCGACCGAACCACTTTTGGAACGCTATCCTGGTAGATGGTGAATGGAGGATGGTCGATGCGAGCCTGGCAAGTCCGACCAACCCGAAGAGAGCCTTGTACTCGAATATCAGCACGAGCATAGCAGAAGCTTGGTATTTCCTGGCCAGACCGAGCGAAATTTGTTGGACTCACATTCCGGTTGAAGATGCCCAGCAGCACATGCTACCCAGCATTAGCCCGGATGTGCTTTTGAGTCTGCCTGGCACATGTCCTCAATTTTTCCGCCAAGGACTCTCGATGCATGCGTATGACACGAGCGTGATAAGAATGGAAGGACTCGAGATGTGCACTTTCAGCATCAACGTGCCTGCTGATGTCGAAATTGTGGCAGAAGTCGAGGCAAAGCAATTTCTCCATGACCAGGACGGTGACTTGTACGAAGATACGGACAATGTCACCACGAAGCGAGCCCTGACGCAAGCAAGCTGGTACCGTACCATGCCCAACACAGAGATTTATCAGAAACGGTACGTCGTCAAAGCTATCCTACCAGGGGACGAAGGCATGGCCGTGGTCAAAGTCTATGCCGGTAAGAAAGGATTAATGCTCAGTTCGCGAGACATTGTACATCCTCTTGCATTGGCATTGCCGCTGTACCATTCCGGAGAGAACCCGGCATACGATTTTGTGTTGCGACATCCGACGCCGCACGCTACTAGGCAGGATCTCTATGTTGTGCAGCCGCAGTGTATGCGACTAGGTGCTGGCGAGACATACGTTTTCTGCGTCCGACAACACGTGGCATCTGTGGCTTCGACTCCAGCATCCGAACAGAACGGCTTCGACCTCCGGCCCGCTAGTCCAAACCCTCTTGTCCGACCTGCAAGTGCTATGAGCATGACGAGCAGCGCGGCCGGCAGCAATCCCAGTGAGCAGGGCAGCAATGCCAACGGCGTCGGAGGGGGAAAAGTCAAGGACAAACCTGCGAAACTGGCTATACAGAGCCCTGGAGGAAAGATTATCAGGTTGAATCGCAAGCACGATGGGTTACCTCAACCTTCGGCTTTCAGGGACGTCGATGGTGAAGTACTTGGCAGTGTTTGGGAGAACATCCTCAAGGTCCAGGAGCGCGGTACTTGGAGAGGTCTGGTGCTCGCTGATCGAAGTGCCAGGTGGTGCGTCTTTTGCGAGTGGGAATGTGTTTGATGCTTGGGTCATTTGGGCTCATGGAAACGTTCTGGTGACGGAGTTTGTGGTACATCAAAAGTTCTGCGCATTTGTTGGTCTCAATGTTGGACTATTGCCCGGCATATGGACGATTTGGAGGCATTTCGGGCTTTCTATGAAAGAGTTTTTGAGTGGTGTCCAAGGATATCTGGTCGGGTTGGGCCTATTTCAACGATGGGCGGTACTGGGAAGGATCGCCATGGGAAACATATGGCCAGATGCCGTTTGTGCATATTGTATGAGTACAACCAGGTATTTTGACGAACAATGATGACCATTCTATGAGACATGCTTCAAGGACTGTATCATGGTTCCAGCTTAGAATGTGATACTGTGGTAAGAATACTGCACAGGAATCTCCTTTTTATATCTCAAAATATAGTGCTTCGCTACGTCATTGCATACAACCACGTCTGAAAGAAGATTCTCTATCAGAAACCTTTTTTGGGCAAGGCTAGTTCTATATATCGAGAAACCCTGACTGAAGATATAGACGCCTGCAAGCAGAGCCCATATTATTACGATTATCTCCAAGCGTTTTTGCTGGCAGAGCACGACTCACACTGAGGTGTCGAAAACTGAGCACAATCTTTACTGTTGGCCACACGACCGTGAGTTTTGTGAAGGTTTAGTGGTGCAACACATTCGATACCAGCAGCACGATATCGACAAGCTTCTGCACGCCCAGCGTTTTCAAAGCCAGCTTCTTCCTTGCTTGTAAGGCAAGTAGGCGAGGTTCGAGAGGTCTCATCACCCAGCAGGTTGCCAGTCCTGGCAAGACCCAATGTCGCAACCAGCACCACCAGAAGAATCTGCACCAAGTGACGAGACCATGCCGACACTGTCATCGTATCTATCTCGAGTGCGGAGCGCGGTGTGTCGTCACAGCTCCAGCCTGGGGTCACCGAAAACGAACCGCACAGGGCAGAAGACCACGCTGGTAATGGGCAATCCCTCGGCCGATCTCGACAGTTTTATCTCAGCGGTGGTGTTCTCGTACTTTTACAATCTGAAGGCTCAACAGAATTCCGCAAGAACGACTACGCCAACATATATCCCCATCCTGAACCTTCCGACAGTGCGGTCCAGCGAACTATGGCGTCTCCGACCAGAATATGGGGTTGCATTGAGACTTGCTCTGGGCGAGGATGCGAGAACGATTCGGAAGCAAGATGCAGGAGAGCAGGGGAAGACGAGTGTGTTGGGGGAGGTTCTTACGATTGCGGATGTCCTTGATGATCGGCGTTCGACGTTGCATAGTGTGTTCGCACCATCACCGCCAGAGTCGAACGGGGACGAGCAGAGCAAGCTGGAGCAGGGGAAGAAGCAGGATATAATCCTAGTAGACCACAACGCCCCAGCACTTGCACTGCCGGGAGTCGACGAACGGACGATAGAGACGAGACTGAATGTCGTCGGGTGTATCGACCACCATGTTGACGAGGGGTATGTATCAGCCGACGCAGAGCCCAGAATCATAACAACAGGGATCGGGAGTTGTACGAGTCTCGTTGTTAAGCATTTACGGGATCAAGGAATGTGGCCCAGCACAACAGCAAGCGAGACAACGGGTGAGGATGACGGTGGCGAGGGTATACGGCAGATCGCTAGACTGGCACTGGCGCCCGTGTTGATTGATACGTCGAATCTAAGGGCCAGTGGGGACAAGTGCTCGGATGTGGATAGGGAGGTTGTCAAGTTCCTCGAAGGTATTGTCGCGTCGTCGAAGACGACTGGGGATACGCCCGTTGCAACAACGGGGGCTGCAAGCACAGAGAACGGAAACGAAGCACGATGGAACCGCGATGCATTCCACCAAGTGATTGGATCTGCGAAGGCGAATTCCTTGGATCTACTGAGTATGCAGGAGGTGTTTGATCGGGATTATAAAGTCTGGACTGAAGCTGGGAAACAGGGGCAGGTTAACGTTGGGATTTCAAGTCTGGTCAAGCCGCTTTCGTGGCTGATCGGACATGCTGGCTCGATCGAAAAGTTTCTCGATGAGGTGGACAGGTTCGCTGACGAAAGGAAGTTGGGCGTATTTTCTATGTTGACTCGCGCTGCGGAGGGAAAGGAGGTCGTTGTCCTGGTGGATGAGAGTGTCGACGGGGTCATTGAGAAATTCGAGGATGTGGGAGGGGAATTGAAGCTCAAACAGTGGAAAAGCGATAAAGAGTTGATGCAGGCATTGGACGAGACACTCGCAAAAAGAAAGGGGAGTTGGAAGATCTGGTGGATGGGAGATACGAGTAAGAGTCGGAAACAGGTTGGGCCGTTGTTGAGAGAGGCTGTCAAGACTATCTAGCCACCTTGTCAACTAGCCTACGAGATCTTGGAGGCCAGACCATGCTCTGCAATGTCATTTGCATCGCCGTCTGGTGTGGCGACGCCGGACTCTGCTTCGGCGAGCTTCTGCACTTGATCGTCTAGTTTCCCGTATGCTTTGGGGTTCTTGCGTGATTCGCCTCCTCCTACGCTTTTCATTTGGTAGCCCCTCACTCGTGGTCCTTGACCTGTTTGTTTGGGTATTTCGGGTTCGAAAGCGCGGTTAAAAGTCTCGACATCGGTGTCGAATGTGCCTTGTTGGATACTCTGCCGTATGTCCTCGAAGAACGAGTCTATTATGGTGTAGTTGTGGATTTGGAGGAGAGTCCAAGCGAGCATTTCGTTGGCTTGTAGGAGATGATGCACATAGGCTCGATGGTGGCGTGTGCAGGAGTAGCATTTGCAGTTGGGACTGAGGGGTGAAAGGTCGGTGGCGTGGACTGGGGACCACAGATCAGTGCCTAAAGGAGCATTGGGTCCTTCCGTGGGGCCTGGGAATGAAAATGATAAGGCGATCCCGTGCTCTGATGATTGTGTGACGAATGGCACAGTTATCAGGTCTATGCCTGCGTGGATTGCGGACAGTAAGGCTTGTGGACTTGCAGGATCGCTTAGGCATATCGTCGGAAGTCGCCTCAAGTCGTCCGGCAAGCCTGCCATGGTCATTGGCGAGTATATGCACAGGCCTGATATGTGGCGTCTGTATTCATCTCGTATGTCGGCGAGATATAGTGACAACAGCTGGAGTTCTAGAGGTGGGATGGAGGCCAAGAATGGTGTCGAGTCTTCCTCCCTGTTTTGAATGCTGTCTCGGAGCCACGCATGCGTTCTGTCAATGCTTCTTGCGATCCTCTTCTGACTGGCATCCTCCTTGGCGATCAAGTCCGCCATACTGGCCGCGACATCCGCCTTCAGAGCCTTCACGGCCTCGTTATACTGTTCCAGCTCGAGGAATCTAAATCCAACGGAGGTCGAAATCGCCAACGAAGAATTCGTGTTGTGGGCTGGGGGTATTATGTTGGGAACCCTTCTGGGACCTAGGACGGACAAGCACTGATCCGGTAGACCGATATACCGCCGTAGAGGTGAGTTACCATCTTGGACGGGAGTAGTGTATATGGGCGCATCTGTATGCGACTTTTCGATGACTATTATCCAACAACTGTAAGCCAGAGAGTCAGTGAACAGCTTTGCGGCTGATGGGGACCGAACGTACAGTCTTCCAGTGGTACATAGACCGCTGATATCCTCGTGTGTTTCTGCAGATTGTCCTGCGACAGGTGAGGGATCACGCCTCGAGAGGTCGGAACTATGTAATTTGGTGTATTGATAGATGGTCTTGAGTGCAAGGCGAGTTGACCAATTCTCGCCGCGGTCTCTGAGGCAGAAGCATGTTTTTGTAGGACGAATTTGAACATTTCACCCGGTGCCGGGGCTACTGGAGCGCCAGTTGCGTCCTCCATGTTGCCATCACTCTAGTCCTTGAGTGCAGGTGTGGTTGCGACAAAATATCCCCGGAGAAATATACTGCGCCAAATGCTTTAGAGCTGACCGTAGATCCATCCGGTGAAGCATACTACTTCGACCTCTCCCCCTTGCCTCCTATCTAGTGTTCTTGAAGACAGAGCTCTTATGTTGCTTGTGCATGAATACAATTCTGTACCATAACTATATATCCAGCGCGGAACACCCATAATAAGTAACGAAATCATGGAGGCTGCTACATCGAATGTCCGAAGAGGCCACCTCATCGTCATCGAAGGCCTTGACCGCTCTGGCAAATCCAGTCAATGCCAGCTACTTTTGGAGACATTGGAGGCCAGACACGATAGAGCTCGATACGTCAAATTCCCAGGTAGGTTGGGCTTACAATGGCAAAGAACGTAAGCTTACTGACCTTAGATCGAACCACGCCTACTGGACAGATGATCAATGGCTACTTGACTGGCCATGCTCAACAGGATGACCATTCAATCCATTTATTGTTCTCAGCCAATCGATGGGAGGCTATCAAGGGCATTCAAGAGGATCTCTTGAACGGAGTGACGGTCATAGTTGATCGCTATTCTTTCTCTGGAGCTGTTTATTCAGCAGCAAAGGAGAATCCCGACCTTTCGCTGGACTGGGCATGGTATCCTGAGATTGGTCTTTTGAAGCCGGATATTCTGTTCTTTCTCGACATCTCCTCCGCTGATGCTGCCAAGCGAGGTGGCTATGGCGCAGAGAGGTACGAGACCGAAAAGATGCAAGCACGTGTCCGAACATTGTTCAACGAGCTATTCCAGCGACTTGACAACGTCCGAGTAAAGGAAGTCGATGCAGGCAGAATAGTCAGCGAAGTCGCAACCGACATTTTGGCCGGTATCGAGCTGGTATCGCGAGACGAAGCTACGTCAAAGCCCTTGCAGAAGCTGGGACCACTCCTCAACATCACTTGAAATCAGGACTTGGTGTCATCTTTCGTCTTCGCTATCCTCAATCACAATCTCAAGCCTGACTTGATGGTCTGTCTGCTTGGTACCAGCCCTGGCTTTCGAGTTTGGACTGAATACCGACGCGGTGGAAGCAACTGATGCATTGTCGTCATCCTCGTCCTCTTCGTCCTCATGGTCACCACCAAAGTCCTCATCAACTACATCTTGTGCGGTAAGTGCTTCCTTCTCCTCTGCTTCTTCTTCACTTTCGCTTTCCAGTATTTCTGCGGCTGCTACAGCGGTGCTTTTCCCTTTCTTTTTCAAGAGTTTTTGAACCTCCTTCATCCCTCTTGTTCTCAAAGTTACTTGTTGCATCAGTTCCGTCCATGCATGTTTTTGGTTGCATGCTGGACAGCTTCCTTTACCAGGTACCATCGAGTCTGACCTTTCCTCTTTTAGCGATCGGTCCGCAAGGCAATTGATGTGCGATATGCCTTGACAGCCATTCGTGTGGCAGAGGACGAACAGGTCTCTGCGCAAGTCTATGCTGTCTCGACATGCGGAACATCTGTGGTCATCATCCTCATCGAGCAGGAACTGGCTTTTCTCAAAGACATTTCTCAAACGCGCATACGTGGGGTCAACGCCGTGCACACCACCCTTTCCGATGAGCTCTGCTTTTGTCATTCTCAGCACAGGCTGAGCGGAAGTAAACTCTTCTTGGTCGTCATGGGATGGTGTTTGGGCTGGGTCGAACTGCACCTCGATAGCAGCGGGAAGGTGTGTGTCGACTCTTTCGCACCAAGTCTGCCAGGACCGGTACACGTCCTGACTGAAAAAGCGGACCTCAAGCGGCCATTTGGAGAAATATGGGGCTCGGAGCAAGAGATGGAGATTGGAAAGTTTATCCATCATCGATGTCCTTGGTCTGCCTGGTCTTCGTGATGTCTTCCCACTCTTGGATGTCTTGGTTCGAGTCGTGGCGAAAGAGATGCGCTCCGTTGGTGTTATGTGCCTGGTCAAGTGCGAATTGTGCCACGCCCACTCAAACTGCAAGGCTGCTATGTTGGATGGAAAGCCAGCTACGATGCAGGCCATTTCCCATGGTCGAAGGCTGGCTCGTGATGTTCGCACGGCGCCACCTTGCACTCGGCCATTGTGTTGTGCCAAACGTCGTGCTGGATCTGGACTAGAGCCAATGTAGACGCTGGCGTGGCGGACAGTTGAACGAAGTAGATAGCAACAATAAAAGGCTGGGATTGGCTTGATGTCCATTGCCCTATTTGATTATAGCAGCCACCATCTGCCGAAGAAGCTAGGAAGTCGGCATGCAAGGCAAGGCACTGACCGGATGGTTGCGCGCAAAGTAGACGTATTCCTTGTGAGGAGCGCTGCGTACTTGTAGGGAAAGCCACAGATTCGGAGAGCGGATTGCAGCGACTTTGATGGAAGATAAAGCGTTGTTGCTTAGTGAAAACTGGTTGTGATTAATGTAGTGGAATGTACAATTTGTCCATATGGGCGCGATGATAGTGATAGTCGCGGCGAGGTTGTCGTCAAATCGCGAATCAACGGGTGATCACGTGAGTGGGGGAATCATCAAGATTATGGGCGACGAGTGCAAACTGCGGTTCTTCCACTTCAACCAACCAGATGCCGCTTCCTCCAGCCAATCCTCTTCTTCTATCTCATCGCTGGCGAGTCTTTTGGGTCTCTTGTGCCCTGCCCTTTCTACACTGACACACACTCTCTCACGCCTTGTCGACCTTTTCTTACCTCGATCTTATTGTCGACTCCTTCATTGCATCTGGCTCAGAGCCTTGTCCACCTTCCGTATGTGAGGTATTGCAGTCTCAAGTGCTGCTACAGCACTTCCACGCCGGTCGTGCACGACATAGACGAGGCTACCCGCATCCACTCGTTCCTCTCCCTCGGTCACGCCCGAATTTCGCGATCAATCATCATCGTCGGCTGAGAATCTTCTTTGCACGATTGCCCGGTTCTCTTGCATCGATTTGATTGTTGCCTAGGCTGCATGGTTGTACAATAGAGACATATCAATACTTGCAATTGGATTCATCAGACCTCTCAGTACGGCGCAGTCATGGTCGTTCCACCTTCAACTGGTGGTGTCGCACCTGCGACTGCGACTGCGAAAGCACCATCTGCTACTCGAATGAACGGTGCCGGACCCAGCACGGCCACTCCAGCCTTCCCATACAGTGCTCGCCACGCCCCTCCTCTCGAGATGCGCTCCGTCGAACGTAAAGGTGACCCTGCGAGTCGCGATCCACCTTCACGTGCCAGGCCATATGGATTGCTTGAAGCGCCAACATACAGACCGACCGAAGCAGAATTTCGAGATCCTATGGAGTACATTCGCAGTATCTCGGAAAAGGCTAGCAAGTTTGGTATATGCAAGATCATTCCTCCAGACAATTGGAATCCAGATTTCGCTATAGATACAGAGGTGAGCCTCGGGACAAGACCGTGGCAGAGGAGGAAAACTGACTGTTCTAGCGATTCCATTTCCGTACCCGACGTCAAGAAATTAACCTCGTAGAAGGAGGTAGGTTATGCTCAGCTCACCGGATGAATAATGTTGTTAACCAGGGTCTAGGAAACCGCACGAACCTCAACTATCTCGATCAGCTTGCCAAATTCCACAAGCAATACGGTGCTCACCTAAACCGCTTTCCAAGCGTCGACAAGCGTCCACTCGACCTATACAAATTGAAGAAGGCGGTCGAGGTTCGAGGTGGCTTCGAACGAGTTTGCAAAGACAAGAAATGGGCTGAAATTGGAAGAGACCTGGGTTACAGCGGGAAGATCATGTCATCTCTCTCGACTTCCCTGAAGAATTCGTACCAGAGATGGCTTCATCCGTACGAAGAATGGTTGAAATATGCTAAGCCCGGAGTTCAAGAGCAGCTCCAAAACGACCAAGGAGGATCATTTTCACCTGCCGTCGCTCCTCAGCCTTCGACGATGATGCCGATGAACTATCCCCCACCACCTCCGCAATCAGCTCCTCCTGCTCTAGGCAACGGTGAACCCAGCTTTCAACCGGTCATGCCTCCAAATGGTCCAGTCCATGCTCCTCCTGCTCCTGCACAACAACCAGCATTTATGCCGGCGGCCACGCCCATTTCTCAGCCACCAATCGCACCTATACCTCAGCCGCGACCAGTGTCCTCATCTGGCTTTACAGCAGTAAATAGCGGTTTTGCTGCGGTAAACAATCCCGGAGGTTTCACCGCTGTCAACACCCTGCCGCCTCCAATTGTGAAGAGCGAACCGAACGGTGTACCCTCTCCAGCTCCAAATCAAGCTTCGTCGTTCTTGCCGGTCAACCCACCTACAGTCACCACATTCCATCCTGCAGGCAGTCCGGTCCCCAACGGACCCTCAAACCCGCTGAAGAGGACTATGAGTCACGACAGTCTTGGAGACTCTGGTTCGGAGGGATTGCAGGGCGATGACGGTCCCAACGGAAGGAGGAGCAAGAGGCCCAAAAAGGATGGATTACCAACCATACCGGGAAATCATGTGCCTGCGATGCGCTCTGCTACACCTCAAGTCCGGTCAAAATCGACACCACGAAGACAAGGTGATAAGTGCGAAAAGTGTGGCACATCTGACAACAGCGATACTATCCTCGCCTGCGACAGCTGCGACTTGGGATATCACATGGCTTGTGTCGACCCACCACTGACCCAATTTCCTGAACATGACTGGCACTGTTCGAAATGCTTGGTCGGAACCAATGATTACGGCTTCGAAGAGGGTAGTGTCTATTCTTTGAAGCAGTTTCAGGAAAAAGCCCACAACTTCAAGGAACACTACTTCGGTGCACGTATGCCTTTTGATCCAGTCACAAATACACAGCGACGTCCCACAGAAGATGACGTTGAGCGGGAGTTTTGGCGACTCGTCGAAGACATTACAGAGTCGGTGGAAGTCGAATATGGGGCAGACATTCATTCCACCACCCATGGGAGTGGCTTTCCGACTGTGGAGAAACAACCTCTCAACTCTTACTCAAAAGATCCTTGGAACTTGAACGTCATGCCCTTCCTCGAAGACTCGCTCTTCAGACACATCAAAGGCGATATATCCGGCATGACAGTTCCCTGGTTGTATGTCGGCATGTGTTTCTCCACATTCTGCTGGCACAATGAAGACCATTATGCATACTCCGCAAATTTTCAACACTTCGGAGCCACCAAGACGTGGTATGGCATTCCTGGAAGCCACGCACTTCGGTTTGAAGACGCCATGCGTAAAGCTGTTCCAGAGTTGTTCGAGTCGCAGCCAGATTTGCTCTTCCAACTGGTCACAATATTGCCACCTAACCAGTTAAGGAAAGCCGGTGTCGATGTCTATGCTTGTGATCAGCGTGCAGGACAGTTCATCATCACGTTCCCTCAAGCATATCATGCTGGTTTCAACCATGGATTCAATTTCAACGAGGCTGTCAATTTTGCGCCAGCTGACTGGGAGCCGTTTGGTGAAACCGGGGTCCAAAGATTGCAAGAATTCCGACGACAACCATGCTTTTCCCACGACGAACTACTTTTCACGGCAGCCTTGGCGGATACCACCATCAAGACGGCTAAATGGTTAGCACCGGCGCTGGAAAGAACACGAGATCGTGAACTCAGCGACCGTGCTAACTTCATCCACAATCACAAGGCTCTTCGACCGCACGATGACTGCAGTTTCGATACTTTGGCTGAAGAACCATCCGAAGCCTGTGGACTCAAGGTCAAAATTGAGAACGTTGACCTGGAAGAGGACGAGTACCAATGCTGCTATTGTAAAGCATTTTCCTACCTTTCACAATTTCGCTGTCATCAAAGCGGCAAAATTAGCTGTTTACTTCATCCACTGAAAGCGGACTGTTGCTCAGCTACGGAAATGGAAAAGATGCAAGGGCTAAACCACAGCCTAGTGCTTCGCTACACAAATCAAGACCTACAGAATGTCGTGCAAAAGGTCGTGGATAAGGCAAATGTGCCGGAGGCGTGGGAAGCCAAACTAGAAGCCCTGCTCATGGAAGATGCTCGACCTGCCCTGAGAGCAATGCATACTTTGTTGAGCGAGGGAGAAAAGATCCCTTATCCACTACAAGGCCTTGATGACCTGGCTGATTTTGTCAAGCGATGCGACGAGTGGGTGGATGAAGCCAATCTGTACCTCACCCGGAAGCAACAGAATAGGCGCAAGAGCGAGAAGACTTGGCGTCGTTCTTCTCTTCGTACGGGAAAAGCAGATGACAAGGATTCTGAGCCGCAGCTGACACTCGAGCGGATGAAAGAATTGATCGAAGACGGTGAGCTGCTAGGTTTCAGCGCTCCCCAACTCGAAAATCTGCAGGAGAAAGTCACTCTGGTTGATGATTGGCGGGCAAATGTTAAGCGCATTTTGTCCGGCGTCAACCAGGCAGGTCTAGAAGAATTGGAAGCGTTGCTCGAAGAAGGACGTGGATTCATGGCGGCGATGCCGGAATTGACCAGTCTGGAGAAGATTTTTGCGCGAACCCAATGGTTGGAAGAAGCTCGACAGGTTCAGAAAGACGTCCACAGCAAGACTTTGGATGAATGTCGGGATCTTCTGAAACGCATCACGGATCTGGACATCCTGCCTCAAGTTCCGGAAGCGGTACATCTGCAGGAAGTGGTAAGACAAGGTGATTTCTGGGAGATCAAAGCGAAGGAACTCATGGCTGCGGAAGATGTTCATTATCCGCAACTGGAGTCGCTGCATGGACAAGTCCTTCAACAGCAATTCCCTGTGAACAAAGAGACTCTTGAGCAGATGGATATCATATTGGCCAAGAATCGGGAGGCCAAACGTCAGATCATCACATTGGTTGAGCGCAGCCACGATCAGGATTTCCGGAAGCGGCCTATGTACGCCCATGTTCGTGACGTTGTTAAGAGCTTCGAAGACCTCAATGGAAAACCTCACGGTGCTGCCGACCTTGAGAAGGAATTGCGACGCCATGAGGACTGGATGCGTAAAGGCAAGAAGTTGTTCGGCAAAGCCAACGCCCCTCTTCACATTCTCGAACAGCATATGAAGTTTGTGGAGGAGAAGAACAGCTTTTGCTTCGATCTCAATGACACTTTCCGACCTCCTGTTGAACCTGCTTCGAGAGAAGCCACTCCCGCGGACGGACACGAGAAGGGACATTTGGGCGAGGACGAGAAGCCGGTGTTCTGCATATGTCGACAACCTGAGGCTGGTCTTATGATCGAATGCGAAATCTGTCATGATTGGTGAGTGCGACGGTCATTCCACTGTTTCAATGCTAACCATGAGACTAGGTATCATGCGAAATGCCTTAAACTCGCCAGAGGTAAGGTCAAGGAATGTGAGACGTTCACTTGTCCTATCTGCGACTGGCGGGTCAAGATTCCTCGCGATGCAGCTCGACCGAAGCTCGAAGACCTCCAAAGCTGGCAAGATGAAATCCCAGATCTGCCGTTCCAAGCCGAGGAAGAAGAGCTCCTTCATCGGATTGTCGACAAGGCTCAGAATTTCCGCGATTTCGTTGCACAGTACACTAACGGCAATCAACTCTGCCGAACCATTGAAGAGATGCCGGAGATGTTGTTCTATTTGCGCAAGATTGAAGGTGCCGAAGTTCTCCTTGCGTATGAGACCAACGTTTTCCGACAAGAATTGCACAAGTGGCAACCCATTGCTCCTCAACCACCACCAATCCTGAACCAGAGCATGTCGACAAGAAAGCCACGACCAACCAAACAACAAAAGCTGATGAAGGAGTTTGGAGTCGAGAAACCGGAAGATCTCCCGCCTCATCTGAGAACCAAAACGTATGTGAGAAGGAAGACCCAAGAATCGTTTGCAACAGGTCCGCTTTTGCCGAAGCCATCGACGGAGTCTCCCTCGGCGCCGGGATCAACGGCAAGCCCGGGGCACAGTCATTCGGCAGGTAATCCTAACACGCCCGGAACGACTCGGGTGCAAGAATCAACTGGCAATCCTGGACCTAGCGGCACAATTGAACCTGGAGTCATCGCGGGCTCGGTGCACTTCGATAGAGCATTCGCAGCCAGTGGGGACCCATCGTTTCCAAACTCGCCGTCGCCGTTTTTCAGCCCGGCTGGGGACCAGCACCCTGAAGTGATTCGAGACGCCGTGATGCCCACGTTCCCAGCTGAGTCCTCCGCAGATACCAGAAATCACGACTTGGGTTTTCCATCGTTTCGAAATGTCGACGACGATCTTCGAAATGGTCTTGCAAATGCGTCTCCCCTCGAGTCTGCTATGGTCAGAGGAGGCTCACCAGCAGGCTATGATCCTATATTCACGGGCATGACACCGCACGATGCCGACGCAGGCAATGATCTCGTGCCTAGCTTGGAGCATGAGATGAGTCACGCCAGCGAAGCGCTGGACATGATTCGGACCGCCAGCAATGACTCTGCAAATGACAATGCGGGGTTGGAAGATGGGGATCATGTCTCGAAGCACTTTGACGAGTTTTTGACTGGAGACGGGCCGGATTGAGTGGGCAACACATGAAACTTGGCGTTCTGGCAGGTAGGAGATCCAGCGAGCGATACATGATCATTGTTATGACTTACCGAAAGCCTTATGGAATATGCATTGGTGTTGTGTGGGTTGAGATTCGATTGTACGGCCTAGTATCAGGATTCCAAATGCGCTGGGGCTGGCTGTACCTTGCTTTCCTACAAAGGCTCTAGAAAGCCCTAAGGATGGGGGCCATGTGTATGAGATATCAAAGATCAGACAGAGTCAACATGGTGGACATGTATTATTTATTAGCGTGGACTGGCAGTGATGAATCACCGCATCTGCTTACTGTTCTTAGAAGGAATATCCCTCCAGGGGTCAGTCCCCGTAACTGAAGCTAAGCTGCAGAATGGCGTCAACTGCCGAATTGTGAAGATGCCAAAAACTTTCATCGCGCGGCGGGGCAGTTTTCAAAGGAGCAGTCGACCAAGTGACACTTACAGCTACAGTATTTACACTTCAACTCGTCATATTATATGCTGTACTAAATAATACATTTGCGCATGCTTATACTTGTCGCCAACTCTTAGCACAGCGTTTCAGGATACAATCATCACAGCGTCCGCAATTCCAGCAGCAGGGTACCCGTCCGTACATACACTCTCCGGGACCGATCCTGACTCAATGCGATAACATCTACCACATCTCTTCGAAGCACACATACTACAGCCATGGAGGATGACCGGTTACCCACGCTATGGTCCTCCTTGGACCCTTCCTCAGACTACTTCTCCCTCGAGTTCTTCCCCCCCAAGACGTCGTCCGGCTTCTCGAATCTGCAAGCCCGCCTGGCGCGCATGGCCACGGCATTACGCCCGCTTTTTGTAACAGTGACGTGGGGAGCCGGAGGATCTACCGCGACAAAATCCCTAGAACTGGCCGAGGTATGTCAAAGACAGCTAGGCCTAACCACGGTCTTGCACTTGACATGTACCAATATGAAGAGAAGCGCAATTGACGAGGCGTTGGAAGGCGCGAAAGAGGTGGGTATCAGAAACATCCTGGCGTTGAGGGGCGATCCACCGAGAGAAGAGTACAGAGATACGGACGATCGTGGGAGCGGAGGACAAGGAACAGACAGCAACGAGGAATTCGTTTGGGCGGTCGACCTGGTCCGCTACATACGCCAGCAGTATGGGGACTACTTCTCGATCGGAGTCGCAGGATACCCCGAGGGTCATGCAGACGAAAGCAATCCTGAGGCGGGAAAACAAAGAGTCGAGTATGACTTGCCGTATCTGGCAGAGAAAGTCGGTGCTGGAGCAGATTTCATCATGACCCAGCTGTCGTACGACATCCAAGCATATCGAGCATACGAAAAGAGGTTGAGAGAGTATGTGGACAATGACGGACAGAAGTTGTTTCAAAAGATCCCTATCATTCCGGGTCTCATGCCCATACAATCCTACCAAATCCTTAAGAGGATCACCAAACTCAGTCACGCCAAAATCCCTGACGACATCTCAAAGAGGATAGAAGCCGTGAAGTCAGACGATGACGCTGTGAAGAAGGTCGGCGTCGACATACTCAGTGAACTGGTCGAACAGATCAAACAATGTCCACAACCCGAAGGAGTTCCGCGTGGTTTCCATTTCTACACACTCAACCTAGAAAAGTCCGTGTCTTTTGTTCTCGAACGATCTGGACTTATCTCATCCGAACTGGAACCCAGTCCGGTCTACTCTTCTGACAGCGATGCTATTGCCGACGACGAGAAGCGACCAGCCACCAATGGCCATACCAATGGTGACAGCCATGAAAGTCGATTCTTCAAGCGCAGAACAAGCTCAATCAACGCCCAACCTCATAATCGAGTCATCCTTGATGGTTCATCAAAGTCGCCTCATCGGTCAAGAAAATCCGGACAGGACTCGGACTCGGTCACACCAATGCTGGCTCAACATGAAGCTGGCGATAGAGGCACGGGGATCCCTGCATCAGATCCGACGAGAAAACATAACCTTATGATCTCCGAAGGTCAAGGTGCATTAGGACGAGAAGCCACGTGGGATGACTTTCCCAATGGCCGCTGGGGTCCGTCACATTCTCCTGCTTTCGGTGAGATCGACGGATATGGACCCAGTCTGAAAGTTGGACCAATTACGGCACGAAAACTCTGGGGACACCCCGAATCGCCGGCTGATGTTACGGACTTATTCCGGCGGCACGTCATTGGAGATTTGAAGGCGGTGCCCTGGAGCGACGAGATCGACGTAGATGGAGAAAGCAGTGGAGACCTTGGTGCTTTGAGGGCCGAGACAGAGATCATTCGGAAAGAGCTGCTCGCCTTGATACAACAAAAGGGCTACTGGACGCTGGCCAGTCAACCTGCTGTCGACGGTGTCAAGAGCGAGGACGAGACATTCGGTTGGGGTCCTCCAGGCGAGGGATTTGTGTTTCAAAAAGCGTTTGTCGAGTTCTTCTGTCCGCGGAAAGAGTGGGAGGAACATTTGCGACCAAAATTGACAAGTTATCCTCCGGAAACAGTGGGATGGATGAAAACAGACGCGAACGGTGCCGTCGAGTCGAGCGATGACATCGTGCGGGAAGAGACTGCTGATAAACCGACATCGAAACGCACGCCAGGCACGAGTGGAGTGAATGCAGTAACGTGGGGCGTCTTCAGACACAAGGAGATTGTTACGCCGACTATCATTGAGAAGGAGAGTTTCAGAACGTGGGGAGAGGAGGCGTATAGTATATGGAGTGTGTGGAGGAGATGTTTCCCACGAGGTAGTGACGTCGAGCAGTTTCTGGAACGGACGAGGAAGGATTTGGTACTGGTCAATGTGGTCGGTCAGAACTATATTGGTGGTCATGATGGTGAGGGTGGAGAGCTGTGGAAGATATTGATAAGGGGTGATTGATGAAGGGGAGGAGTAGACACTCGACACGACCTGCAGTGGAGGAGTCCTCGCCAATAGTGCAAGGCTATGCTCAACGTGAAGAGTACATCTACACTGTCAGAAGCTCGAAGTTGGTCAGGCGAAATCAGCTCAGCCTCGTGACAAGCTGGCAAGGCTGAACCTCCTTATCGATCTCCGATACCGAGGTAAGAGCCTCACGCTTGCAATCCCACCAGAATGGCAGACATGTTTCCTCTTCCAATCCTTCGATCCGTTCTGCCTTACTGAAAACAGCATGTGGCAAACATGGAGACACTCGCTCGCTGGACGGTGAATGGCTGTACCGCCAAGCCATTGAATACTTACACTACGATGGCCAACTGCCTGCGGAGCAGGTCACTGCAACCCAAGCCATGAAGGAGGAGCGCGACGTAGGTTTGCCTCACTTCACTCCCTCAGCATCAGGCCTGCCGTGTTGAGATGTGCAAAAGTCATGGCGGGCGTATACATTCCTCCGCACTTTCGCAAGCTCCCCGTGAGAGCTAGAGTGAGTCTCAGCGTTGGCAATGATGCAAAGACAGCAACAGCACGGGAACCGGAACCAACTTCTGCCGTCGCCGTCGATGGTGGTGGTGGTGGTGGTCTGTATTCTTTGCGCGAAATCCATACGCACTTCTGGCCTATCCACAAATCGGGACCCACAAGTTACAATTGCAAGACTCTACACGACGCTGCAGCGGCGCCGGGGGTGTTGGGGTACATGATACTCACCTATGGCACGAGTCCGCGATGGCGTAACGATAGGATTGTCTTTGTCAAGTCGAATCTTGATCTGCTTCTAAATCCAGCTGAGGTTGAGATTGAGGGTGCTACTGAGCATGACGGACAGGTGCAAGCACTGGTAACATCATCCAGTGCACCCGAACCTGTACCTGCACCGTCCATGGATGACATCGCCGGCACTACCACGACCACCATCACCACCACCAGCGCAATCAGCTACACCAACATCTCCGAGGAGGATAATGAGACTCAAGCCCACAGTGCCAATGAGCATGAAGCAGAGCCGCAAAGCCAAATGACCAACAGAAGCGCCACACCGATAGCAGTCTTCCTACAAACCAGCCCTTTCCCACCCAGCACCTCCGCCCTGAACGACCGCTCGTTCGCGTTCGAAGGATGGTTCCACATCTCAAGTCTTGCAATCCTACAACCTCGCTCAGCCGACCTAATGCGCATGTTGGACCAGAAGTTCTTTGTACCCGCTGGTCCAGACGAAGTCAGAGACGCACTCCGATCAAGGGACGATTGGCAGACAGGATTCAACAAGAGATGGGCTGTGATTAAGCTGGAACAAGTCAAGGAAGCAGGTCATGAGGCGCCGAAGATCGCGAGGATGGCAGTACAGGACGTGGTCGGAGAAGTGGGTGTCTCTTATGCGCGGCCTCTGCTAATGACGGTGAATGAGATGTTGACTAGGGAACGGAGGGTAAACTGGACTGCGGAGCGTATCGAACATAACGAGAGACCACTCCGACGACTTGAGCGAGAGGAGCAGATGTGCAGATCGAGGAAGGTACAGACCTGGCGTCACGAGGCTTGATCTGTTCGAAGTGGGAAAAGCATATTGAGGCGGTGATGTTGGGACGAGAAGCAGTGATGGTGGATTGACTGCGACGTAAGATGACCCGCTGACATGTACGAGAACGTTCACAATGTCTGTCTGCAAGTCTTGAGGATGTTGACCGAGACTGAGGATTGGCGTTAGCTGCGACTGTGACTCTCAAACGCATAGCCATTCCATAGCGAGAAAATGACGAAACAACCTGCGAAGGACATGTTCTCTTGACTTTTCTCGATGCGCTACCTATCTTCTCGTTTCCAAGCCGGACCAATTTCTGAAGGGCCGAGAATCTCCTCCCAGCTCCAAGATATTCTCAATCCAAGACCGGACCTGGCATCGATAGCCCATCTGTTCGCATAGAAACCCAATTGTACTCCAACATGAAATGCAAGAAACACTTTTCACCAAGATACCATGCTTGCTCAGGCCCACCCAAGCCCAAGCAAGCCCTCAAGCGACTTCGCACCAATTTTCACTTTTCACCTCTCCATTCCCAGCGCCCTGCATATCCAGTCTTGTCATGCCACCAACCAAACCATCCTCGAATTCCTCTTTGCGCAAGAATCGTCCCGAAAGCACTCTACCCATCTGAGTGTGGCTCCATTCGATCCCCAATCTGCGCATGCCGATAAACTCCTTCAACATCTTCACAGGGCTGCCCTTAAACGTACACCCCGTCCAGCCATTCACCTCTCGACAAGAAGGAGACACGTAATTGTCGTTAGCAACTTCTCGCGAATTTGGTAGAGGGCGTACACCGTCCCAAAGACCAATCACTTCACACAGGTGTTGATAGTGCTCGAAAGTAGTGAAGTACAGTTGGCCAGCAAACAGGTTCAGCACAGCAACCGTCTGAGGCGATATGCCGAGATCGCCCTGGGTCTTGGGGACTCTGTACACCGCTAGACAATCAAACGGCGCCATAGACTTTCCAGTTCGTGGTTGATAAAGGACCAGAGTAGCGTGGTTACTCTTTCTGATGATCGGAAGGAAGACGTTTGCCTCATGGGCACTGATTATGATTGGTTGCTTGATCCTCTTCGCTCGCAAGACCCACTGCACTGGCCGTAGGAAGTCATCCTGTGTTGAAATTCGAACTGTCTCCATATAGTCCGGTGTCACAAGGATGTGGAAGGGCCAGTCGACGCGAACATATTGCGAAGCAAGTTTTGTCTTCGTGAGGACCTCGAATGCCGGACAGAGGCCTGCCGAGTTCTGTGGCACCGTCCCTTCTCGTATGAGATGTTCTAGCTCCTCACAGACTTGTGGAGTTGCCGGATAGACTTTCCTAGGTCTCTGCACTTCGCGCTCCTGTTCGATCTCGTGCAAGACCTCCCGCTCCTGTTCTTCCTCAATCCCGCAGACCTTGAGATTCGTCGCTTCTGTACTCTCCCACTCCAACAGGAGTTCTTTCATGATCTTATCGTCCTTCTCATGTGCGGAGAGCTCGAAGGGAAGCTTTCTCTCTAGTACGTCTCCTGCCCGATACATTTCAGAGACAGGTCGGCTCTCACGTTCTCGGATTGTGGCGAGATACTTATCAGAGTTTCTGACCCTTCCATCTTCTGTTAGATGTCTGGCAGCCGCGACGCGACGTCGACTATGCAAAAGTCCTCTCAGGGTCCAAATCATTGTCTGACCCTTTAGCGCTTGGCACGACTGGTTGATGGCCCAGCGTAGGACGTGTGAGCTATCAAGGCTAACTGGAGGATCCTTCAAGAGAGCACGTATGCTGTTGTCGACTTCCGGTGGGGCAAAGAATGTCACTGACTGTGAGACTGCCAGCTTTCTCATGCGCATGCACGCTTGTGCCAGGCTGTCTTTCAGGAGGCCTGGCCCAAGGAGCACACCAGCCTGAAAGCGGTCAGGAAACTGGAAGTCCGTCCCTCGAGTATGAAACTCGTCAAGATAAACAAGGCAAGACTTGATCTCGTCTTTGAATATGGACGACACAAATCGTTCAACAGTTCCGTCCCGGTTGAGGACCATCTTCTCGTCATTGGCGCTGAAAAACACTGCAGCCATCTTTTCTGTGCACATTGCCAACCACTTTGCTGCAACATCCTGGTTACTTTCCAAGATCTGCGCACCAACGTCAATTATGACCGACGGACTTGGATTCTGCTCGACAATGAGGCTAAGAAGTTCTTCCGTACACAGCCGCTGGCCGGAGGCGGATGCGGCGTAGACATATCGACGATTGTCTTTGCGAAGAAGGGTAGTCAGGGTCATCGCTGTAGAGTGTCGTAGATCTTCTAGATCCTTCTGAAAACAGGTTGAGGGTACTCTGCTGTCACACGTTCCGCTGAATCCGGAGGTCACCTTCCCGCCATCGTCTGCGCATAAATCCCAAGCACTGCTAGACAGCTTGTGTTGAAATTCCTTGGCCTCACGCGGATAGACGACGTACTTGAGAAAGAAACCAATTACGGCTTGATTGTCTTTGAGCTGTTCGTACAAATCATCAAGGAAGGAAGCATCATCGAGATTGATAGAGCTTGAGTTCCGATATTTGTCGGGAAGTGTGCTCTGTCGCACCCAAGTGCTGTATTCATCGGAAGGATCTGGGGATTTCAGCAGAATCAGAAGGCATTTTCGCAGGTCTGAACGCTGAAGCCCGGTGTAGAGCCACGACAAAGCTGTCAAAGTCACCATCATCTCTGGTTGTGCAAACTCAGCGCTCGGTGATGGTATGGATTTGGCACGATACGGCACCGCGGACAAGCAGCGCGAGCGATCTAGCCCATAGTTCACGAGCCATCGCTTGCGGAAGGCATGTGTCAGAATGTGGTGCGAGATCAGTCCACGCACGACGTAAAGAACATCCAGTTGCGCTGAGGCCTGGAAATGCTTAGTGATCTTCTGACATGTTTCGCCGTCCACATCTATATCGTGCAGGAACGAGTGGAGGGACTTCAAGATGCCGTCATCACAGTGGCCAAGAGGCAAGCTGGACAATCTTCCCTCAACGACTTTCTGAGTCAGGCATTCTGTCAGTGCACGGGCGCCTGCATCGCTGGTGACACGGACATGTGGGAAGGAGCCTTCAGTTCTCCTCTCATATTCGATACCTGTTGGATGCTCTTCGTGTAGTCTGACGGCGACCTCTGCGATCAAAGTCAGCACTTCCAAGGCTATAGTCCAGCGATCGGGAGCGCCTGAAAGGAGGTTCGCCTCGCCATCGGTGTAGACAAGTTCGTAGCCCGGCTTGAGAAGCTCGTCGCTCTCGTCCAGAATGTCTCGTGCGTTACAATCCAGCCACTTCTGAACTCGGATGAGATTGTTGGCAAGACCCGTGTTACCACTGCTCAGGCGGTCAGCTCCGACCAGTCGGAAAGAATTCTGATGTTCCGGAAGGCTCAGAAGGACACCTTGTTTTTGACAGCACTCCTGGTAGAGGTTCAACAACTGGTCAGGGGTCTGCGCCTTCATTGATGTAGATCTGGAGAAGGGGAGATAATAAACAGTCCGCCCACAGAGACCAGAAAGGCTTCTGGAGAGTTGCCGCAGCATCTCATTGGCCAGAGGTTTGAGAACAACCACTCGAACGAGATGCGAGCCTTTTGCGAGGGCAGTGACCACCATCGGCAAGATGACTGAGGTCTTCCCCTCTCCCATTCCCAACAAGACAAGGCCGTTGTCTGGTTTCATGATTTCGTATGCAACAGATATCTGCACAGGGCGAATCAACAGGTTGTTCTGCACTTCGAGCAGGAGCCAATCTGGATGGCCTTCGATGGACCATGCTGCATGGGCGCGGTTGGCTAGCTCCCGCTGAAGAGCAAAGTCATCCTCCACAGCAAGGTGTCGCTGAATACGCTCTACACGCTGGATAGCGGTCACCTCCCGCGCGAAAGATATCAGAACGTGTCTCCAAGGGTATGGAACACGGTCTCTGTGTTGTGCTGTAAGCAGTTGAAGCAGATTCATCTCATTGACCTGGGGCCAGAGACCCGCCATGTTAAGGCCGAGTTCAGCATCTGAGCGAGGCTGAAGTAATTCGCGGCAGCGGGCTATGAGCTGGGAAATGCGATTCTTTACCTCAGCCGCCTTGTTGCTCAAAATCTGAGATCTTGGGATCCGGAATCTGGTTTTCACCTCAGCAGTCTTGGTGTCCAGGGCTGCGATGCTTTCGCGTAAAAGTTGAGTATGGCGTTTCTCCACAGCGCCGAAGCCACGGTTTAGATCGTCAATGATCCCTTCCAGTTCTCGCGAGTCACGCGATGCGTCTGTAACACTTCGTACCTGTTGATGCTCTCTGGAGGAGATCGTCTGAGTGAGGTCTCCGTCCAGAAGACTAGGCTCATAGTCTGAAAAGTCTGAATCGCTGACATCCACAAAAAGCATGGTTTCCAACAGTGAGAAATGGGTATGCTGTTTTCGCGTATGGTCGATTTGATAAAAGTGGAGGACATTGTTCCCTATAGAAGGGCCAGACCATGGACGATTGACTGTCGCGATCCCTCGATCAAAGGCTGTCAGCTGAAACATAAAGACATGGTTCTTATGCCATTTTGCGAACTGGGCGTCCAAGAGCTGTTGCAACGTAACACAATCAAAGCAATCCAGTTCGTCGTGAGGCGGAAGCACGAAAGAGTCATTTGGCCAGGAAGACCTAGCTGCGGTAGAAATCTTCTGGCGTTGCTCAACCAGATGTCGCTCGAACTGTTCTCTTTGGGATTTCTCGGCCGTGAGCTGGTCGGAATAGGATTTGTACCGACCGAGGATTGGTGTGAATTCCTTCTTACACCACTCAACAATTAGCGAAATGTCATGGTGGTCGATTGCATGCCCCTCGTTCAGGTCGTACGAATTGTGCTCCAATTCAGCCAAATCCTTTAATGCTGGTGAGATGGCAAGGGCCAGGAGAATATTCAGTCTGGAAGCGTTGTGTGGTTGTCCAAATGTAAGAAGTGATAAGACGAAGACAAGTCGCTGCTTCGAAACCAAGGGTGATCTGCAGAGATTAAACAGGGGAGCGAATTGTTGCTTCAACCCTTCGGACAACATCTTAGAGAGTGACATGTCCTCAAAATCTTCTTTGAAGCCCGATATCTGCTCCCATTGCTGCAACAATGGTTTGAGGGATTGAACATCGAATGTAGAGGGCCAAGCTTGCACAAGTGCAGCCATAGCAGCAGCGGTCGTCTGTTCCTGACTGAGGTCTTGATCCCGCGAATAGTATGGCTGATCCTCCACGACAAATGATCTAGATCCCACAGAACCAGCAGGATATTGTCTGCGATTGCGATGATGAGACCTCTCCAATAGCAGTAGGTCGGCAGGCTGTGTGGAGTACGAAGGAGGCCGAGGTGCATTCTCGTACAGAAAGGTGGATTTGAGGTTGTGCTGAAAGATCTCGTCCACCATTCCGAAGAAAGTATCTCTCTGTGCGTAGCGAGAGAGTGTTGGATGGAATGAGTCTGTTCGCATTAGCCGCAGATGAGCGGGATACCATGTTCGCCGTGGTGAAAGCCCAGCTATTAGTTTCAACCATTTCTGTGCACGTTCTGAGAGTGGGACGGAAATCAAATTGATAGGATCCGATAGGCCAAACAGGCTCTCCTCTGTACCAGTACGACCAGTGAGAGTATCGCGCTCTGGAAAACTTGTGATCGCGTGGAGATAGGTCTTGTAGATATGCGACTCCAGATCTGGACTGATGAGCTGGCCAAGCCGCTCGTCGATCTGGAGTTGTGAGAAGGATAGAGAATCGGCGTCACTTAGGCGGATATCGATTCTGACATGGGGTGAGTCTCGGGAGATAACCACGTCGCCATCGGGAATCAACACTGTTCGAAGGTTGGATTCTCTCTTTCCAACAGCGCGCAATACCAATCGGGATCGTAAACCGTGCAAAGTACCAATTGCTTGATTGCGGTCGACAACAGCAGAAAGCTCTCTGCATTGAAGCTCACCTGCATAGTTCACATAGAAATGCAGTCTGAATCGCGGGAGCCAGATCTCGATGGTAGTACCTTGACATTTGGAGATGAGAATATGATCCTTTTCTTCCAAAGCTTGAAAGATAGAGCAAATGGCACTTCCAAGGGCGCTCGCGTGATCAATCAAGAAGGCCTGATCGGTCCGCATGGTTGTTGTGCTTCTCGTTCCCACATTTAAATGTAGCACCCAGTCGGCCGGGAGAGATTTCCACGGATGCGACGTGCTTCGGAAGGCAATTGTGCCATCACCTAGACACATCCAAGGAATACTGTCTTTGAGAGTGCTCTTTGGCAGGTCCCCGAGGAAGATATCCTTCGGAACGGCTTCATACTTGTCGTCGCCATGTTGAGAACGAATGAGCATATTTCCGTTGTGAAGTCGTAAATAGACGCGATGGCCTTCGAATAAAGTCCTGGACATGTACTCCATGTCGTTCACGTCCGCGGTGAAAACGTCGAGATCCAGTCCGCCAAAGATGCTGCGATACAGTGGGTTGTCTCTATACTGTGTGGGGAGCTGTGATAGTGGCTGGCCACTGACAAGCAGACTGCCAGTAATAAGATTGAAGTGTACAGACCTTGAGCGGCATCTGTTCTCGATCCAGCTGGCATCACGCTCGATGACAATCCTCCAGTCACCTTCGAACGTCGCAGATGGCCAGAAGCGTTGAATGCCTCGCGAAAACCTTCCGTCGTCCACTTGCAGTAGCTCAAGCAATTGTGCCTGAAGGGACCGAGCTACGTACTCATCATTCAGAATGTCGTATCGCAGTGTTACCTCGGCGTTGTCGATGGATCGTCGATTCAGGTGATTATGAAGATGGATGGACACTTCCACATAATCCTCAACACAAATAGATTCGGTCCACCTAGGCGTCAGGAGATCTTCATACACGGCGTATGTCCGACGCATCAGGATACAACACTTCACGATCTGCCGCGAGATATCAGTGAGAGAAGCTCCAGCATCGGCCGTGCCTCTCTTCTCCGTGTGAAGGTCAGCGAGTTGACGAACCCAGTCTAGACTGGCCTGGCGAATCCGGAGGAGCAAATCCATACACTCTTCAGCCATATCGGGCTTCATTGATAGCATCTTGGAGATCAATCTCAAAAACACCATTGCGGCCGTCGCTTCCTTCCAGTTGGCCTCTATAGTCGCGAAACGAGAGCTGATTGCTTCAAGCAGTGAGTGGCAGAAGGATGAATTTGCAAGGTCGAGTTGACTTTCGCGCAGAAAGCGTGACCTGGTATCAGCTGGGTTGCCAACCTGGGAGGTCGCGTGGAGGAAAAGCAGGGAAACGTCCGATGAGTTTAGGTCGATTTCGCATGACTTGATGGCTCCCAAGATATTGATGAATTGCAATCTCTCACCAGAGCGTAGTGAACCAAACAAGAGATGTTCGTGCTGACTCATATCAGGTGAACAGCTTGACTGACTCGCAATGACCATGTTCTGAGTATGGCTCGTACCATTGACGTACTCAGCCAGATGCGAGCCCTTAGCTGCTGGAAGCTTTGAGGTGCAGTGCTTGTGCAACTGTGGTGTCTGGGTTTGCTCCGCAGTCCATACAAAGCCCTTGGCTGAGTCGTTCATCTGCATGTGCATACCATTCTTTACAAAGATTTCGTCAATGTGAAGTCCAGCCTTGAAAAAATGTGCTCTGTGCATTGGTTTGACGGCTGACGCAAGCGTCACTCGTCTCGCTTGGTGTTGAGCATGTCGATGAAGCGGTGGATATGAGAGGAGCTGTTGCAATAGCCTACACCCTCGCACGTCGCTTCTGGCTATGTCATGAACCAGATACCAGGTGATGTCGCGCCAACGTATGATCTCTTCAGGAGGTGTCAGCTCAAATATGACGGCCTTTTTGATCGTCTCGTCCTCGGGAAGTGGCCATTCGTGCTTCGCGATCTTGATGCTATGTGCCTCTTTCTCTAGTCTGCACCTAGTACAGTATCGGCAGTGTGTGGAAGTACCTGCTCTCCTTCCATGCGGTATGATGTAAACGCCATGCTCTCTACCAGCCACGTCACGCAAGAGCTCTTCAAATCGAGCCTTGCTCGAGTTCCACTCAGCCTCTTTAGCCTCCCTGGCTGACTGAGCCTCAGTCTCGATCTGCGTGCATAGCTTGACGTGACCTTCTGACTGATCATAGAATCTGACGGCAAAGCAGATCGGTGAGGGATCGCTGAACATTGAAGGACAGACCGTCTCACATCTGTCCCGGCGCCGAGAGATGTGGCTCTCGACGCGGGCCAGTCGCTCCAACTCAGACTTGCTGTGGAGCAACAAAGGCCAGAAAACATTGGTGTCCATCTCTGGCGGATATTGAAGCAACAACGGTTGCAGATGTGTCACGATGGTGTCCAGAGCGACCCACAGTTCAAACATTGTAAGTAACATGACGGACGTGCGCTCTGGATGATCCTTGTATTTTGAATGGGCAGATGTATGATAGGCTTTGAGAAAGGCCGCCAGTGTGGTGCAAGAGTCTCTGGTCTTATTCACAACGGACCATGGTGTCAAGTTGTCAGCGACCCATTTCTCAACACCGACTAGACACGATAGTAGGTCGCCAGATTCACCAAACACCCCGGGACTTGGCAAATTGCGTCGGTCCAGTTGTACTGAGGTGCAAGCTTTGGGACTGAACGATTTGACACTGTAAGAGCAGCTTGTCTTGGAACGTTGCCAGATGTCTTGCAGCGTGCTGCGACTGTTCTTCAGGGTCAACTCAGGTGAAACATCCGCCACAGGTATTGGCAACATCGGAGAATCTTCTTGTGCAATGACCTGCTGCCACTGAATTTGCATAGCCTCATTCAGTCGCCGCAAGGTCTGATGTACAGATTGTTGTACAAAAGGCAGTGTGGCAGATCCAAGCTTTGCATTGCGTCTTGCAAGTTTCACCCGCATGACATGCAGAACATCAGGCGTAGTCATGACAGCCAATATCGCGTTCGTCAATCGGCAAAGGAGAAACAGCATGTAGTTTTTGTAGAACGAATGTCGTATGTCTGCAGCTGCAGAGTTGTGAAACACAGTTTGAAATGCCACACGGGCCGATAGGTAAACACCAGAGCGGCGCCACGGCTTGTCGGTGCCCTTCCAGCATACATCATCATGAGTACGCTTGTGGACTGTAAGAGTGTTTGCTAGCTCGCCCCGTGAGCTGAGGATTGCGAAGAGCCATTCTGTGACCGCTCGTGGGTGTACCGATTGGCGTTCCTCAGCTACAGTGTTCTGCCCCTTCGTAGATGTCTCCATAGCCAGTCGCAGTTGCTCTATGGATAGCTTGTGGATCGCTGTTCCCAACTCGAGTATGAAATCCTCCTCATTCAGCACTTCTTTCGGTAGGAAAATGGCTCTTGCTGGGAACTGCCGTATCAAGGCGTCTTTGGCGGACATGACGGCACCTGTAGTTGGCAGGACCTCGAAGCACTCGAAGATAGCGCCATCCCACTGGTTTCGTACTAACAGCGCGGCGTTCTGCGGTCGTATGTAGAAGAGGAGAACATCTGTGGATGGTTAGACTGGTCATAAGGACATCAGAATGTACTACCTTTGCTTCCCATGTTTTTCAGAGCGCGAACAATGGTCTCAGCGCAAGGTGTCCCGTTGCCATAGATTTCAGGCCATTTCGCAATTGATGGTAAGAAGTCGCCCGCCTCACGAGCGCCCATGCGATAGAACTGCTGAGCTGCGATTGACATCTCTTTGAGTAGAAATTCGGCGCCGGACTCATCGTGATCGGAATGTGGAAGGTCTGCTGGAAGGAAGGCATGTTGGTACACGAATCGCTGAGCACTTTGCTCACTTGCTGGGGCCATGGTCGCAGAAGCAACAGCAGCACAGATCGCTCCTTCTCGACCAAGATTTCAGGAGATACCTAGCTCTTGCTTGCCATGGTACAGATGATGATGAGATACTGTTGATGGAGGAACGGATGGTAGCACTGCAAGTGATCAAGGTGGGAGAGTTCAGGGATCTATCACTAACATAGGGAGAGTAGATTTGAGGCAGTGAAAGAAAGATGGCGAGAGGAGAGTGGCTTGGCGATGAAATAATGCGGCTGGAGATAAAGAGCAGTGAAGACATCTCTGATTGCATCTGGTTTGGAGGTGAGGCAGAAGTGAGGTTAGACTGACCTTGAAAGCAAACATTCTCCACTTGCACTTTACAGCTCAATTCCATTGTAGACCAGCATCTCACCAGCTTTAGGAACCCACAGGTTCATTATCGTGGTCAAGGCAAAGTGTCGGTCAAGGATAGGACCAGGCCTGGCACCTACCTAGCTGGGGAGTTGACATGCTTTTCCAGACATACAGATTTCCATCTCCAGCTTTGTCTTTATCACGATGCTCTGGCACTTGCTGCAGCAGTTGTAGTGGACCGGGTGGATCAGTCCCTACTGTCTATCTCGCCAGCAGTAAAAGGAAGCGCTCATCAAAGAGGCCACTACCGACTAGCCCATGCTACCTCTTTTTGCTCCATGCAGGTGGCCGGGACGCGTCCCGGCCGAGATTCACACTTGGTCTCGTCATTTGTGAGCAGAAGGGGCGGACATACCAAAGTCGTTGCATTGGTCCTCTTGTAGCTGGAGTCCGCCCTCGACAAGGAAGGAGTACTGAAGTCCAAATTCACTTCGCCAGACGCGTCTTGAGTGGGTTTAACCGAGGCCGCCACAGTCCAGGCAGATGGCGCTATCATTGGCGGCAGAGATGTGGCTGTGCTCATGGCGCTTACCTCGCATTGTATCCGGAACCCCTCGTATGCGTCATAAGTTACGATAGATGTCATAGCCTCACTATTATTCGAACTCTGAACCTTCTCTTCTTCCCTCATCTCCTTGCTTCTACAGACGACACAACGAAGATAAATCCGCCGCATTCTCATTGTGAAAATCATCCTTACCGTCCTACAATTCAATCGGTGCATCCCAAACACTCACACACCATGTCAGCTCCTGCAGAAGCCCCTCCGTCCTATGCGGTGGCTACTGGCTCCTCAACCGCATCATCGAAACCTCAAGCATCATCACGCCTACAAGTGCCATCAGAGAAGAATGGCATCCCGCCGCATGATCGACGATCAATGGAGGATCTTCAACGACCTTTGCCTGAAGGTTGGGTGCGCTCATACGATTCCCACGCGAACCACCAATTCTTCGTCAACACCAAAGAAGATCCACCAAAGTCATATTGGGAGCATCCCTTAGACAACCGGGACGTTCTCAAAAGCCTCAGTACTGAAGAGCGCGAGAGACTGCAAGATGAAGAAAACAGGATCAGGGAACACGCGGCTCACACACCCGAACACTCCGATGACGAACACCACGCCTATCCAGCAGACCTTCCCGAAAGACCCCAGGCATCTCGCAATCCATCCAAGAAGACTTTCGGTGAAAAGCTCAAAGACAAAGTCACCGGCAGCACTCACGAAGAACGTGTGAAGCAACGTGCACAGCGAGAAAAGGAAGAACGAGAGTACTACGAAGCACACATGCGACTTCGACAAGCCATGCAGAAAGCCGAAATGACAGGTCAACCACAGTTCTTTGCCAAGGACAAAGATGGCAAGGATATCTACATCGAACCTCCGAGTGGAATGGGTTCCGGATACAATGGCTATGGTGCTCAAGGTTACGGCATCAATCCTTACTCCAGCGGGCCCTACGGTCCCGGGTCATACAGCCAAGGTAACGCCAGATATATCAGACCTGGCTATCAATACGGGCGTCCTTACGGCGCGTATGGTGGGGGTGGGCTTGGACTTCCGATTGCAGGTGGTTTGATGGGTGGTATGCTTCTTGGAGGCTTGATGTTCTAAGCGCGAGAGCACATGATGACGCAACGATGGTTTATGGAGTAGCATGATTTCATACTCTTCACCTTGATATCGATATCCTGGCTCGGTGTTGTGGTGTGTATTCGCAGGTAGCATCTTATCATTAGTGGTCCAATGTGACCGGAACAGCGGACAAGGGGTGACAGTATCGCTGCAGATCAGCGATACGAATACGCCTGCTAGCCTCATCCGAATACATGAATAGTCTAGTCTGCCTAACTCGGCTGTGTTACAGGTTCTCCAAGCTATCAATCAAGAAGCAGAATGTCCCTACAAATTCAAAACTTCGAAAAAGATGATATTCCAGAAGCAGCTCGTCTTCATCAACGTGCATTCGCTACAGATCCCATCATCAACTCCGTCTTTCCTGGCGCAGCACAATCACCAGAATGGCTTCAACACATGTCCGACGCCCTTGAGAGTGCTTACGCCGACTCGTCGCAACATCTACTGAAGATGTCGTCCCCTGATGGACATCTCATGGGCATCGCTCAATGGCACTACTGTTCACGTCACGTCAATGGGCCCATCACCCCACCCCCAAATCCACCAGAAGGTGTGAACGTCGACCTAGTCATCGCGCGTCGCAAGCAGCGGTCGGAGAAAAGAGCAGCGATCATGGCCGATAGACCCCATTACTGTAAGTCTTGCCAGGTCACTTCCACGGTGCTTCCACCTTTTCCATGAGCTGTCCAATCTACCTACAACTGCAAGGTATACTCAAGGCACTGCAGATCTAGCCATGCTCGCCACAGACGCAACGTACCGTCGCCAGGGCGTAGCAAAGACCTTGGTTCAATGGGGCCTCGATCGTGCCAGCGCAGACAGAATAGAAGCATACCTGGAATCAGGACCGGCGGCGCTTCCATTCTACTCGAAAATGGGCTTCGACAAAGTAGATACCATGGCTATGGTGGGAGTGGATCCAGGCGAGGATGGTGTCCAGAATGAGATCTACTGCTTACTTTGGAGGCCGCAGAATACCAACAGTCAATGACTTCTGCTCGGCTCAACACACAGCCTGGCCATAGAGATTCGTCGAGTATGCAACCTGTCAAAAAGCCCCTGAAGGCAAGGCTGAGGAAGGTGCACGCCGCAGATAAGGCGGAGATTAGCGCAATGACAAAAGACCCATGATGTCGCGGTGGATTTCTTTGTTTAGCAGTTAATTGCTTCCACAGAAGTCCAGGATGTAGCAAACATACAAGCAATATAACAACTATAGAACAGCTCACTCCTACCTTCTCTTCTTTCTCTAACTCCGACCAATCTAGCACTGCTTACCATAGAGACCTCTAGACCACTAGACACCCAGATACAATGGGCGACCACACAGCCTTCTTCTACGGTACCCTCCCCAACCCACCATACCACCACCCACACGCCGTACTAACAAGCAACGATGTAGGCACATTAATGGCTCCCGGCGTCCTCCATAGAGTAATCTACGGCACCCACGACCCAGAACCCTGGCAGAAAAACTCCCTCACAGTCCGCCCCGCCATGCTCCAATCCTATCGCCGTCACCGCGTCCGCAACGCAGACTATCCCGCAGTAATACCCCACGACAATTCCTGCGTACGAGGCTCCGTCGTCACAGGTCTAACAGAAGGCGACCTCTACAGACTAGACATCTTCGAAGGATACCAGTACTCGCGTCAAAAAGTCAAAGTGCAAGTACTTAAAGATGTCGGACTGGATCAGGCCGCAGAAGAGGGAAAGACAGAGGTCGTCGAGGAGGTCGAGGCAGAAACATATATCTGGGAAGATGGCGAAGATACGCTAGATCCTGTAGAATGGGATTTCGAAGAATTCAAGCGCGACAAGATGAAGGCGTGGGCGGGTATGGCTGAATATGGAGACGGAGCAGACGTGGACGAAGGGTTTGCTGATGTCGATCGTGCGGTGGCAGAGCAGGAAAAGGCCGGTCACGATCCAATGGGTGGGAGAGGCACCAACGGACACATCGGACAACAATTGAAAGAGGCTGCTGTTTAGATTCTGGAATATTAGAGCCATTCCGGCCACTTCCCAGAAAAAGAGGAAAGTGCTTGAATGAAGACATCTGACATTAATGAGGTATCTCGTAGCAATACGGACCTTCAATCGCTTTGCGCTCCCTGTACACCATCGGAAAAGTTCTCTCTTCTGCAGCAAATGAGGAAAAGCCAGGACTACCAGAGTCCTTCATCGCCATCCATACAATATCGCTCAATCCTTGCGCTTTTGGACTGCCAATTACCACCAACCTGGTTTAACGCCGACCGTGGCTGCGGACTGCACTGCCTTGCATCTGCTCAAGCTCCTGCTCCAACTGCTTGATGGCAGCGTGAGTCGACTCCAAATCCTTGTTAAGACGGTCTCGCTCGGCGATCAACTTCTGCTCCCAAGCTCGGAATCTCTGCTCTTCGACCTTGACCTGTTCAGTAAACCTCTTTCGAAGCGCTTCTTCCTCTTCCTTAAACTTGGGGTTGTCCAATTTTCTTGGTCTGGCTTCGCCGAACTTTCTGGTCTCCATTTGTTGGGCACGGTAGGCTTCGTAGTGATTTTCCTCGGTGGTGTGGATGAGGTCGAGCATATGAGTTCGGATGAGAATGGATCGTAGCTTCTTGAAATCGCAGTGTTCCTCATTCTCCACCTCTGCAACACCCCAAGCATACTGTCGACCTTTGACAATACGGCCATCAGTAGTCTTGACATCCTTCTCGCTACCGATGACGGCGAACGGCATCGCAGTCATCAAAGCGCGTGCATGCTGTACCGCAGCCTCATCGTCGTCTTCGATCGGTGGTTGGTAGATCTTGATGCCTTGTGCTTCGATGACAGCTCGGATGCGGTGCTTGAAGCGTGCAAGATCGGCAGGAGAGAGGGTATCGGCCTTTGCAATGACTGGGATAAGGTTGACACGTGAGGAAAGTCTCTTCATGACTTCAATGTCTAAGGGTTTCAGGGTGTGACCTGTAGGACGAATGAAGTAGAGGCAAGCATGAACTCTGAGGTCGATCTTGTCATGTCGTTTGGGTTGTTGCTCTTGAAGCATGTAGGACTCATGTTGATCGTCAAGGAACTCGATAATGGGCATCCAAGAGTCGCGGTTGTTGACATAGTCACCGAAGCCAGGTGTGTCGATAACGGTCAGGCGAACTGCGCGCATTAGCATACTTTCAAGTACCTCAATTCGTATCGCCCGAACCTTTGAAGAACTTCTCTTCCAGCTCAGCCTTTGTGATCTCAATCTCCACGGTCTTGTCGACCTGTTTAGCATGTCGTCGCTTGTGATCTTGATAGTTCTTGATAGTTGTGGAGAACAACGTGTTGATGAACGTAGTCTTTCCCAGGCCAGACTCGCCAGCCACCTGAGGACGATTGTTAGCCTCGATACGCCCATCGTGTGTGATAATGTCCTACCATGATTGTGAAGGCGGCGCCTCTCTTTGCGACAATCTTGTGTCGCTGGTTGGGGAGGTTCGCGATACCAATCGGTGAGGCAGACTCTGCTACGGGACCCGCCATATTGACTGTAGAAAGAGAAGAGAGCGATGAGTATGATCTAATTGATTTGACGGTGTGAATGTGAGATGCAGAGATAATGGTCAATGGCAAGATGGAAAGACACCGCAGCAAGAGGTCAGGACGCAGGCAAGTGTGGTCGGAATTAGGGGTCGTTCCTGGTCTATCTCTCTAACAAAAATTGGCAGGCCGCAGGCCCGCCCCTGAACGCCAAAAGCATCCCCAGATCAAGCTAATCCCAGGTAGAGTTAGTGCCGGCGCAAAGCATTATTTTCTCCGACGACTTTTTTTTGAAGCCGCAGTTTGTTTGACGATCTCTGCCTAGGAATTGCGACAATCCAGACTGTGACACCATGAGACCATGAAGACGGAATTCAAGGTGCGCATGACAGACACTGAAAATGGACATACTTCTGACAACCTCTACAGTTTTCAAACCTCCTGGGCACCGTCTACGGCAGGGGCAACCTTGTCTTCACACCCGATGGCAACTCTCTACTGTCGCCCGTGGGCAACAGAGTGACTGTGTTCAACTTGACGAAGTATGGATGTTGGACTTTCCAATGGGAAAATGTGTGCTAACTCTAAGGTACTAGAAACACGAGTTATACGCTTCCCTTCTCACATCGAAAGAACATCACACATCTTGACCTGACGCCCGATGGAAATCTGCTACTGACGATTGACGAAGACGGCCGGGCCATTCTGTCAATATTTCCACGGAGACTCGCCATCTATCATTTCACCTTCAAAACGCCCATCAGTGCCCTTGCTTTCTCTCCCGACGGACACTATTTTGTTGTTGGACTTGGGCGGAAAATACAAGCATGGAGAACTCCTTCAACACCTACTGGAGGTGCAAACGGAGACCTTGAATTTGCACCTTTCATCCTACATAGGGAATACGGTGGTCATTTTGACGAGGTTAGGCATATGAGCTGGTCCGGCGACTCAAGATTCTTCTTGAGTGCTTCCAAGGATCTGACTGCCCGAATATGGAGTCTCGATCCAGAAGAAGGCTTCGAGCCCACAGTCTTGTCCGGTCACAGGCAACAAGTCAGGAATGCTTGGTTTTCAGCTAGTCAGGAATCGATCTTCACTGTCAGCGAGGACGGAGCTCTCTTTCGGTGGGAGTTCGTGGCCAGCCAGCAAGATGAGGAAGAGACAGCAGATCCTGGCGACGAGAGGTGGAGGATTGTGCAGAGAGAGTACTTCATGCAAACGGCTAAGCTGAAATGCGCTGCCTTCCATCCCACAACAAACCTTCTGACCGTCTGCTTCGCCAATGGTCTCTTTTCTCTCTACGACATCCCCTCGTTCTCGAACATACACAGCCTTTCCATGGCATCATCACCAATATCTACCGTGGCGATCAACAAGACAGGAGAGTGGCTGGCTTTGGGCTCTTCGAAGACTGGACAATTACTTGTATGGGAGCACGCATCCGAATCGAATATCCTAAAGCAATCTTCCCATCTCGACTCTCTTACCACAATCTCATACTCTCCAGACTCCACACGTATCATCACAGGAGCCGATGATGGCCTGATCAAAATCTGGGACATATCCTCAGGCTTCCACATTGCAACGTTCACAGAACACAGCTCCGCAGTCACTGCTTCGGCATACTCGAGAAGAGGCAACATACTCTTTACCTCTTCTCTTGATGGGTCGGTACGTGCCTGGGACATGCTCAGATATCGCAATTTCAGGACCTTCACTGCTCCGACGCGGCTTTCTTTCTCCTGTGTCGCAATCGACCCTGCTGCCGAGGTAGTATGTGCAGGGTCTCACGACTCTTTCGACATTCATCTCTGGTCCGTGCAGACAGGTGCCCTTCTCGATCAACTTTCAGGCCACGAAGGTCCAATATCCACTCTTGCATTCACCCCTGATGGTCGATATCTGGTTTCCGGATCTTGGGATCATACCATCCGTGTCTGGTCTGTGTTCAACAGGACACAGAGCTCTGAAGTAATGCAACTCATGTCGGATCTGCTATGTGTGGCAATACGCCCTGATTCGGCGCAGATCGCTGCTTCAACTTTGGATGGGCAACTCACCTTCTGGAATCTAAATACATCAGTTCAAGAGTCTGGCGTTGATGGTCGGCGAGACGTTAGTGGAGGCCGCACACTTACATCACGGCGCACAGCAGCTTCGACACCGGGAACGAAAGCCTTCAACTCAGTAACATATTCTGCCGATGGCACATGCCTTCTAGCAGCCGGTAGCAGCAAATACATTTGCCTGTATTCTGTTACGACACTGACCCTGATCAAGAAATTCACCGTGTCTGTCAATCTGAGTCTGGATGGCACGCAGGAGTTTCTTAACTCTGCTGCTATCATGTCTAACGGCCTTCCGAGTGCAATGATCGACACCGAAGGAGAAGCGAGCGATCTCGAAGACCGCCTCGACAGAAGTCTTCCAGGAGCGAAGCGAGGCCGGGACGCAACTGCTAGAACCCTCCGACCAGAAGTCCGCATCACCAGCATCGAGTTTGCGCCTACCGGCAGGAGCTTCTGCGCCTCCAGTACGGAAGGCCTGCTTATTTACAGCCTAGACGATACTGGTATGGAAGACTTTGATCCGTTCGACCTCGACATTGACGTCACGCCTCAAAATATCCGGGCTATTCTCAAGCAGTTTGAGCCAGAATATCTCAAGGCCTTGATCATGGCGTTCAGACTCAACGACAAGAGTCTTCTGCGAAAAGTCTATCAATCTGTACCTTATGACACTATACCACATCTGGTCCGGGAGCTGCCAAAAGTCTACCTTAGCCGCCTCTTGCTGCTCCTTGGGCAACAAATGGAGAACAGCCCTCATCTTGAGTTTGCGCTACGCTGGGTAGGCGAGGTGCTTAGTGTACATGGACGCTACGTCAAAGAAAGGCAGGGTGAATTCGCCAGCGAACTTCGGGCGGTGTTGCGTGGAGTAGACGGTGTAGGCAGGACGGTGCGAAGTCTGAGCGAACGAAATGCGTTTGAGATTGAGTTTCTGTGTCAGCAAGCATCGGTGAAAGACTCATCTGCATTGTCTCTGCTCGGAGGAGAGCAGAAAACGCTCACTAATGGCGTCGAGGACGGTGATGTCGCGGACGACCAGGGCGAATGGATGGGCCTTGACTGAGGCTGACGACAATCTATTTCCGGCCCTAGTTAGGATCAACTTGGCAATTGGGAAGGTTTCGACAGGAGTACAGCATGCAGTGGCATTGAAGCCTTGACGTATGGCATCATCAACGGCGTGCTTGGGAGTGACGCGCAAGTAGCAGACTACATCACTGTGCCATGATTGACCTGGCCATGCAGAGTCAAGGCTGTCACTAAGCTGGCCGCTCACGAACCCTGACTCCTATTGGGTTTGTCCGGACGACGACAACCAACATCTGGCAAACCGTTCGGTCAAACAGAACACAAACGCACCTTCGCCACATGTGGTATAAATATGGCCTTTGGTTCTCGGGAAACAGCTGGTCCCCATACCCATAACCACAACCCACTCCGATTACCCAACCTCGATAACAACGACGACAAATCCAACACACCTCTACCCGGCTCAATACCAGAGAACCACACATACGCCCACCTGGCTCAAAAGCTTATACAAATATCACCACAGTTGCTCGAAGTCAAGACTATCAACATGTTGAACCTCGGAGGATTGATCAACACCGTGATCGACTATGGCAAGACGGCCATTTCTTACTGCCGCTACTGCGGCTACGGCGACACCAAGGCCAACATTGACATACATGAACGCTCGTGTCCCCAGAAGCCGAAAGGTCGTTGAATGACAGCATGATCTTTCGAGGTCCTGTCGGCGAATGACGGTGGTGAATGCATGGATTAGCAGACACCTTTGGGCGGTTCAAGTCGGATCATAAGGGAGCGGTGCTGAAACGATCTTGGAATGATGATCAGAACATTGATGCTGGGGCGAAGAGAGCATTGGATCCGACCCCAGCTTTCCCGAGTGGATGCCACTTTGGTCAATTTGTACGAGTTATGAATACAAAACAAAAAACACCTGCCGTGCCCTACTCAAGTCTCATTGCTTTCGAACGTGTTAAAGGACAAAGCTCGCTGGATTCAGCCTTGTAGCATGCCCACTGTCCATCCGCTCCATAAACGCACGGATGTGAACCACGCACCTTATGGAGGAGGGCCAAGCACAGGACTATCGCGGTGTTTCCATTCATCCAAGACATATTAGCGGGTTTGAGAAGACCGTCTTGAAGCGTCATCTCAACTACAACCCTGAACTCGATCGTCAGTCCAAGGTTCAAGAACTTCGAAATCTATACAACAAAGTCGAAGGCAACAAAGCTCTTGAATCGGATGATGAGAAGACTCTGAAAGGAAACAGTGATATGATCCCCGACAATGTCAGCAAGTACTTTGAAATGGAGAAGACGAGGGCACCGTCGCAGCACAGAGCGACTTGAGCGAGGAGGTTCCCGATACCGAGAGAAGTTGGTGGGCGTCCTATACCGTACTTTGGATAGACCTCTGTAATCATAGTTGCATGAACGATGTATGATATGCTATGAACTCTGAGACCACTTCCAGCAGATCCTGAAATGTTACAACTGACGAGGCTGAATGTCCAATTGTAACAAGGCTACGAGGCTGAATTCTGATCTTGGCATTGACTGACTTCTGAATTTTCTGGTTCGACTCAAACACGGCTTTACTCCTTTCGACGCTGTTTACGTCGATATATGTCCTGACGGGAGTTCTGTCGCATGGTTGACATGTGAAGCCCATACTCTGCCATGTTGTCCAACCGTTTGTCCTAAACACCCTCCCAACATGTCTCCAGGGGAGTCTAAGCCGCATAAGCGACCGAGCCTCCCTCTACGTCCAGACTGGACATCTGAAGATGAATATGTCCAGTCCGTACTATCATTTGCAACGACCTCAGACCTCTTCCGCAATCTCTGCGGTGGTGTGCACATTTTGGACTTCCTCACAAGGGAGCCAGACCTGTACACCCATGTCCTCCCGCAAGACTGGCGCGACTGGTTCGATCTCGTGACCATTGACGATGTGCTGGATCTCCTTCTTCGCGAAGAACTATCCAAGTTCGAGAACGCTACAATTCAACAAAATGGAATACCCATCCCACCACAGACACTGTTAGACTACGTTCACACAGTTCGAAAACACTGTCTACAACGACGATTTCAGCCAGTCTTAGACAACATCCCAGACATGCCAAGGCACATCTCGGTCGGTATGAAAACCAAGAAAGTCCACGAAGTCACCAACTTTGCAGCATACGTGGACAAGCTCTCGACGGAGGTGTCAGAACGACTACAGGAGCCCATTTCGGTGGTCGACTTCGGATCAGGACAGAACTACCTAGGCCGAACACTGGCCTCACCACCATACAACAAGCACGTCATTGCCATCGAGCGCAAACACCACAATATCGCCGGCGCTCAAGCAATGGACGTACACGCCAAACTGGCCAAAAGGGAGAAAATCATGCGCAATAAGAAAGAATGGAAACGTCAACTTGCTCTGAACAACGGCATGCCGACACCACCACCCGAAGAACAAACAGATGACTCTCCTATCCCAGACGTGATCCTAGCTTCCAACGATCTCACCAACGGATTTGACTCCAGCAAAGGGTCAATGACGTATATCGAGCACGACGTCAAGGACGGGCATCTCGAGAACATATTATATCCAGACGAGGACAACAACGACGATGAGCATCCACCAGAGCACACCACAAAGACCCCCAACAACGGCAACACCACCGAATCCGTTTCATCCCGCCCCAAAGCAATGGTAGTCTCACTGCACTCCTGCGGCAACCTCTCACATCACGGCCTCCGCTCTTTGACTTTGAACCCCTCAATCTCAGCAGTCGCAATAATAGGATGCTGCTACAACCTCCTCACCGAACGTCTCGGCCCAGCATCCTACAAACTCCCCCAACTCCGCCCTAATCACCCACGCCTCGAAGCCACCGGCTCAGCCTACGATCCTCACGGGTTCCCCATGTCCCGCACTCTCGAGACCTTCACATACCCCACGAGCGAGAGCGAGGGCCAGGCTGACTTCCCGCACGCCTCCGGCGCGGGCGTCAAACTCAACATCACAGCACGCATGATGGCCGTGCAAGCCCCCTACAACTGGGGCCCCGAGGACTCCGAAGCCTTCTTCCGACGGCACTTCTACCGTACCCTCCTTCAACGTATCCTTCTTGATCTCGGCGTCGTGCACCAATACCCCGGTGACCCAGAAAGTCTAGCCGGAGGCAGTATAACAGGCCGCGACACCAACGGCACACCCCTTATCGTCGGATCCCTCCGAAAAGCATGTTTCACAAGTTTCCGCGCATACGTGCATGGCGCGCTTGCCAAACTTGTCAACGATCCTACGGATGGAGATATGATTCGCGAAAAGACGAGAGACTTGACGGACGATGTCATCGACGAATACGAACACAAGTGGGGCTACGCGAAGAAGAATCTCGCCGTGATTTGGAGTTTGATGGCGTTCAGTGCCGGGGTGGTCGAAAGTATCATTGTTACGGACCGGTGGCTGTTCTTGCGCGAGCAGGACTGTGTCAAGGACGCGTGGGTGGATATTGTATTTGATTATAAACAGTCTCCCAGGAACTTTGTCGTTGTGGGGATAAAGAAGGAAATGGACGATGTGTCACCACCCACTTGAAGGCTCACGTGAGAACAGACAAATTCGCGAAGCAAACCAAAATGGAAGGGATGGCAACCCTAACGAGGCTGAGGTTGAGCTTGAGGCTGAGCTTGAGGCTGTCAGACACATCTACAGATCTTCATTGCTGTCTATCTCCGGACGATCCCCCATCTACGACCTGATTTATGTCAGAACCAGCTTGGGTCCATCTATAGGCGACCACCTATCTCACCTGTACAACTTACAGCTTATTCGCTGTCGCCAAGGGTGTGACACCCTCCAGGAATCCTCCTTCTACCACAGCCGTGATGAGCTGATTGGCAATGGCCGTTCTCGGAGGCAACCTCAAGTTACCCTCCTTGTACCCTTCAGGAGCAGTGTCACCGAGCCCGCTGGTACCATATTGCAGTGCCTCCTGAACTTCCTCCAAGGTGAACCACTTCGCGATTTCGAGTTCAGGATCATACTCCAGCTTTATGGTCTCATCCTCAACACTGGCAACCTGCGCAATACATCCAATCATGAGATTGGCTGGATATGGCCAAGGCTGGGTTGAGTGAACAAGAACTCGAGACAAGACCACGCCGCTTTCTTCCCAGACCTCTCTTCGGACAGCGTCCTCGACACTTTCCGCGGGCTCGATGAATCCCGCCAGCGTCGAGAACCAATACGGTGGCCATCTTTTCTGGCGACCCAGTAGAAGGCGCTTGCTGTCGTGGCTCAAGACTGCCACGATGATGGTTGGGTCTGTTCTAGGGAATGTCAGGTTGGACAATGTCGTTCGCGTACTGCAGGCCTCTCGCTCTGGCGGGTTCTGAGCCTTGTCCTTGGGCGGGCATATCCGTTTCGCGCCAGCATGGACAGATAGTGTGCGATGTCCACATGTTCCACAGAAGGTGTTGCGGTAGTTCCAGTCAAGGTAGTGACGTCCTTGGGCATATTGGGCAGCTGGGGGATTTGTCAGCAACATAGCCTCTGCAATGGCTGCTCCTCAGACTCACCAACATCGGCCGGAAAGCTCATAGCTCTCATGCCCTCGCTGAACTTCAGCCCATCGGCCACAAACTTCTCAGTCAGATCCTTTGCTTTCTTCTCGTACGTCTTCTTTGGCGTAATGTCTATAGCCCAGTGTGGCCCGCCGAGGAAGTTCTTGAATGAAAAGCCATCTTTCACCTTCTCGTCTATACCCAGGAAGATCAATTGCGGGGTGTCTATCCGGGAGTCAAAGTCTTCGATGATCTCTTTCTCCGTCTTTTCAAAGGGGTTTGTTGGTACCAGTGACTTGATATCGTCGTATGTGGCGTAGTGGATCTCCGTCGGGGATTTGATCAGAGGAGACAGGTCTTTGAAGACCATAAACCTGGCGGTAGGATGGGCGAATGCACCAGCAAGGAAGCTCTGGTCATCACGCAGGAAGGATAGTCTGTTTATGGGCGAGCCTGGCACAGTCAGTCATAGTTCGTAACCTCGTTAAGTGACCTGACCTCCAAAGTAATTTGTGACTTCTTTGCCAAACTTGCGACCGAGGGCAGAGTCGCGGTCCAAGTGTGCGGGATGCGGTAGATCTGGTTGCGGAGGCACGGCCATTGTGTTTGATGCTGTAAAAACAGAAGGATTGCGGACACCAGGAGGAAGTCGAGAATGAACAGCTCTTGTCCTCGGAAGTCGTAGCAGGAGTGCAGATCGAGGACGTTTACAGACAGACTTGAACATGCAAAAGCGAGGGAGGTACGGCACAGGGAGTTGGTCGAGACTGAATGAGAAGACGATATGGGGGATTAGCTGCAGATGAAGAATCCAGATGATACCCAGATCTCCTACTCGATGAGCTCAACTTGCGTGCTTCTCCACGAACCCAATCACCATTGTTTAAACCCGAAAATCGGAGACCCGCGATTACAAAAACGAGCCCATATTTTCTGATCTGATCTGCTCTGCCTCGGGCATCATGACGATTTGCAATCAAAAATGGGGGGCAGCAACGGCAGAAGCGCGGCGATGAGATCAAAGATATATCGCCCCGCACACGTGATTCTATATCTGAGGCTACTGTTCGGTTGATGCACTCCGCCAATGACGTCTTTGAGAATGTCCCGAGGCTAACAGGGATGTAGTCCGTAAGTGTACTTCATAGACCTACACCGGGCGCATCCTGTCGAAAGACTTGATATTGTGCCGATGGTGACCGGCCAAACAAATCTCACCAGCCGGGCAAACCGAACAGGATGCGAATGCCACGCAGTACCACCAACAGCAAGCCGTCATAATGACATCCATTCCCGCTCCACGATCACACCCATTGACTCTGGTAAATGGTGGGACAAGGTCAACGAGGATGCCAAGCGTCCTAGTAGGACTGGTAACCGGTTTCTGTGGAGCAGAGCCATGGAGAGGACACAGCCAATATGCATACAAGAGCCTCAGGTCAGCCATCGTTGCAGCACATCTGATAGCCCTCATAACAAAAGGCCAGCTGGGCTGCATTTGGCGCTTCCCTTTACACGAGAAGGAGGTACCCCCGTCGTTGAGATCGGGGCATATTCGTATGACGAGGCTGGAAATGGCTGGAAGTCGCACTTATGCCATTGCGTTGATGCATGGCAGGGTATCTTGGTTGAAATTGGGCCGAAATTTGGTGGCCAACAAATGCATAAATCTAGGATCCGAGCAATTTGCTTCAGATCCTGCAACCCCCGAGAGAGGTTCGACACCGCCGTTGAGGGGCGATATCTCATGTTGAAATGACACAAGCCTGTTCCGAGCTACTCCTCCAGAACAGGTCGAATGTGAGTCATCACTTCCGGTTGAGGAGGCTCAAGAATTCCTCCCTCGTTTTTGCGCTGCTCCTCATAGCGCCGAGCATACAACTCGTCGTGGTAGTGCTCGAGGTCTTTTGAACACCTCGCATGACCATGCACAGATGACTGCTCTCCATAACCACAGCGACCCCCTGAGGTTTGAGAACTTCGGCGATCGCTAAAGCAACTTGTTTGGTCAGACGTTCCTGAACCTGTAACCGGCGCGAGAACATCTCGGCCAGGCGCGCAAACTTGCTCAGACCCAGAACCCTCTTGTTAGGTATGTAGCCGATGTGCATCTTGCCGGTGAAGGGGACCATGTGGTGTTCGCACAAGCTGAAAACCTCGATGTCTCTGACAATGACCAACTCGTCGTGGTCCTCATGGAAGACGGCGCCGTTGACCAGATCGCGTACATTCTCTTCATAGCCTTTCGTGAAGTACATCAGAGCTTGCGCATAACGTAGAGGAGTGTCGCGAAGACCTTCCCTCTCAGGATCTTCTCCAATGCATTCAAAAATAGTCTTGACGGCACCTGCAAGCTTGTCCAAACGAGCTTGAGCTTCTTCCGGAGTCTGTTCGAGCCTTTCGCGGGTGCCTGTGGATGGCCAGCTCAGACCATCGAAGTCGATAGGTGGATTTGCTGTGTAAGGACTCGCAGGACGGGATATGGTCGCTGGAGGAGTCATGGGTGCCTCGTCCCGTTCATCTCGAGCAGGTTCCTGTAGCCTTGTGGGTCGCTTTGACTCGCTATCTTCTGTTCCATCGGTGAGACCAACCCATGAAGTACTCTGCATCGTTCTTTCCGTACTCTGGGAGTCTCCCAGGTCTACTGTCTTCCTTCCGCTGAACGTGCTCTGTATGGACGAAGCGAGGTTTTCCCGTTCCTGGGCGCGGGTAGTCGTTGGTGTTTGATGTAGAGGAGAGCCACCATTCAAAAGATGGGAGGGTATCGCTGAGCGAGGTTTCGGGCGCAAGGGAGGAGAGACGTTGCCGGAGGAGGGTATCTTGGGGAAATTTTGGCTCATTTTGGTTCGAGAAAGCGATTCATGCGATTAGCATGATCGTTGCACGTTGAGGGCGTCGCTAGGAAGTATTTTCCTTGTGGGAGGGACCGCGGAATGGTGAGCTCTTGTCAAGTGTAGATGGCCGTCATGTGAAGCGTCGTTCTATGAGTCTGCCCGCGTACACGCATGAGCGGCATAACAATTTTTCTGGGGTTGATTTTGACCCCTGCAGCCACACGATGGTCCGTATGCAGAATGACGAACAGCAAGATCTTCCGGGCGCTATTGTCGCCTAACCTTCCCTTTTTCTTACCTGTAGGTTGCCGAAGTGCTTAGCGCCTGTTCGTTCTGATCAGTATTGCTTACATTCATACTTCGACTTCTCCATTTCATCAGGCATACATTGCCCACTGCAAAGGACGAAGACCGAACGGTGCTTTCCTTAAAAGGTCATGACATGCACCATGAAGGAGTTTCTCATATCGATCATGTATTGGTAAGAATATATCTCTCGCGATGACCAAGGTGCCCAATGCTGGAATCCCTCGACGAGCTCATCAGCAGAGCCATGCAGACATCGTCACAACAGCCCTGAAAAAGTGTCTATATCATACATCAAAAGCCAAAATGGCCATCAGAGCAGGACTATCACGGTCCACTTCTGCAGCACCTGACCGTCGCCCGTCAGCTATGTCATGTCATTGCATTACATTGTTGCGCCCCCACAGCACGAATTTTGTGAGCTTGTCTGATATCTTCCGCATGTTCAACATAAACAGCTCAACAAGACCGAAAAGCGTTTCGAGCTACCACCAAACCCTGCTCCAGAGCGCTTTTGGGCAAAGGTATACCTCAACAGATCCTTACAGACGCGACCACTGTCTTCGTCTTGCGGATTGACAATTCCAGCAGACATAGTATTCATTCCTCGTCCCCAGTCCATAGCTATTGGCCCGCATGCTTTTCACTGGCCAGGACTGCGAGTTCAGACAAGGATATCCCCCACAGTATATCTCGCCCTGGCGGCCACGATAAGGCACTCGATACTTGTCGACACCGTATCTTGTCGATCGACAGTTCTGGCAGATATATCGCACACCTATCTCTTGCCAGTAACACATCGTTGTGCTAACTGTGTCACTGAAGCCGACGGCAAGGAAGGTTGGTGACTATATCTGTATACCCGTATGGCCAGATGCGGATCTAGCAACGGCCTGAACCTAATGAACACCTCTGTCAGCGGCTGCACCATGTCGTTCTCATACGCAGCATGCCTTCCAAGGCCTGGAAAGACCGGGAGCGTACTCACAGTGTCTCGGCCTGGCTATGTTTTGACCCGTTGCTGTGATGTTGGTATGTATTTGTTCAGGGCCAATAACTCTATCAAGTATTTATGTGCGCGGATGAAGGTGCTGAGGCTGTCGATATGGTTTCCTCAAAGGTAGGCCACAAGCAATAACACGAAATATATACCCCTTCTACACAATCCGTCTGCCATTCTTTGTTTACTACATGATCACTTCGCGATTGTTCCGTTGACTCCAAACCGTGATGCGCGAACGCGTATTTAAAACGGACGTGAATAAGGGCATCACTTCCTCCGCTGAGCGGTCCTCCCGGGGAGTCTATGCGCCGTCTGCTTCACGAGATAGCGCTGCCTTTGGAGTGAATGGTGACGCCGTATTGCAGAGTGCAAGGAGCAAATGTCGAACGAAAATGACAAACGGTCTATGTCACTCGTGGTGTTCGTGAAGCGCACAGTAGCGTCACTCTACGTTGTTGGACATGGAGACTTCTTCCAGAAAGTGGACATCGTCCACTTGGACGCGGAGTACATCTATCGCGTAACGGCAACTGCGAACTCTTTGATGGCAGCGTGTGCCTTGACGGCATGTCGCTAGACTTGTACTGATGGAGATAGTGGCCGCGGAGCATCACGGTCTTATGGACAGACCTTGTAGACGAAGAAGTCCCATGGACATCGAGTATCTACATCCACTGAACCGGATAAGCTTCCGAGCTGCAAAGCACAAGAATTCTATTTATTGTAGGAGACCTTCTTGATAACAATTCGTCCAGCAAGCATCGCATTAGTCAGGTCGTAGCCCTAGGAGGTATTTTATTCAACACCAAAATCTACACATACATCAAATGCACCCGAGCTCAGCATGTCCAGTGTTGTGCCTCACGACATGCTCATCCGTGCACTGCCTTCACCTTCCGAGTCGTTGTCATCTTCTCGGGTTTCGGAATCGTTGATCGAAGGTCGTGCAGAAGCAGGACCATCAACGTTCGACGGCGGAGGCGGCATCGAAGGCGTGTTGTCCACCCTGGCCCTCTTGTCTCCACTAGGTTCTGGCAAACCCGCATCTCGCGCTTTTCTCTTCTCCTTTTCTCGAATATATTCTTCCTTCTTCCTCTCCTTCTCGCGCTTGTCGTTCTCTCGTCTTGCTGCCTTGCTCTCGAACTCGTGCCAGTCGCCCTCGACTTCTTCCAACTCGACGGCTTGGACAGGCTCCGGTTCTTCCTTAGTGAAATATCCATGGCTCAGGACCTCCTCCGTGTTAGGTCGTGCCGTCGGATCATACTTGAACATCTGTTGCACCAAGTCAAGTCCGGCCGGACTGAAAACATCCTTGTAAATAGTCTCGAATTGTCGCTTGCGCTTCTCGGCAGGCTGCATGAGTTCGAACCAGGGGAGATCGACAATACCCGGCCACTCAGCTCGGGTCGGTGTACCAAGAATGTTGTAGGTCTTTTCAAGTTGGCTGAGCTCACCGCCTTCTCCTGGAAAGATCGCTTTCTTCGTGAACATCTCGACAAAGACGCAAGCAGCAGACCAGACATCGACTTCTGGACCATACTGGGTCTCTCCTAGGAGGAGTTCTGGCGGACGATACCAGATGGTGATGACGCGATTAGTATAGTCGAGTTTGCGTGATTTGGTGTAGAAGCGTGCGAGACCGAAATCGGCATATTTGAGCTGGCCTTTGTTGGAGACCAAAATATTCGCTGCTTTGATATCGCGGTGTAGGACGCCACGGCGATGGAGGTAGTCCAAGCCACTGAACATCTGCTTCGCCAAATCCTTCTTATGCGCTTGTGTGAGCTTAAATGTAGGATGATTGATGAGTCCAGTCAGATCGTGCGACAGATATTCAAAAACCATAAAGCACTCATTCTTTTCCACCATGACCTCTTGGAGCGCGACAACATGTTGATGTCGGAGGTGCTGCAACAGTCTGATCTCACGCACGGCCGTTATTGGGAATCCATCTCGTTCACCTTCCATTCGGATCTTCTTCAGCGCAACTTTGTCTTTGGTGTAGATGTGAATGGCTTTGAATACTTTTCCATATGTGCCTGCACCTACTACCGACTCATTACCAGGTTTTCGGTAGTATATCGATTCTGATGCTGCGAACTCGGGTGTCAGAGTAGGCCGTGGCTTGGGTTCTGTCTTCTGCCTCTTGTTGGGCGGAGAGCGTGATCGACCGGCTCTACGCTCATGCGGCTGCAGGTGGCGATCATTGGGATGTCGACGATCTGGGTGTACAAAATCAGGCCGAGGAGGCCGAGGACCTTGTCTATCATCTCGACGCTCGAAGTTTCGGTCGTACTGCTTCTTTTTCGGTTCTGTGGGGGGAAGCCGATCGCCAGGAGGTTGGAATGGCGCTTTCGGTTTGGCTGAGAAGTCGTTGGTGGATTTAGCCGGTCCAGTAGGAGGAGCTTTTGACTTGAACGCAAAGCTGAACTTGGAACCAGGTGTTCCCCCTTGTTCGTCGTTCTGGGCCTTTTGGTTCGCGCCTCTTTGATCTTCCACTTGCAGCTCTTTCGAAGGTCTAAAGGGGTTTTCTTCTTCGGCGGGTGCTTGTCTTTCTTCGTGCGAAGCTGCTTGTGAGGGAGTGGGAGATGCATGTGCTTGGTGAGTGTGACCCTCCTGATAATCATTGTTGTGTGAGCCTCCTCGTTTGGGACCGGAGGGTGCCGTCCATTGCAAGTTGTTGAAGTGGCCGCCTCTACCCCTTGGTCTAGGGCCGTTGAACCTTTGATCTTGTTTTCCCTGGTGAGGATACTGTCCACCACGATTGGGACCATGACCACCTCGATAAGGGGGTTGTTGATATCCTTGCGGATTAGCTCCGTAGTGTTGTTGATTTTGGTAGTAGGGATTTGGGTTGTTCATGCCACCTGGCCCAGGGTGGCTGTTTTGCCGGTACGGAGGCGAGGAGTTATGCATGGGACTAAACGTTGATTAGTATAAGATAGAATGACACAGCTTGACCACTTACCCATTCGGTCCTCCCCATCCACCTCTTTGGTTGTGATACGGCGAGCCAGCTTGAGGTGAGCCATGATAGGAGCTATTCGGGGTGCCCGCGTAAGGAGGAGAACCTCCATATGCTGCTTGCCTAGTGTCGACAAACGGTCTTTGTTGTCCTCGATGTCCACCATAATTGCCGCGTGCCGGGTATTGACCGTCCATTGATCGATTGTCTGCGTCGTCTACCACGGACGGAGTCCTGGAACGAGGTTGACCTTGTTCGACGGACGGCCGACCTTTACCCGCCCGAGGTCGTTTTGGTGGTCGAAAGTCTTTTTGCGAGGACTTTTGGTCGTCGATCAGTGCCCGTCGCGATTCGTTGATAGGCGGAGGTGATGATCTGGCAGGATGATGTGGCGATATGGAACGTCTATCGTGTCTGCGGGAAAGACTGGATGCTCTGGAGTCGGCAGGACCTCTGATATCAGGTCGGGTAGGGCGAGATGATTGCTCCCGGTAAGGTGAGCGAGACCTGGCAACAGAGGATCGCCTATCACTGATGTCTGAGCGATCTCGACTGCGACCAGGTCTCTGGCCTACTGGGCCAAATCTGTCGCTAGGTGCAGGTGATGGACTCTGCGTACGTCTGCGTTTGGGCAGCCTATCTGGGGAGTATTCACGAAATCGGCCCGGCCGATCGTCAAACGGCCTTGGGGGTGGCGGGTGCGAATGTTGTGATTTGTGAGGACGAGATGGTGAAACGGATGACCTTCTACCATGCGATTTCCTCGAATCTCGAAATTGCCACTTCTTATTCGATCGACGGCTGCCTCGCCCTGCCTGTTCTCTGTCTCGACCAGGGCCTGATCGATCTTCTCGATATCCAAAAGGTGGTGAAGGACGTCGCTGGTCGCCACGGTCCCGGTCTCTCTCCCACTCTCGATTCAAATGTCTCTCGCGCGGATCCTCTTCAGCTCGCCGACGATGCTTCATTGATGGACTCTGTCGAGACCTCGCCATGTAACTCGGGAAGTCATTTGTGACGGTGGAGGGAGGAGAGAATGGTCTGAAAGGTGATCGAGGGCGATGTGGTTGTTGCTGGTGTTCAGTGTTTCCTGCGCAGTCTGGAGATCCGTGAGTGAGTGAGTTGCATGGGTCGTGAGCGCCTTGGCACGCGGCAGCGCTGTGATTTGCATCGGCTGCGCAACTCCGCGTTTTGAGACTCACCTGGTTCAACCTTGCCCTCCTCCACCTCCCTTCTTCTCTCTCTCTCGTCCATTGTTTCTTCCTCCCAGCCATCATTCACAGACTAACGTCCAGTGCTGATGATGGTCGAGGTCTAATCACTCACACTCTACAGTTTGTTGTTGTTGTCGGTTTGTTGTGAACTTGTGATTCCTCCGCTGAGAGATTGCGCTCAGAGAGGTTTGACCGCGGGTTTTTGTTGTTTGCGCGGGTTTAGGGGCAAAGAGGTCAGATGTATCGCTAAACGATGACAAGAGACCAGAGGAGACAGCCTATATACGTGCAAAACAAAGATCCTTCCGCCACCATCCGCCATTGTTGTGCAGTAGTCTTCCATCAAGCACTTGGCAAGAAACGTGACAATGGCTTAACGCTTCACCCCGACCATCAGACCATATGCGCCGTTGTGGTATAGACATTGCCACGGACAAGCATGCAATATCTAACCACCTGGCGACGACTCCATAGAGCTGCAAGAAGTCAGGACATCAAAGGGAATAGTTAGTCAATCAGCACTTCAGCTGGACGAAACGTAACAAACCATGCGAGGTTGTCAGAGCACGGCTTGTCGAGTCATCGACCTCTGTATAACCTGCTGGCAACAAAAGATGTCTCATTTGAAGAGGTTTCATGCCCGGCACAGAATCGACTTCTGCGATTGGTCATTTGTGATGAATTGAAAAGGAGTGCGTTGTTGGCCAATGCCAACTTGGGTGAGTCCACGCGGAGTTCGCAGCTTGAAGGCCCCGGACCGGGCAGATGGCTTGCTGTAATGGTTGACTCAATAACTACAGATTCTGGATGCAGAAAACTTCTCCCAAACGTGTTGAGCTGGCTGATATGCGACATTTGGGCACGTTATCCTGGGTTAACAAGGAGCCGGATTGACCCCGCTGACCGCCTGGAACTGACGTCGCCGATAGCACTGGTGTCACCATCAACAGGAGAAGAAGTAAGTCGCGCCATTCGGGCATCTAAGAGCCAGAGCGAATAAAACGTGGAAGAAAGAAGAGAACCATGTATAAATTCATGGTTGCCTGCGGTTGACGTATGAAGAAGGTAGAGGCAGTGAGTTCCAGGTTTACAGGTTCCAGATGAGTGAACCTCTTGCCAAGATTAAGTCTTGGCAACCTAGCTCGGGTGGAGCAGGAACACCCGGTCGTGCAGTAGTTAGGTACAGGATTGTGTTCAGGATTTGGGATTGTATTGACATGCTGAGCCTATACTGCAGTTTTAAGCTTGCCGTAAGAAGGTCATCGAGTATCAGATTACTCTTGTCAAGTCTGAACTCCGTAGTCGCCCAAGAAAGCGTCGCACGACCATAAGTCGCCCGGCATCCACCTCTATTCACGGGTCATCTGGGGGTGTTGTGACCCTCTTCCATCTAATCCATATCCTCGAACCAGATAAGAGCTCCTCCTAGGTTCTGTCCGCGAAGCCGGCCAGGTGTAGCATCTGATTGGTCTCCGAAGCTGTATCGCTGTTCAGCAGCATCTTGACCATGATAATGCATGTTGCATAACACATCCCCTAGCAATGCAAACAAACTGGTTTTTGGTTTGTTCGTGATCAGCCCAATCTCTCAATGAGCTCCGCCTACCACAGCGTAGCGAGACTTCTTGGACTTGAGTAGCTGAAAATTGTCATGCTTCCGCACAATTTTAACTGTACCCTTTCATCCTAGATTCATCTTCTCACCAACACCCTTTTCTCCCATCAGCTCGCAACCAGTCCGCACAACACCGACCATGCCTCCTGTTTGCACTGATTCGCTGCCACCTCCTGCTAATTTGTACTCAATCTCCGAAAGACCCTGGAGCCAGGTGACTCTGGTGGCCGTGCTGACTTCGAGATTTTGCAGCTCCTCTGCCAATGCAGTCAGTATATCAGCCAGAGCCAGGCCACGGCTGCTCTTCAATGCATTGATCGTGGTCAGACAACTTGTCACATCTGGTTCGCTCAACAGTGTGGTCATAATCATCCGGATGTCGTCGGGATGAGGCGCCGCAATACAATTGTAAATCGTGTCATTCGTAATGAGCTCGTATTTGATGTCAGACTCTTTGATTGGAGGCTGCCCACGCATGGGTAGTGGCCTTGATCCTGCGTGGCACGCCTGTAGTACGTTCAGTGCTCTTCGCATGTCACCCTTGGACAATTTGACTAGGGAATCGACTGCTTCCGGGGCAATGTTGACATTTTCTTGGGCGATGACGTGGTCGACCAATCGACGAATGTCTGCCTCTTTTAGAGGAGAGAAGCGGAATCTCGTACATCGCGACAGCAAGGCAGGTGAGAGTTTATGTGTGTAGTTTGCAATAATGCAAAATCTGGTGTTAGCAGTGTATTTCTCCATGATTCTCCTCAGTGCCATTTGGGCTGCGGAAGTCATTGCATCTGCCTCGTCCAGAATGATCAACTTGAACGCACCAAGACCGATTTTGGCCGTAGATTGCTGTGTTGAAGTACTGAAGATTTGTTTGGTGGAAGCGAATGTCTTTATTTGTTCCCGCACGACATCAATGCCGCGGTCATCTGAAGCGTTCAGCTCCAGCACCATCTGTCGCATATTCTTGGGACCGTATATTTGACGGGCAAGAGCCAGGATTGTGGAGGTCTTTCCCGTTCCTGGAGGACCATAGAGGAGGAGATGGGGTAGTCTGTTCTTCTCGATGAATTTGTTGATGGTTGCAAGGATATCTTGGTGTCCGGACACATCATCAAGTGTACTGGGGCGGTACTTCTCAACCCTGAAACAGTGAGTCTCCTAGCGATATTGCCTGGGCAGGAGTAGATGTCTTTCACATACCATGGTAGATTATCCTCTGCCTCTATCGGCAAGTCTGCGACGATTCGTTTTTGTTTTCCAGCGGTGTTGTCTGAGCTGAATAGTATTTCCTTGTTCTTCGACGGAGGTGCATCCACATCCATATCATCTTCGTAGTCCGACATCTTGGAAGAGTGTGACTGCGATGTTGGTGTTATGCGCAGCAAGAGTTGGGGATGGCTACAGCATTGGTGATGGGATGTGCCTGCAGATCAAATGTTCCGTGACGCGCTCTCCAAACGACGCGTTACGAGTAAAGTGGTTGCCATCCGATCAGACCTGTTGCTGTTTTAACAGACTTGGCGAACGTCGGCCCGCCGCGAGGCTTCCTCCAAAAGTGATGGCCGACTGCATGCTCACCTGCCCGCATGCGACCACATAAGAATGGAACATTGAAACCACAATTGACTCTCCCCGTGCTGCTTCCACGGTGTCGTCCTCTCTTTAACTCGTCGACAACACATCATGCCGGTAAATCCACACATACGGCACTACCCATTCAGACAGACTTACATCTCATGCAGGCATACCACTCCATCTTCCTGGGCGACCAGGGCGTCCAAGTAATAGGTAACCTCTCTCTAACCACCACGCCCCAGCCGAAGAAATAACAAGTATAAGGCAACTTCCCTCTCCTCCCACTACGCACAAAGACACGAGGTCCCGCATACACACTCCCCCAACTCCCCAGCGGCACTGATCCTCTCGATGTCGACCCCGACTCCGAGTCCTACGACTGCCTCGACGAAGTCCTGTCATTATTCCGTGCCAACACATTCTTCCGCAACTTTGAGATCAAAGGCCCCGCAGACCGCATGCTGATATACGGCATCCTATTTGTGTCCGACTGCTTGACCAAGGTCAAACCCAACATGGACTCGCGAACGGCTGAAAAGGCACTGATCAATGGCGCGCTCGAGCAATTCAGTATCCCTGGCGAGCCAGGCTTTCCTCTGAACCAGGCGTTCGAGGCGCCGAGGGACAGAAACGAGGCGGAGGCATTGAGAAGCTACCTAAGTCAAGTCCGACAGGAGTTGGCGATGCGGTTACATGCTAGATTATATGAGGGCGGTGTTGGGCCGAGTAAATGGTGGTTGAGCTTTACCAAGAGGAAATTCATGGGCAAGAGTTTATGAGCAGATATGCATGAGAAAGGCGATATGATGGCACAGAGATACAACAAGACATTAAGAATACCAGGTTAGGTTTTGACCTCGAGGCCGATACATGATTCAGGCAGCACTATGTCTCTGTTTTCATGTCGACGTCCTCTGGTTCCTGTTTTACTGTCTCCAAGGCTGTCTCCGGCGCCGCAAGTGCATCATTCTGCGGCTCGGTCTTCTGTTTCTTGAGCGGAGACTCTGGTGGGATGTCCTCCGCTGGCGTTGGGGTCGCAGGTGCCGGTGTGGATGCAGCTGTTTCGTTCTTGTTTTTCTTACCTCGCGGCGGGCGTCCTCTGGCCTCGACCTTTCCTTCGGCAGGTATCACCCTTATTCCCACGAAAATGTAACCCTCCGCACCACCCCGGCTAGTCATAAGCGGATGTGTCCTTCCGGGCAGGACCTGCCATTTCCTAACCCGGGCAGTTTGCACAGTCGGCACAAGAAGGAGGGTCGGATCGACAGGAAAGTCTTCAGAAGTGCGCTGCTCTTCTGGCGTGTTGATATACGCCGTCCGTCTTGCTGTTGAATAGTAGTCTGCCAATCTTGTAAGGGGCTCGACGTTGGGAGAATACACCACGACCTGCCCACCACCCGCGACCATTGGGACTAGATGTCGTAGAATCGATACTGGGTCTGTGAAGCTTGTGACTACCAAGCCGTTGAAGCCGCCTTGTCGTGTCTCATCGACGATATTCTTGGTTCGTTCCCACCGCCTTCGCTTACGGTAGTATGCGCTTCTACGGTTGGACTTGGCTTTGGCGAGTTCTTCAGCTGGTATGACTTCTGGTTCTTGGTATGTGGTGTCGGCTTCGGGATCGAGGAGTTGCAGCCAGGATAAGGTTTTCAGGTTCTTGTACAGAGGATGTGACGGGGTCGGGTTGTTTGAGTCGAAGTTGAAGTAGCGGAGTAGGCCCAGGTTGGGTTGCTGGTTGGCGTGGAGGAGGGTGATGGTATTTGATTTGGCGCTCATTGCCGTGGGTTTGTATTGCTGCCTCTGTGGTTTGTGTGGTAGTACGGCTTCTGCTTGTTCGGGTGCAGCTTCGGCCTCCCCGTCATCGTCGCTATTTGCAGCGTTATCTCCAAGTTCCGCTTGGTGAAGGATGCCCATTCTTTCGGCCATAGCGGCAACCGCCAGGCCGCCTGTATCGTCGACGACCAGATACCGGGATAAGGAGTCTGTGTCTGCCTGTGTAGGGTCTTGCCCGCTGGCATGTACGTTCGCCCAGGATCCTACAAGACCAACAGCCTCGTTGCGCATTTCCATGACCTTGGCAAAGTCGCGGTCTGCCATCATCCAGTCGACTAACGTCGGTACATCGAGAGGCAGTACGCAGAATCGCTTCATGTATTTTTTGTGCTTGCGGAGAGTGTACTTCGCTAATGAGAATGCTGTTTTCTGGTCGAGTGTGGTGTGAGACTGCATGATCTTCTCGATCAGTTCCTTGCCGCTACCCATGTCGCTCTGCTTAAGAGCTTCGATCTCCGCCATGGTGAGTTTCTGATTTGAAGGATCGTCATAAGTATTGACGTTGGACTTTGATGTGGGCTGCCCTGCCGCTTCCTCTACTGCTGGAGGTGACGCATCTTCGGTCTCTGCTGTCTCCATCAAAGTCACAGCGTGTAATTCGGCTGCTGGGACAACTCTCAATTCTCTACCGTCATGGACATCTGGTCGATCCAGGATCTCAAATGTTAGATGGTAGGGACGACCGATGATCTGGTTGGTACGAAAAGAACCATATTTTCCAAGATTTATGAGACTTGTAACAGAGTCAGCGACAGCTCACAAAGCCGTTGGCTGATATCTGTTTCGGCTCATAGAACGATATTTGGTGCACCTACGAATTTGGGAGGATTTGTTCGACTTTTGTCTGATCGGACGGTAGCCGAAGAGCCACATATTGGAATGGCTGGATGGTTTGAAACGGCATTGTGCCGGATTATGCTCAATCGTATTATAAGACGAAGTTCATCGTATTTTTGTCAAAAGCCCCCAAGGCAAGTCTGCTTTCAACCAGACCATATTTTGTCAATATAAATTTTATGAAGTGGTGAATCCATTATGTCGCCAGATCGGGCAGTGTCCCACCGTAGAAGTATTCCAGTGGTTGCCTACGGTAAACCAGTCACCCAGTTGTGGAATTGCGCAATGGGTGGTCCAACTCCACCATACCGGACGTCAGGCAAGGCAACTTTCCAGGTCAAGGAAAACTACGTGGTGTACCAATTGCGCATGGATTATTGATGTACTCTGACGATGCAGCCACAGGATCAACCAGGGGCGTGCAGGGGCTGAAATGTGTCCTCGTGACCAGTATTGCCGGAATCAGGGCGATCACCAGCCACAAAACAAGGACAAAGCCTGAGGAGTGAACGCCTGTTTACCGTGACGTCAGGCTCTAAGCGACACAATGAAAATGGCGACTATTGAAAGAGGATGAGGAAGTGCCGTCACCAGAATCGCGTGCCTATAACAGTCGCAACTCATCCTGTTTCAGAGGTATTGCATTTACTCTCTCTGACTATCAGTGAAAGCCAACATAACATCTGTTTTTACAATATCAACCCAGCAAACAAAGCAACATGTCGGACATCGTTAAAGGCGTTGGCAACCTCTTTTACTCGGTTCTCGAGATCATCCAAGGCATCTTCTCGACCATTCTCAGCGTGTTCCAGGGCGCCATCAACACAGTCCTTGGCCTCTTCAAGAATGTCTTCAACTTGGCCGAAGGTGTTGTAGGCTTCATCATTGGTATGTGGTCTGATTACATGGAAGAGATCTCACAAACTGACATTAAAACAGGCAACATCTTCATTCTTGGCACTCTGGCTGCTGTGTACTTTGGGTACATCTTGTATCAGCAACGCCAGGGCAAGAACCCGGCTCCCCTCTCAAGGGCAGCAAAGAAGACCAAGTAAAGCGAACAACAGAGAGCGATGGACAAGCAACGGTCGAATGACTGGTACGCGCAACGACTACTGCTGTGTCGGGTGTTAGAAGGACACTGCGCTTGGGTAGAACTCGAAGTATGTCAACACGGGAAAAGTGCTGGATTATGAGGACAAGACGCGACTGTATCCGGCTATAAGGTAGCCAGTTTATGTAGAATATGCACTGAAGTCGGTGCTCAAATGCAAACAATAACAACTTCGATCAGAATGATCAGATGTACCACTATCTCGTGAAAATAAAAACAATCCACGTCGTCGCTGACCTCGGCCCCCACCAAACGTAGAGAGGCCCCAATTTTCCTGGACCGAGGCATGATGCCCCAAATTCGACCTTTGACAGTTCACGCTTTCAGGCTTGAGTCGCGTTGTGACAGCATCATTGCCGAACGACCGTCCTCCATTTCTCCGGTTTTCCCCTAGTTGGTGCACATGCGTCAACAGCGGGCACCAGTGATTGACTTCATACAAAACCGTCTTTCTCCCTTCTTTTCTCCTTTGCTTACCTAGGTAGTTTCCTTCCAATCTAGTAATCCGACCTTATCAACGACGCACTCGTACAACATCTGCGCCGCCATCATGTCATCACCAAAAGTCATCGCGCCAACCCCTACAGAGGGCGACCTCGACAACTCTTCCTCCCAGTCGTCCGGTCCCGTCAATATCATCCCTTCCCGCGATGCTACCTCCACGACCACCGCTGCGCAACAGAGCGACAACATTGCCCATGCATTGGCTGGCGCAGGCGGCGGTCTTCTTGCCATGACCTTGACCTACCCTCTGATCACCCTTTCGACGCGTGCGCAGGTCGAATCTAAGCGAGCTGATACATCGACCCTTGCAGCCGTCAAGCACATTCTCAACCGCGAAGGTGTCAGCGGACTTTATGCAGGCCTCAGCAGCGCCTTGTTCGGTATTTCCGTCACAAATTTCGTCTATTACTATTGGTACGAATGGACCAAGGCGTTCTTCGAGAAAGCAGCCATTCAATCTGGCCGTGCTAGCAAGAAGCTCACCACCATCGAAAGTATGATTGCCGGTGCTATCGCCGGATCGGCAACAGTGATGCTCACCAACCCCATCTGGGTGGTCAACACCAGAATGACAACTCGCAAGAACGATGAGAGCGAGTTAGAGTTGCCCGGTGGTGAGAAAAAGCGCGTCAAGGCGCCCGGCACAATCGCAACCCTAGTCAAAATGATTAAGGAGGACGGAGCAAGTGCCTTGTTCGCAGGCGTTCTGCCGGCCTTGGTGCTGGTAATCAACCCAATCCTGCAATACACCTTTTATGAGCAATTGAAGAACATCTTGGAGAAGCGGAAGAAGGTCGGACCCAAGGATGCTTTCTACCTTGGTGCCCTCGGAAAATTGTTGGCAACCAGCATCACATACCCATACATCACTGTCAAGTCTCGAGCCCATGTGGCCACCAAGGATCAGCCACATGAGGGCATGTTGAAGAGTCTGAATAAGATCGTCAAGGAGGAGGGCTGGGCTGGACTCTACAAGGGTAACTCGCACTCACTCATTACTATCAGGCGTTGCTGACATGATATCCAGGAATCGCCCCCAAAGTCAGCCAGAGTGTTCTCACAGCGGCGTTCCTCTTCGCCTTCAAAGATGTCTTGTATGACATGACCATTGCCGCACGTCGGAGGGCCAGGGCCATCAAGGCGTAAATTTAGCCTCAAAAACATCATCGAACAAGGCTCAACCTAAGTGCGGTTGCTCGATCGGAGAGTGACTGGAGGTCACTTTCGTTGAGGAAGGAGTTGGATATGGAAGAATCCTTGATAGTGGGACGATGTTGCTACGTGATCATGACAAAATGAAGGTGAGTATAGGGGGATTTTCATTCTTGGGATGCACGATTACACTTGGATACTTCCCTCTCAACGCTATGGCTCTCTCGAGTGCTCTGGCGGGGAGCACGGGTGTCTTATCGCACTAGCAATTCCCATGAATTATTTCTGGACAAACAATTGGCGTGGGTGTATGATAGAGCAGTGTTGGAAAAGAAGACCATGCAGGAGGTCAGTCATGTGTGGAGGATGGTGCCTTTGGTGCGCGATATGTGCAGATATGAGAAGGGACGAGTCACAAGCAATCGTGCGGTTTGGCTTGTTCCTACCACCCGCCCTTCCTGACCTCGAATGGCTTCCAAGCAGTTTGATTGTATCTGATCATGGAAAATCTGATATTGTACACAGCTTTTCTCTGAGAGTCTGTCGCACTTACCTTGTTCTTGCTGCAAGCTGTTGTTTTCACTTTCACACGTGCATGCTCTCGAGGCAGACCCTCCTACTCTCCATTTTCATCTCATCGTCTCCTCCTGCGAGCATACCTGCCTTCATCCTCATCTTTGACTTCGGTCACCCCATTCAAGCAGAAGGAGTGTCACTTTGTTGCTTTGTTGTAGGGGTTCTGGTTTGTTTTTTCCGCTTCAATATTGAGTCCGTCCTCATTGACTGTGTAGCACGCTCAGACGATTGCCATCATGACAAAGCGAATCAAATCACGTCCTGAAGACGATGGCTCTCCCTCTCACTACCATTTCCACGGTTCGATCACCAACTTGTTCCTGAACAGCAACGTCAATGGGCTGAACCAACCGCCTGCTACATCAACACGCGAGGAGGAAGTTCAGCCAGCAAGAGAAGAGCTCAGAGAAGGTCTTGATATCTCCTTGAAGCGGTCCTGTGACGATGCTGGCATTGACGGTGAGCTCGATGCTATTGTCTTTCTTCAGAGGTCTCGACTGACACTTCACCTAGATGATATTCTAGCAATGGACAATGGACCTGCAGCCAACGAGGCAGATAATCAAGCTGAAGATGAGATGAGTGCCGCTGGTGAAGACGAAATGAATGAAGCTCTTTCCACCTTTGCTAGAAGACTCGCAAAACAACGTGCTGATGGTGATGAACCTGTTAGTACTGACCCAGAGACTCCTGCCAGTTATCTAACTCATTTTCAGCATGACATGACGAGATCACCAGTGATATGTACAGTTCCACGAGGAGGGGACACCTATCTTCTCAAACTCCCATATCCACGGATTGCGCCGAACCCGCCTGTGATGAGTGAATACGCCAATAATCTGCATATCCTCAAAAACATTCTACAAACGGATCAGTTGACCACCCTCGGTTTCCGACTAAGTGAAGGCTCTGTGGTCGACTTGGTGTCTAACCATCTCGAGTGTTTGCTGCCTGAAAGAGTCTACACCGAAGCCTTACTAGCCGCAATGTTGGAGGTTCTTTCAACGCCGAAGAATCTGTTCGTTCTGGCTGGTTGGGAAGTCAGCTGGAAGCACTTGTCCAGCGACACCGAACGCGTCTGGTTCGTCCAGTACCGCCAGAAGCGTTGGACTGCCCTTTGCATGCTGCTGCAAGAGCGCAAGTCAGGCAATAAAAGACTTCAATTCGCATTATACGACCCGGAGAATGCGTTCGCCGACGAACCTTCGGCATTCGCTGCCAGCAAAGCAATGAGTGAACTGCGCGATCATGCAAAGTGGTCCGAGCTGACTCGCTGGCATGAGATCCAGCACATCGGTACCGTCCAACAGGTTGTATGTACATTCAAACCTGCTCATTCGACTTGGTATGCTCATGCTGACCCCGGCCCAGGAATGCCCTGCACCGGATGAAGATAATTGTTCAGGCCCAAGGGTGTTGCACTACCTTCTCGAGTCTCGTCCAATGGCTCTATCGCCACGTCAACCGCCAACTCACTGGCTTCGTGCAGAGCATTTTGCATTGCTGCATGGGATTCTAAGCGGAGATGGAGCATCTGAGATCGTACTCTGAGGCGTTACCAGCGTCTTTCATCAGCATGGAAGGTGGGGTCCAGCACATTTGGCCCTGCCGGGACCAGTACTATTACTCCTGAATCACTAGAGTGATTAGGCTTGCACACAGATCACGGCATGTTCAATGAGCGAGCAGGAAGCAGCAATCTCATAGATTATATCCCAGATGTATCTAGAACGTATCCTTGGCAGCCTCATATTCTAGAGGCCTGGCCTCAAGTAACGATGAAAGGCTGATAAGAAGTGCACCCACGAGGATTTGTTGTACTTTGCATTCATCTATTCCTTTAAAGCTTCAGTTCACTTTGACGAATTAGCAGCTGTCACAAGGCAGGCCTGTGATGTCAACCCTCGCTTATAGGTGACTTAGCGGGTCTGGTGAGCCGTAGCACCTACCTAGCCTTGACTTTCTTCCACACCGTCTTGGAACTCCATACCTATTCTTGCAAGTTCATTTCACCATCTTGCCGTCACGCTTTCGCTGGATATCGCGACAACTTAGAGATGAGGTCTTACTCTCAAGCTTCCAGTGAGCTCGCATAATAGATCGCGGTGCTGGCACATCATCTCCTTAAATTCAAGGTATCGAACGATGAGCGAGAAGACGATGACTTCGTTTCAAGTTGCGTCGATCTTGAGGAAAAGAGCCATACTAGTACATTGGCACAATCAGGGCCACGAGGCTGCCGTTCAGCCTCACGATCCTTGGCGGGATTCCACGACGGCTTCACTTTCACAACAGCCTTACCTTTCTGGGCCTGGCTGGCTAGCAGTAGTCACTGGAATTCAATGCATATAGCATTGAAATGTGAATTTTTGGCTAACAATCCACAAAACATTGCTTTCAACCCTGATGGTCCAGTGTTCGCCAGGCCAATCCTCCCCTGCTGGGGACCAGTATGGGACTGTTATACAGTCTTCCAGAAATGATGAAGCCGGAACATCATACATTGGCTTGCAGTCTGCACAGTAATCAGGTCGAAAGGCTTGACAGAAAGAGACTCGCCAGATGTAGTACACGGATCTCAGATTGAGAGCACCACGTTCGAGGATTGGTTGTCTTCCCGAAAAACAAACCCAACGAGGTTTGTTTCCCTTCCCGCTGACCAGTTCTGGTCAAATTCCGAGTTCTGTTTGCGGAAAAGTTTTTTTTGAGCTTCAAGGAGTGATATCAAGGTGAGAGTGACATTTCGTTTGTGTGATGATGTCGGTGAAGTGAATGGCACCGTAGGTGGTCTTCTCTTGGGGTGGCCGCCCGTGATAAATCAGTACCTTGGCGGTAGAGGCGGGTCACAACGCCAGCATTCCTTGACGAGGGTTGTGACCAAACATTTCTCAGTGAAACTTGCATGTCCGTGTAGCTTGAAAGCTGCTCTTTATCGAACAGAGCTGCCAGTTCCACTCGACTTCGCAGTCCATGGACGACGGAGCGGAGGCAGGTAGTGTCTGGGCCTTGCCCACGAGTCAGGCAATTGTTCCTGTCGGACCGTCCGTGATCAAGAACGGGTCGCTCTTGGCTGACGGAAAATGGAACGTCGACCTCTTATGGTGCTCTGCCAAGTGCTTAATACGCGAAGCGGCTCAACGGCCCCTGTCCAAAGAAGCGGGATTGCGCTACTCAACTTGGCTTGCTGGGGACGGGGAAGCTGGGGGCCTCACCAAGCTAAGGAGGCTGAGGTTTTGGGCCCGTCTCGCCGCCAGCCACATTGAGATTTTGAGGTCCTTTTCTCCAACGTTCAGCCCTTTTTGCAAGCCACCCAAGCTGGATCTCGCGACCACCGCTGAATGTCGGCCCATAGGAGCCGTTATGTGCTCAAGCGACGCAGCGCTTCGAGTTTTCACTATGTTTCAGCCCATGTGATTTCGTCAAGAAGTTGGAGGTAGACCCAATTGGGCAAGCGATGTGTGATTTAGTAAGATGGTCAGGCTCTCAAACGAGTCTACTGTTATCCTCGCCCTGACCGGCAGCATACCAGGTCCAGGCCCATGTCAACTGTCAAGCGACTGAACGATTATCACATAGTATCACTATCATGCACTCCATATTTGTTGGTAGGTAATCGTGCAGTTGGGGTCATCAAGCAGCCTTGCCAAGTTTGCTACACCATGAAGGAGGGCCTACCGCCTCCTGCCTCATTGGGTAGGCGTACTAACTCAAGTGAGCCAAAAGATCTCCATCGATCACGCAGATCAAACTGGAGCATAGATGTGGAGTGAGCATCAGAACATGTATAGTCAGACGGCATTGGGGGTACACAGAAACACGCAGCGACGCCCTTTTTGCCAGCAGCGTACATCGTGATTCGACTGAACGCGAAAATCCCTTCCGGTCCGCGATGTACACCTTGATTGGATTGAGTAAGTTACGGCTGCTGAAGGGTATTTTTTCCACGTTCAGCTTTGATTCAGTCGGGCCTTCCAAGCGGTCTGAGGCTGGACCTTTCAATGGCTAAAGATGGTACCCATGAATCACGCCTTCCACAAATGGCCATCTACGCTAATCCACAGAGTGTCATTGAGACAAAATCCCCCTTTCGTTCATGGCATTGTTGGCACGTCAGGATCAAGCCTTCGACCAAAATGTGGAGAGATCTTCCACGAAGACTTGTATTTGATCCCAAGTGCAACCTCATGAATTTAGGTCGGACTTCCACAATTCAATTTCGCTCTTTTCCGTCTGTTGCAGACGAGTCATGGCAGACAAATCCAACAGGCAAGAGCAACCGGCGGATCAACATGACCACCAAGTCACCATTGATCAGTCAAGCAGCAACACGATAAAAACGCAAGACGACCTATGCCTGCGAATGACAACCTCCGAGACACCAGGACCTTCTACGGATACAAGCTGGGATGCATACAGAATATTGCTTGCAACAGTCCTCTCGAACGCTCTTCTTCTCGGTAGGTTGTCTTAAATACCTCGCTCAAACCTGCCATTGCTGATGTTCACCAGGAGTCTCTTTGTCGTTCGGTGTCTTCCAAGATTACTACACAAATACACTCAAATTCAGCGACCGTTCATCCTGGATTGGTGTCCTTAATGCTGGCATCCCGTTCTTGGGAGCTCCATTGATGACGAGGCTTTCTCACAGTACACGGTTTCCATTGCAATACTATATATTCGCTGGATGGGCATGCTGCATAGTAGCACTCTTGGGCAGTGCTTTTTGCCATACTCTCGGAAGTCTGGTAGTCACCCAAGGCCTTTTATATGGACTGGGGGTGCTTCTCTCGGAGATGCCAACCTTCGTCATCTTCAATACGTGGTTCGTACGGAGACGAGGTCTGGTCTATGGCATAGTTTTCGGTTCGACAGATCTTTTTGGTGTTGCATCGAGCTTTGCTGCCAGCACCATGTTGAGCAAGCATGGTATGAAAGCCACATTTCTCATGTTTGCGGCAATCTGCTTCGTCATTACCGGCATAGCGATTTGTTTCCTGAAACGACGACCGTCCACCAACTACTCCCCATCAGCCACCGTCGTCAGCGAGGACACAGCAACAGGGTCCTCAATTCAATCACAGCCGCTTCGCTACTATCTTCGACCATCCTTCTACCTTTTCATGGCCGCGAACCTCCTGCAATCACTTGCATTCTACCTACCGTTCATCTACCTCGCATCCTACACAACAATGCTCGATTCTTTGACCTCAAGAGGAGCAGGAGCAATCGTTCTTGCTGTGGCCAACGCGGCCCAGATCGTTGGGGAACTCACTTTTGGAGCGTTATCTGACAAAGTCAACGTGCATATTCTGGTGGCCCTTTCGTCCCTGTTGGCATGTCTATCTACGTTTTTCCTCTGGGGTTTTGCAGATTCATTTGGGTTGCTGATCGCATTCGCATTGGCTTTTGGTGGTACTGCCAGCGGTTTCCTCGCTCTCTGGCCACGGATAGGAACTCTGTTTGGGGAGTCTGATGCGAGTATGATATACAGCTTCATGTCCTGTGGGAGAGGGTTGGGTGCGATCGTATCTGGACCTATCAGTACTGCCTTGATCCCTGATCGGCGAGCCGATCAGCCTGCTTTGTCTGCACAGGACAAGTTCAGACATGTCATTCTGTTTGTCGGGGTGTGCATGGCTATAAGCTCCGCGGTGGGATTTACGTGCTTGTTTGCATCGCTGTGGAAGAACAAAAGGAAACTTTGCATGAAACTAGACTGTCGATGTTGTATAGCTTAGTAGCGTGCATTGAACATATGACATTGGGACGCAGGGCGGGTCATCTACACATGGTTTAGTCGGCCTCTTTCGGCTCTTTCGGCTCTTTCTGCTCTTACCCAATGTCAGTTTATCAAATTGATAGGCTGCTAGTCCACACAAACATACGTCCGCAGGAGTCTCGTACAACCACCGGAACTGAAATCAAGGCCGCTTCGCTGCTCAACGCACCTTTGATCTGACAGATGTTGCCGGCCCTACGGCGTAATAATGATGGTGCGTACTTCTGATTGGGCTGGGGCTTTTGTAGTACGGGGGGATTACCGACTTGTAAAAGCATACCGGCCCGATAAAAGCTTCACTCGATACCACATACCATGGTAACTGTCATGAGCTGTCATCTTCTTGCGTCGAGCATGCCTGAAGAACCTTGGCTCACCAGGGGCCAGATTCATGCAGCCTTGACCAGATTTATGAAGCAATCTGTCACAGCGCATGACAGGTCCACAACGGGATCTTAATAGCCTAGAAGCCTTCCATGTGGACTTTTGACAGGACGGTTCGTGCCTAGGCGTGTCATGACAACAGATCATTGAAGCGGGATCTCCAATGCTAAACCACGTTAAGCTTCAGTTTAACCTCCAAGGATGGGGTCGAGAACTACTCCCGTACTATCCACGAACCTTACACAGACCTGATGTGCCTCCAAATGTCCATGCATGACTTCCATATCAAGTTCGAGTCCGTGCGAGGCTTTTTGTTGCCCTTGGTAAGTATGAGAACTAGGACCTGGTGATATGAGATGCGTATCGGTGGTAATATCGATTGTAAAGCCTTGCAGAGGTTTGCGAGGGTAGAACTAACATATAAAGGACAAATACGTTCTCTCCGTCAGATGACTTGTACTCCTGTAGGCACTGTAGCTTGAACCATCGAAGGATACATCAAAATGTTGTACAAACAGATCTTAGCCTCTACTTTATGGGCTCTATGCTTGCCCTCTATGAGCATTGCAGCCCCACACAACGAGGGTCGAAGCGCAAATGTGTGCGAGGGTACCGACTTCTACGGACTATTCTTACCCTATCTTGCTTCATACTCTGTTGCAATATCCGCCTGTTATGAAACATACCCTGTCGCTTGCACCTCTACCAAGATTGCGAAGCGTGGAGTAGCGGCAGCCACCACAAAGACTACGACTACGACTGCATCATCGATAAACTCGGCACAAATGTATACCGCCTGGACTATTGTGTTGGGAAGGGGCGCTAGTGTAGTCTCAACAATGTGCTCGTGCATTGAAACGGCGAAGGTGAGTCTCTCCGGCAAGAAATTCTGTTTCTATCTTGAATATGTCTACTGACTGATGATGATTACGCTAAATAGCCTTGCTCTGCCACCACCCCCACTAAAGCAAAGACTACCACCACCACCACCACCACCACGACGAAAGCAAAAACCACCGCCACACACCCGGTGACCAAGTCGTCAGCGACGACCAAGGTAAGCAAGACCACCACCACCACCAAACCAAAGACAACTACCACCACCACCAAACCAAAGACTACTACCACCACCACCAAACCAAAGACTACCACCACTACCACCACCACCACCACCAAAGCAAAAACTACCACCACTACCACCACCACCACCACCAAAGCAAAAACTACCACTACCAAACCAAAGACTACCACCACTACCACCACCACCACCAACACCAAACCAAAGACTACCACCACTACCACCACCACCACCAAAGTAAAAACTACCACCATACACACGGTGACCAAGTCGACGACGACAGCTAAGCCAAAGACGACAACGACTCCCACCACCACAGCGAGTGCGTCGACTAACTCTACAACTACTTCCACGTCAAAAACGACGACCACTACCACACACGCATCGACAAAGTCTACCAGTATGAGTACAACTACATCACCATCTCCGACTTCAATCATATCTACAGAGACAACTACAACAATGACCACATCCACAAGTACATCCATCAGTACATTTACAAGCACCACTACAGTTGCAACCACCAGTTCGAGTACATCAGCATCACCAACTTCAACTGAATCTACGGCTACAACTACAACAACAACCACACCTGCAATTATATCCATCAGTACAACTACAACCACCACTACAACTACAACCACCATTCCGACTACAACCACCACTACAACTACAACCACCATTCCGACTACAACCACCAGTCCAACCACCACTACAACTACGACCACCACTACAACTACAACCACCATTCCAACTATAACCACCATTCCAACCACAACCACCATTCCAACCACAACCACCATTCCAACCACAACCACCATTCCAACTACAACCACCATTCCAACTACAACCACCATTCCAACTACAACCACCATTCCAACTACAACCACCATTCCAACTACAAC